GGCGCCGCACTATCAGTCATGGTTGAGGTCCAATCAGTTTGTGCCAAGACACAACTTCTTCATGACCGTGCTTCGGTGGTTTTCCAGAGAGGCCAGTACACAATGCCTACGGTGCTACCTGGTGGTGGGTAGTTTCCTTACAGACATAGTCACAAGCTGATTATTTGCCCAACAGTTGAATACGCCACTGTTAAAGAAGCTGATGAACATTTCCGTGCCATTCCCGACTACCTCCAAAAGATGAGAACGACGGAACCACGACTCAGCTATATGTTGTCTCCTATCGAGCACTGGCTTCGTGATCAATACCTTTCTATAGATGCCGAGACACCACCCGGAGCTGCAGAATCATCGGGTGCGGATGTCGTAATCGAGACGCTTTTGGTTACAGTGCAGTCCCTCTTGAAAAGATGTCCGGAAGGGTCTACCGACGAGCCTCTCGATGATGAAGCCCAGGATAATTTCATTCGTGAGGACTTGGGCACAATTTCAGGCTTCACTCAATCCTTGGACCTTCATGTCCTTTTGGAACGGCTGGATGCTATGACGACCCATCTTTCCTCCCTTTCACAGTGCGACATCCAGGCAAACCTTCGGCGCCTCCTTCCCTTTCTCCAGTGCTACATTTCTTTCGTGGGAGAACACCTCATGGTGCACAGTCAGTGGACAAAGGCCCTCTTCAAGCTCGACTTCATCGTTTCCTCTGTCATGCATACCATCGCTAGGCAAGGCTTTTGTTTGCCCCCGGATACAACTGATTCAGGTGAGGGCGAAGGCGGCACCGAGACCGCCGGGGGAGTGGGCCTAGGTGACGGAACGGGAATGGAGAACGTAAGCAAGGAGATCGAGGATGAAAGTCAGGTTGAAGGACTGAAAGGGGACGAAGGTGAAGCCCAAGATGAGCAGGCGCACGGAGCTGATGATAATACCATTGAGATGAGCGAGGATATTGGTGGAGAGATGGAAGATGTGCCAGACGATGGAGATGAGGACGGAGATGAGGAAGATGATGGTGGCGATGAGCAGGAGGAGCCGGAGGAGCAGTTGGGGAAACTCGATGCAGGTGATCCAAATGCAGTCGACGAAAAGCTATGGGGCGATGAATCTGCGGAATTAGAGTCTGCGGACCAGGACCAGGTCCCCCAAGATCGCTCAGAAATGCAGGAGAAGGAGTCAGAGGTCGTAGCCAATGAGCGCAACCAATCAAAGAAAGAGGGTGGCAACGAGAAGATGGAAAAGAAAGATGGGATGATGGATGAAAAAAGTGAGGAGATCGAAGAAGGCGAAGAACCCGACGAAGACTTGGAGGCCCCAAATGCGAATGGCGCGCCCATGGATGAGTACATTCCCGATGCCAACACCCTGGATCTGCCTGATGACATGGCTCTGGAGCCCGACGAACAAGGGGATCAAGGAGGACTCGATATGGGGGATGAAATGGATACGGGGCTGGATGAAGATGAACAACACGTTGACGAGATGGAGGAAACTGACCAACTCGGAAAAGACGAGTCCCCAGAGGATGTACCGGAACCTCAATCGCAAGAAAACCAGCTGCCAGATCAGCCTCCCAGAGCTGCAGACGATGCAGACAATGTAGACGAAGACGTCGAGGAAGGCGCTATCGCTCAGCCAGATGTCTCGCCTGGAAGCAGAGACGCTGGGAACAAGGATAACGAGCCGCAGGCCAATGATAGTGCACAACAAGGGCAGGCAGGCGACGCATCTGGTGAAATGAAGGACGATGCCACAGCAGCTGAACAGAGCACCAACGAGACCTCGGAAGAATCAAAGTACGTTCACTTATCTATGCAGAAACTTGTATCTGACTTGTGACCAGGCCAAGGGATGATGCTGAACCCTCAAAGCCATGGTCTTCCACCGACATTGCCACGAAACCGGGTACATCAGCGGAGGGCACGCAGCATGGTGGCGCCAATGCCCGCCAACGACCCGAACTCGCTACGAACCCCATCCGCAACCTTGGTGATGCACTCAAAGAGGTACAACAGCGCTTCGAAGATATCCTGGGCGGTGGGGAGTCTTCCCCGCCCGCCACAGACCAAGCTGCTGAGCAGGTGGAGTATGCAGATGCGGACGAGGAAATGCAGGCTCTGGGTGCGGCGGGCGAGGAGCGGGTTGTGAAGCTGAATGAGCTAAGGCTTGTTGATGAGCAAACAGAGGCAGTTGCGCTACCCATGGACGTCGATGCTCCCCGTACGGATGAGCTCGCGCCACCACCACAGCCATTGGCCTCATTGCATACGGAGCCAGCGACTGAGGGAGCACGTCCAGACATCGAAGGCGCTATAACTCAGTTGGAAAGGCGCTCTGCTGCAGACCCCGAACATGTTTCCTCACGCCGCGATCCTTCGTCTTCACAAGCGGATGTCGATGAAGACATGGAAAAGCCCGGTCCAGACAGCTCCTTCGAAAACATAGAGGCAGCCCTCCGGACCTGGCAGGATTCGGGCTATACCTGCGAAGACGCCGAGTCTCTTTGGCGGCTTTACACATCCCTCACACACGACCTCTCTTACGCTCTTTGCGAACAATTGCGCCTTATCCTTGCACCCACCTTGGCCACTCGTCTCAAAGGCGACTACCGGACAGGCAAAAGGCTCAACATGAAGAAGATCATCCCTTATATCGCCTCTGACTACACCAAGGACAAGATCTGGCTTCGGCGCACGCGCCCCAGCCAGCGCGAGTACCAGGTCCTTCTCGCACTCGACGACAGCCGCAGCATGGCAAGCTCTCGCAGCGTACATCTTGCTTATCAGACACTTGCCCTCGTGAGCAACGCCATGGGAAAGCTTGAAGTTGGCGACGTTGCAATTGCTAGATTCGGCGAGAGCATGGAGTTACTTCATGGCTTCGATGAAGGACCATTTACGGATGCTGCTGGTGCAAAGACGCTCGGCGCATTCAGATTTGAGCAGCGTGCAACGAATGTCCTGGATATGGTAGAGACGAGTCTTGAGGTGCTAGAGAGCGCTAGGGAAAGAAGGGCCACCGGGTCGGCAAGTGCAGGTGAACTATGGCAACTCGAGATCATCATTTCGGACGGTATCTGTCAGGATCACGAGCGTTTGCGACAGGTGCTGAGACGGGCAACAAGTCAACGCGTCATGATCGTGTTCATCATCATTGACTCACTGCACTCGACCTCCACTTCTGGGCTTGGGCAAACACAAGACCCTTCTGCTGTACAAAACTCAATCGTTTCGATGAATCAAGTCGCCTACACGATGATCAACGGGCGCATGGAGCTTCAGGTGGAGAGGTATCTGGATTCTTTCCCATTTGATTACTACGTGGTGTTACGAAGCGTTGAGGCGCTGCCTGAAGTACTGTCAGATACGCTTCGACAGTTTTTCGAAAGGATCTCGGAAGAGTAGAATACATGCATCGTTGGCCTAATTATAAGTTTCACGTCGTCGATATTGTTGTACATATATTGTTTGTGATATATTAAATTGTATGCATACCAACGCCAGCTGAAATCAAACCACCAGGTCTGAAACCTTGCCTTATCATGAAACTCTGCATATCCCCAGGTTGAAGCTGAGTAAAAGCACAGTCAACAAAGGAGCTCATCAAGGTAGAAAACAATAAGGAATTTGACCAAGCGATATCAGTTAAGGACGTGGTAAAATAAACATGGTAAAATAAGGATATCCGATACTACAATGCCCACTACACTAGCAAGCATCTAGTAGGAATTTTGACAAGTCTCGCACCTATTAAACCTTCAACTACTCGAACGTGCCCACACCTTCCGCTGGTAATCTAGTAAAATTGGTACAAAATCCCAGAGGCCGAAGTCGGGCCAATAGGTATTTACCATGTGGATCTGCGTGTTTTCGCAGCACTGAGAGGTATGAATGAGTTTGGTGAAGACAATGTTTCGAATGAGTACACGACTGCCATTTTCGCCAAAGTCAAGATAAAGAATGTCCACTTTTTTGAAATGGTAGATGGAAAACAAACAAACAAAACGAACAGAAATCGGAGATGAAAGAAGTGAAGGAACAGAGACACACCTGCCACTGCAGAAAACCGCTCAATCGCTTCACGCCACTCGTGCGAATGAAAATGTCAAGCGGCGGGCTGCCCCCTAGCGAAGTCATGAGGTTTTCCTCGATAGTTTGTTCTGTGATCAACCTGCGTGTGTTGGTTAGCATGAAACACGTGACAAGAGAAGTCACAAATTAAAACAATGGCCAAGGAAAGACCTGTGCTCACGAAGAATCAAAGTTATCTTTATCAAGGGCTTGCTGCACGACGGATTGTACCGCTAATGTTATCTCATGCCGCGAGGCGTATGGTGCGCAGACATTTAATATTGCTCTGTCGGAGTGTGTTCAGGATAGAAGGCGAAGGTAAAGGGGACATACCTATTATTCTGACACGTCATTCTCTCCGCTTTATCGATTGCGACTTGTACATGCATAGGTAGCAACTCGCGATGGCCAAGTACGTTGAGGCGTACACCATATTGACTTAAGAGAGCACTGAAGAATACATCAGGCGGGCAAGCACTTTAACTGCAATGCATTTAACATAAAATCTCACCCATTCTGTGCAATTTCTATGAGCCTCTCTTCTGCTAGTTTCATGAGCGCGCCGACCTCGTCGGGTGGTCTATTGAAGTTTTCGATCGCAAAGGCATAGACCGTGACACAGCGTATGTCAAGATGCATGCATATCTCTAATATCTGTGGCCCATGTTAAAGAATCCCTACGACTGAAGCAGGATCGAGGATGTACCCGCTTGAGTGTATGAACCCGTCTGAATGACCCTCGACTGCGCGACGGCCGGTGAGACGTGCAAAGCGGCGGTTACCGTCCATTTCGAAGGCCACATGACGTGGAATAGGACCTGCAGAAAGAACATGGAGGAGCAGAGTCACGAGTTGGGCCTTGATGAAGGCGAGCAAGGACACTGTCCAGCCCAGGATCCATGTCATTGCGAACGTGGCTGTAGAAGGTAATGATAAATGAGCACAGCCACATACACTCTCGTCAATTTCATTTCCTTTGGCGATTGGTTGACTTACGCGGCCATCAGGCTAGATCACCCGCGTGTTTACTGTTTCAGTTCTCTTTCGATTTTCTCCTCGTCATCGTCTTGCGCGATGACAAGCACACATGATATCGATAAATCAGCCACGCCAGACGAGCGACGTGGTTTACTCTTGAATGTTGACGACATAGACGTCGTCCAACCTGACCTCGAGGAGCAGCCCACTTCCCCTGCGACCTCACACAAACGCAAACGTTTTGCTGGATTCAGTGTTCTCCTCTCGCTTATTCTCGCTGCCACCCTATTTGAACTCTGGCCCCGTACTCGATACGACACGAGAGTCGGGAGGGACGCATTGTACTCGAATGGAACGCACGAGTTCAAGAAGACAGTACTTATGGTTTCGATCGATGGTCTTCGTGCGGATTATTTGGATCGTGGACTTACGCCACATTTGCTAGATATCAGTCGGGAAGGTCTGAGGGCAAAGTACATGAAACCTGTTTTCCCCGTGCGTATTCCCTTTCGATTCTTTACTCTAGTACTAAACATTTCCCTCTCTGCAGACTCTGACGTTCCCGTGAGTCATAATTTATTAGAGTAGCTCATACACCTGAATGTCGTTTGTTCCAGAAATCACTGGTCACTGATGTAAATATCACCCGTATGTTGCTCGATATTAACTCACACTGCATCTAGGACTGGCCTCTACGCCGAGTCGCACGGCATCATTGCTAACGTTCGTCCTTTATCACTTTCTTCAACTGTCTTGCATTCTCACATCGGCCATGTAGGATTTCTGGGACCCCGTTTTCCGAGACACATTCCATTACGCTCGTGTTGAATCCGCGCAGAACCCGAGCTGGTGGCTCGGCGAACCTGTTAGTACCCACCGATTTATTTTTGTATGCCCGCTTAATACGTTCCCTTTCACCTCTTGTAACTTTGTACGTCCGTCTCGTCATTTGACTGACACACATCGGTCTCCCTGCCCCCTGCATTTTCTGCCCTTCGTACAACTTAGATGTGGGAAACTGCTGAACGTGCAGGCATCGTCACCGCAAATCTCATGTGGTCAGTTTTCCCCTTTGCCTCATGTTTTACTTTGTATTCACTCGACCAGGCCTGGTCCTTGGTCTACATCCTCGGGTGTGAACTCGACATATTTCCTACCGTGGGAGGTAAGAGTGTCATCTTAAATTCGAAAAGGATGTAATGTGATTTGAACTGGAATGGCAGAATAACTACGCTCTCGAGAAGAAACTTTCCAATCTCTTAGAATGGATTGACCTCCCGCTGGAAGAACGGCCGCAGCTTATTCTTGGTGTGTTCTTGCATCTGTTCCTTTCTCTGCTTCTAGACGAATATATCTGTAAATTTCTTTTGCTCTAAGCGGGGCGGTGTTATTTCTTCTGTTTGTCATTTCGCCCTTTCCAATTTCATGATTCTCCCTTGCGGCATGCTGACGTCGTTGTTTCATAGGGTACGAACCGTCGCTAGACCAAGCTGGCCATGCAACAGGGCCAATGTCTAAGGCCGTTAATGTAAGCGTTGTGTCAAATTCATTGATTGATGCGCTTATTTTAACTCGCTACTTACCACAGATGAGTCTTGCAGCTGTCGATCTTTTCGCTCGGAACCTAACCCAAGCACTAGGCGAGCGTAACCTCACGCACATCGTTGATATCATCTTTGTTAGTGATCATGGGATGACGGACACCAGCCACCCAACTTGGGTATATGTTGACGAGATTGTTGGTCAGCCGTGGAAAGGTGTTACCAGGGTGGACGGTAAGTGATTTCATATATGGTCTGCTGCTTGCCGGAGTGTTTTAGACTGAGTGGCGGATTGCTTACCATGCGCTGTTCAGGTTGGCCATCTATGGGTTTACGCTTCGCTCCTGGCACGAACGTGACCGAAGCCCTTGAGCGTCTGTACGAGTACACGCTTACCTACCCGGATCAGTTTGATGTGTTTACGACTGAGAGCTTCTCTACCGACCCTGGCACCTCTTTGGTAGACCTCAATGCATTCAACTACGGTAAGATGTCTGCAGGTACAGTGGAGCCTATGCCAGAACGATATCATTTCTCCCGCAATTACCGCATCGCCCCTGTGTGGATTGTCCCGCGCGTGGGCTATGCGCTGACTGACCGCACGGACGGCGAAAATGGAATGTCAACTGGAGTGAGTTTACCTTACCATATCTCATATTGCTTGATTTCTGTGCTGTAGGTCATCGGGCTAACGCATTGGGCCTTCCTAGAACCACGGCTATGACAACGAGGACCCGTCGATGCATGCTATCTTCGTTGCCCACGGGCCTTTCTCGCAGGTCGCGAAGGCTGCTGTGGTTGCACGAGGAGAGTGCGATGGTACAGGAGAATACGTGATGCCAGGGTTCCAGAATGTCGAGATTTACAACCTTGTGATGCAATTGCTGGGCCTCGACGCTACAGATACAGCTATAACCAACGGAACCGTTGGATTCTGGGATACGTTTGTCTTGCCAGATGCTTAAACTTGATACATATTTGAAGTCGAGCTACTTTAGAGCTATCATTACTCATCACGTTACTGGATACTACATATGCATCATGTTTGCTACCTTCCCGTAGCTAGACCAATTAATGAGGAGATTTAATGCGATAGGATTGCAATCAGGTATAAGATGGACACCATAAAGAACTGGGGAAAAATCAACACAAGAAAAAGTACGGAGTTCATATATACACCACTCCCTACTCAAAGCTAGCACCAATCATTAATGTGCTTCCGCATCAAACACCATATGATTGCTTCCAATGCTCATATGTTGGCCAGTAGCACTGGGCACGTACGCAGCTTGCGGGACACCTGTCTCGTCCAGTCCTTCTGCAGCCTCGATGATCTCGTACAGACGTGATGCAACTTCGGGGGGAGGCACACGCCCACCGAGGATATCGCGTGCAGGTACAGGCGATCCATAAAAGTCGCGGTTAGCGTCCTTCCGCTCTATAAGAACGGTGCCTTCCAGCGAGAGGCCAGCAAAAAGACCTGTGGCACGCATCAGCACATCACGTTAGCAATTGCATTACAGTCAAATGAAATGAAAATGGAAGATATCTCACCTTTCGATTTCGAGTATGAGAACATGGGTGCAGGATGAGCCAAGGTGGCCTGGACGCTCCCGCCAGTGCCGATGGGGCCCGCTGCGGCACTGATGTTTCCGCCAATGGTGACGTTTCCGCCTATGCTGAATGCTTTGACTGCGTCCTCGCTGTTCAGCACTATCACAAAATCTGTGATGTCCGCGCCGATTTGGAGGCCCCACCCGAGTCCACCGGTTGCTATGCACGAGGGCGCAGACCATGATCCGTCCGGGAGCCGTGCGATGACCAAGCCAGAGCCGGCTTTCCCGCTGAACATGAATCCAGCCTTGAGTACCTGGAATACGGCGAGGCCTGAGCACATTGGTCAGTGAGAGGTGGAGATGAGATAAGATTGAATGAATGTCACCTCTTGCACGCTGGAGAACGGCTGTGGGTATTGAGTTGAGTGCAGACTCAGGATGATTGGGGTTAGCTGTGGGCAGCAAAGCATTCAGCAAATGATGTTGTCGATGGCATTGGAAGAAATATGCGCACCGAGGAAGCTCTCGAGGATCTTTGCTGCCTTCTCAGCTTCCCCTGGCAGCGTGAATCCTTGCACGAAGTCTCTAGAGCCACTCGCCACGCGCGAGGAGCCCTCTTTGACAAGAGCCGTGGCCTGAATACCTGCCTTCTGTGCACCCCTCTTGAATTTGTCTAGCATGGACATGATAGAAACCTCTGGAAGATATCAAGTGTCGTGAACTAGGTATGTTATTACTGACAGCCTGTGCCAGCTTGGCGGCCAAGGCAGTACTACGCCATTTTACGTAACAGGTGACACACACTTACGCACCCAAGCGCTGGTGGCCAGGCTCGTCACGTTGCATTGTAATTTACAACCAGTCAGGGAAATAAATTGGGTATAGGTATTATTGTGCTACCATCAACAAAAGGTGTCCAGAATAGCTCAAGAATATATTACCGCCACACGTCGTCGAGGGTTGTAATGCCAGACGTGGGCGTTGTGAACTCATTATTGGGATCAGATTCCCAAGTGATATCACTATTGTCGACGATAATGTACTTGTACTGGATTTGCGTGTTTGCCGGAAGAGTGACGGCCGCTAGGATTTGGTGTCAGTACATGTTGCACTTGAAAATAGATCAGACGCACTGCTCCAGATTGGGTAGTCAGCTGAGGACATGAGAATAGCATTGGTGGTGCTCCAGTCAGTCAGAGCACCGACGGATCCAGTCAAGTATATGTTTTCTATAGGCGATAGAATTGAATAAACTTGGTCACGTTGGTTGCATTAATTAACTCACGTCCCAGGACGGTAGTAGCGTTGACGTTGAAAACAACTGGAACAGTTGGAGCCTCGCTAGTAGAGCATGCAGGGGAAACTAGGAGACCCGCTGCACCCCAACTCGCAGATGTATTACCAGCCCTTGCATTGAACACAGTCAAAGCAGATGCATAGCTCCACGTGAGATCCAGAGCGCTAGTTGGTGTGCCGTCGCTCCTAGTGTACTGCTCAGCCAGTCCTCCATCTGAGGGCGTGTACTTCGCAGCCATAGCGACGAAACCGTCTGCAAAATTCTTGATTGCTGTTGTGAGGGTGCTATAGGTTGGAGTCAAGGAGCTATAGGTCCCTGGCGTAATGCTTGTGTCAAACTGCTGGAAGAAGGGGAAAGAGACATCTGTGACTATCAGCGAGCCTTCGTTACTCCACACAATGAGGGCGTCGTAGAGCTGCTCGGCAACTGCAAAGGATGCCAAGTACCACGGCTACGGACAGTTGAGAAATAAGATCAAGAGTGGGATAAAGACCTTACGTTACCACCCTGGTACACGTCCTCAGGGTACCGTCCAGTTGCAACAGCCTGGTCAGCGCGTATGCCAGTGTTGATGCCGTATATCTCACGGAAGGAGTCGACATAGACCTTGAGGTTGGACAAAGCAATATCGGAGCAAGGCTGGAAAGTAACACCATCGCAGCCAGCTTCAACGTCAAAGACATGAATGGATGTCAACACTGTGTTCGCATCTCTGCCAGAGCGGCCGCCTCCGGTGTTGGCAGTCATGAAGCCAGGTGAGGGGTTCCAATATGACTATTGAGATGCTCGCTTTGGGAAAATGACTAAATGAAAGACTCGTTGTACGCACCTGGAGGAAGCAGAGAATGTTGTTGGCCTGGGTATTGTATCCACTGGTAACTGAACTTTGGCCAATTGCAGTGGCAAGAGCGGAGCCCTGACGAAGCGCGCGGTGCTGAACAGCACTAGTAAAGAATGAAGAGGAATCAACCTCCTCCCACAGGTCGAAACTTAACCGTTGCATGAGTCTCAGGACAAAAGTGCTTGAATTACGGAAAGCTCACGTCGTCTCGTTCCAGTTGTTCATGACGTAGTCTAGGTCGAGCTCGATAATGGGCCAAAGGGAGTCGATGACGTATGTCTCGTTCGTGTCAGCAATAAGCCAATTTGCATAGGTGATCATGGCGATTGAACGCAACGCAGGTCCATCTGTTTTCCTGTTAACGATAGCGGGATACTACGCATTTATCATACACACCACGCTGGGGGCGACCCCACGCTCCAGTGAATGCAGTCTCATTGATGTTGAACTTAGGCTCGCCTAAGCCACCAGTGGAGACAGTTCCACTTGGGTTGGTGACCTGCTGTATGTTTGCTTCGGCGGTAATGAAGTCGTCGATGAGAGCACGCAAGGTGGTATCTTGCCCGGAGGTGTACTGATCGATGAGCATTTTGAAAACGAGTGAAGAGTCCCGAACCCATGTGTACAGGTAGTCTGGGTTGGTGGTGCTAGGACTGGCGATGACCACGCCGGGCTGCATGGGTCTCGGTTAGCAGTTCCAATAATTGGTATCTTCAGAACCCACATAAGCTCCAGACGACTTAGCACCACCGGGGCCGATGTTTGCAAGTACACCAGCCTTGGCAATGGGGGACTCGGTACTCATATATGAGTCCACCGTGCTTGACTGGGCTAACGCTGAAGTGCAAAGCCCGAGCGCAGAAATTAGCCTGAGGGAGCGCCACATGATGACCTGGGGAAAGATGGTCTGCAAAAAGTCGCAGACGCTGTCTTTATAATTCCAGTATGGAATATACGATGCCATATGCTCGCATGGGCAAGAACCGAAGAACGATGTCAGGCGATCGATCGTGGTTACGTTCGAGAAGGTCCGCAGCTAATAAGCAACAAATTTTAGCCTGAGTCGGCCACTCTCCACATGTTCGACATGATAATCATAGAGCGCTTCCAAATGGTTGTTTGAAACTTGAGTTTCTGCAGCTAACCAACGTGGCACAGCACAAACCGTGTGAAAACTCCATTTCTCTCCTAGGGCCAACGACTCGCCAGGAACCCAACTCGGAAACGCAAAGACAATCATCTCGACCAGTACTGTAATGGCCACATGATTTGGAGTTGTAGACTCAACTGAATAATCTCACATCCTCATTCTGCGACTTCAACTGGTGGGTTTCTCGACCTTCCACAGCTTTGAGCACTCGGCACACAGAGGTCATCGATGACTGGAACCCTGGCGTAGCTGTCAGTCTCATAGTAAGAAGGTTGAACGACTATCGTCATTCTTCTCCATTAATGATCTGTCTAGGGGAGACTGGGTCAGTCTCGGTACTTTCCACAAGAGCATTGCATGTTGCGAATCGCGACGAGGCGAGGACTGGACCCCTTCATATGTATAGTTAATATATCATTGTTAGACTCAGTCCATCTCCCCAAGCCAGAGGCCCTGTGTCACACAATTCCACAACTTGTAATTATGGCGATATTGGGAAGACCGGGCGAAATTTTAATCTCCCTTGGTCGGTTCTGTGCAGACCGTAGACGATGGTCGTTCGCATCTGTACTTTGGCAACAAGCTTTCTGCTATTGACTCTACCGGCTACTGGCAGCCCGAGACTAGGACACTGGGGTTTTCAAGAAATCGTTCGCACTGTGCCCCAGCTTAGATATGAAGAAACTCCATGCAACTACAGCCGTCTAATAGTGATCATTGCTCCTCAATCGTTGTCGGGCATAATCGGCTTCAGGAAAGGCACATCTTTGGTCTAAATCGATTTTGTTGGCACAATAACTTGAAGCACTACTACCAAAGAAACAGTGGGCTGACTCAAGAGATCTTACCGGTGACGCCATGCTCGTTGAGACACGCCCCCTCGGATCGTTCTACGTTCAACTTCATTTGGTTCAATAGACACTGTGGTCCTGAACGGGAAGTTCAGTCCAACGCCAGGCACACAACTGCTCGCGTTGACCAAATCTACTAGTATAACTTTGTCGTCCATCCCGAGTCTCATTCAGGGCTCTTCTGTAATGATAACCGCTAACGAATCACAAATGCATCTAATCCCGAGTTCAAATTCATCGCAGCTCGGCTTTGGACTAACCTTACACATCAACAGCCAGTGGACATTCCACAATGTCATTCTTCCAAAGGCAATTCTCATTTGGAGGCCAGACATTGTGTGTCGAACCCATCTCCCATATTGGGTGGGTATTGTATTCCGTACAGTTCCGCTTTGCACTCACTTTACACAACGACAGCTATTGAACACTCCCGAATGTCCACAACTGCATTGGTCCACAGGCCATTCCCATTATGAGTGTTCTGCTACAGTAAAACATGCAGGATTCGATGGCTATAAAACCCTTGTATATGGCGACGGCTGTAAGTCACTGATCACTCAGAATGAACCCTCTCATATTCACCAACGCTTTTGCATCGGTCCATATTGGTGTCAATGTTTTTGTGGCAAATCGACGGTGAAAGATCACGAATTCTGCTTTTGCTCCCCTGCCTGTGCTCGCGCGGATTCCTTCCGTGCTCTAGGTGGCCAAAGTGATTACCACTATCGCAACGTCATACGGAAGGCATATATATATGCCAACTTGGCTGCTCCAGAGCATGCGCTCTTGAGGCACAAGTCGGAGCACCAGCTGTGTAGTGTTTCGATCAGGCGTATTTCCATGTAGCAGCAGGCCCCCACATTCCCCCAACCCAACGAAGCCCCTCCCCACACCGGAAAAAGTCACGACTACCATTTTTATAGAAGGCAGATATGAATGCAGACACTTCTATTCATGGCCCCCGGCAACCCCTCGAGCCACGGAACGAATCCGTTGATGTACAACGGTCTCCGCCTCAGTGGACCCTCGAGCGCTCCTTGCCCTCTAAATCAGGGCTTAACAAGGGCATTCGTGGTTCTATCTTTGCGATCCTCCGCAAAAAGCGTCAGCAAACTGGCCCACCGAGAGCGAAAATTCGAAGGATCGGTAACTGGAGCCATATTACAAGAAATGGAGGAGAAAAACGAGGAAAAAACTGCTTGGGAGAGACTTCTGAATCACATGGAGGATAGCTCAAGGCCCCCTACCCTGGTTCACCATCAAGTCAGACAGACTAGTACTGACATACGGCGATCACGTGTCGTTCGTCGTTCGGCTTCGTTCGCAGGCTTGAACAGCCAAGTTGAAAGTCGGAACGGCGATAGGGGATCTGTGATGGAGGCCGTTTTCCAACTTCGTCAAGTGTGGAGCGAGACGATAGACATCACACCGGATTTTGATGAGAGGTCGGATGAGGAGTATTAGTGCCAGTGATGCCTTTTGCTTTTGAATACGCAGAGCTATGACTATGTACTATGTTGCGATTACTTATTGACTATTTATTGACTACTTATGCACAGCATTTATTCAGATTGCCTCGGGTCCTACACATAAAGCGTGTACTCCAACAGCATAATCCGCTCGTACGACGCACAATATCATTGTCTCACCACCGACTCTTTCTGTTAGGTACGATCATATCCTCTGACGTTCTTTTGCAAGACTCAGATCATCCCGAGTTTGAGCCCAACTCAGCGTACCTCACAGTAGACCCTGCGGGATAAGGTGAAATGATGCTCTAACTTCTATATATGTGGAGACTGACGCAATTCCCAACAGGTTCAACGTATGCGTTCACCACTCTTGGAAGTCCGCTAAGTTTGATAGGACTCCTATCACAATGCACCAACTTCACCAACCTTGCTGCTAAAGCAAAGCCCAGCATCGCCGAACGAACACCCAGCTCCCCGCAACATATTCAATACCAGTTATTAACTTCGAACTGAAACATGGATCCACCATGATTCGAGAGCCGTAGGAAAATTCGTGTTTCTCAAAGGTCATCTCGGATCCCATGATAGGTTCACACCAGTGCTACGACCAGAACAAATTCAGCTCCCAACTTCATCAACTCGCAGGAACTCACATTTAGTCTTCGAGGATGTGACTTTGTGTTTGGGTACGGCAGTTATATCCATCCCAGTGGTTTTCTAGAATGATTATCCTCCTGGAAAGCAGGGGGTGAACAGACAACGAAAATAGTGAAAGACGGAAGCTTCTTCGCTTGACCTGCTCCCCCCCAAGTACCAAAGGTGGAAATGACGATCGCTCATGAACTTTTCCAAGCATTGTTCGCATGGCCAGTCCTCTTTGTTCCAGGTGTCGGTTTGTAGTCAAACAACCCAAATCAGCTGCTTTTGAAAGTGCTCTACGTCTGTACCGTAGGTTTTCACTAGATTGACCTTGCTACTTGGTCCCCTAAAACCATCGGACCAACATCGTCAATTATAGACTGTTTGCGGTCAAGGGGAAGGAGATGATGTCCACTCCTACCGGCCAGGACAGAGTCTAAAGGCCCTGAGATGAAGTGTCGTACCAGACTTCGTACCGGTAGGAGTCCCGGTCGCTCAATCATGAAGGAGACTTCCTCCTTGTGCATCTCAAGTATTTCGCCGGGATCGTGGTATGCCACATAGGACACCAAACCGCTAACTACTTGCGCTCACAACGAGCCAGTAGAGCATGAATGGGGATGCTTGCGCTTACATTCTTCGAGCAGGAACTCATGAACAGCAGCAACAACAGAAACGTTTCATGGATTTCTCTCAGCTCAAGAATGGAACAACTACGAAAGAAGCCCTTTCGCAGTTTCGTGGCTTCTTGAACTTGACAGTCTTTTTCTTCCTCTATGTCAGAGTGGAAGGAGGAGACTGTCGACCGATGGATACCATAGACAGCTGAGTACAAGGGACAATCTCTGCATAACTGTCCGGAATCGTGTCGATCTCGCCAAGGAATGTTGGTTTGTGTTGGATCTTTGGTCTTCCATTCTAATTGAACAAATGAGACTGGAGGAGTGACGTGAATATCTCCAACTGAATTTCAGCCTTTCGAGCTCTTTGAATAGAACTGGAAAAGGCAACAAGGCTTGTGATACCTTCATTGGAGAACGATGGGTTTTTCTGAGTATCATCCTCGGCCAGAGGTTCACCGGCGGGTTTGGAAACAGGTTTTGCGTTAGAACAAGCTACAGAGTGGACGATAGAATGAGGATGCTCTTGAAAGATGCTATAGATCGAGTTTGAAGCCAGCATTGCTAATTGCAAGCCAACCGAAGTCTGGAATGGATGTCAGAACACAAGCTAAAAGACCAGTGTCACTTCGAAGGAGCTGCCCATCGGTTGAACCGAGCTCTCCATCTACACACTTTAGGGGCCACGAAGCGTTGTACACATGTAGACCCTGAGGCAGTTCGTCGTTCAAGGCACCAGGCGGTAAAACCTTTGAAGACCTACGCTGCACCACGACAGTGAGCTCGTTATGGTGTCCAATGAGAAGTGGCTCAAGTTAGTCGAACGACACTCTAATGCTCGGACTTTTCCGAACAACTAGGTGCCGCCAAACACGCTTGCTTCTGCAGGATGTCATTTCCATATACCTAGTTCCGCTAGCTCAAGAACCCAACTTATCGCTGTTGTCGTCTTTCCGCTCGTTCCCAGAAGGCTAGCATGATGGCCCGCATGTCCTTAGTCTTATTGCTGCTCCTCTTTGTAATTCAAGTCTATGCGCATCCATTGAGCTTCCTCCACAAATTATCCGCGACCTCCCAGGAGGGCGGTTGGTTGTGGGGTTGGGTTTGGGGCGCTGAAAGCTCCGTTTCTGTAGTAGATCGATCACCTCCTCTAACCTTCAATTCAAGGCCTGCGGCTTTTGGCCGGGAACTCAAGGACCCACTCTTGGGTTATGTCATTCCACTGTCTTCATTCACGACTTCATGCCCTGGCACCGATATATCATTGGTGGACCGATATTCGAATTCGGGGTGCCCGAAGCTATGTATAAGAGGTCCTCACCAACCGGATCCAAGCGAGTCTTGGATCGCCCTGGTGCAGAGAGGACGTTGCTCCTTTGTTGAGAAAGTGAATATGCTCGTCCAGAATTCTCAACCCAATTTTCTAATATTTTATTAGGTCAGGGAAGCCCAGAGACTGGGTGCCAAGGCCGTTGTCGTAGGAGGCGAAGATCCTGACATCAGTGGTCAAGCAGACATGCTCGTTAATATGTACAGTACAGGTACGCTCTCTTCTTCATGCAACCGTCGAACAATAGTTGAAGTGCTCCAGAGGATGCCTCTGACGTCGAAATTGCTTCTACCTACATCAAATGGTCAGATTACAAGGAATTATCTCTGTTAATAAACTCGTCTACGACCTCTCATGCTGGATTACAAACGCTTTCACTTTTGATCACGACTCAATACTCAGCTTGGGAATGGTATTCGTGAGTTTCAATGCCTCTCTCCCAGTTTGCTGCTCAAAGTCGGCCATTCAGCCCAATATTAACATTTATCGTCATCCTAATACTCCCCTCTTGCCTCACATTCGTCACACTGCTCATCCATCGCATCCGCATGGCTCGTGCAGCACAACGTGATCGTGCTCCAGAAAATATTGTCAAAAGTTTTCCATGGCGGGTTTGGAATGGTACCGCATGGGAGAAACATGAGGGAACCATGACACAGGGAGCCCATTCAACCGGGGTACATGACAATGATCTAGAGTCGGGTCCTTCAGATCATAGTACGCCGTCCCTCTCCACATCTCATGAAGCACTAAGCCATGCGCCGATACCATGGTGTGAGTCGCAGGCAGAATGTGCCATCTGTTTATCGGAATTTGTCAAAGGAGATCGCGTCCGGGAGTTGCCATGTCACCACATCTTCCATCTGGAGGAAGTTGATTCGTGGTTGATCAACCGGAAGAAATTGGTGGGCCATTGTGTCTCAATGTCATTTCATGGCGGTTCTTACTTGTTCGCAGTGTCCTGTTTGCAAAGCAGATGTCACCCAGCCCTGGCATCTTTCCCAAGCAAATGAGTCACGTGTTGCATCTGCTAATGAACAGAGTTCCGATTCTGATGCAATATCTTCGTCCGTTGTTACGCCTCCCGTTACGGAGCTGACACCCTTGCTTCGTGACCACAGTGGGAGCACCGGGTCATGACATGAATAATGATGGATTGTATTGAATTATTTTGTATGATATATGATAAGGCGGCCTCTCGGGTTATCTTCTAGTTCGCTCTGCGCATCGCGCATTGCGATGTACTGCGTTTTTCAGTTGTAGTACCATTTGCTCGTCAATAATACCGATGTGTTACTCTAGCTCTTACAAGTCTGTAACTGAAGACGATAATCAGTAACGTCGTTGTATAACGTAAGTAGTGGGGTCGATCCCAAAACTTGTTACCAAATTTAGTCCGCTTGTGGTTTGGCAATTGACTCCAGGTGGCCATCCGATGGCGGCCAATGTCATTTGCGCCCAGGGGACAAAAAGATAAGGTACGTATGGATGCACTTTGTTATATATTCCATCAAGCTGCATAATTGGCAAAACAGGAACGTATGCGGGCCAAGCTCCGCAGCTATAGCCTCAGTATGGGTTTTTCTCTTATTGTTGTTATTTTTGCACCTCAACGTGTTTGTTCAATTCCCTTGTGAGTCTTTTTACGCGAGTCAAGAGAGTTCATAATCATTTGAGAATGAGCACATGGCTAGAAACCTAACTACACCGCTGGTGAGTTTTGCGTCGATGACCCTCTTTATCTCTGCCAGACCGGGGCTAAGCCGGTTTCGGATTTAACCATTGTCCGGCGAAGCGCGATTCAAGGACTTGGGTTGTTCATAGCTGAACAGTTGCGTCTTATGAACCTCCTTGTCTCACTCGGCCACCATTTGTGTCTTTATGGGAGGGATTGTGGACTGTGGACCCTCTAGCAGACTCTTATTAACAGGCCAGACTTAAGCGACGTTACATCTTATTTCCTCAACAAACACACCGTTTCCGCTCTATCTTGCTATCTAAATGGCCAAGGCTTCCCGCATCTCCTCTAACTTCGGTGGGAGTATTTCAGACATTAGCTCTTGCATGAGTGCCAACAATGGCACAGGCAGTGACGCAGTGGAGCAGCCTCCTTACATACCAACTAAGGAGAAGAAAATTCAAGTAAAGTCGTCGACGGTTTGTCGCTACTATGCGACCAGAAGTTGTCGGCGTGGTTCAGCGTGCCGCTTTGTGCATTTGCAACCGGAGAGTGTGCCACAAGGTATGGTGTCTCTGGTGCTTGCTTCGTCTCCCACGGGCTTACGTCGCAGGAATCCCGCTATCAGAGTATGCTTGCCCTACCGAAAATATTGTGCACACGAGAACATGTCACTACTACGCCGCCGGTTATTGTCGACGTGGTTCAGCATGCTATTTTGTACATTCGCCAGCGGAGAGTGTACCACAGGGTATGGTGTCTCTAGTGTCTGCTTCATCTCCCACGGGCTTATATGCAATTAATCCTGCCGTCAGAGTATGCTTACCCTAACGGACACGAGGTGCACACGAAAACACCACATAAGGGATGTGACCAAAACACCGGCCATGGTCATGGCTACACAGCGTACGCTACACACACGGTAGTCCCGCACATGGCACCTTATGGCTTCGACGCGAGAGACGCTTTTGACAATTCCAGCAATATCTCTTTATCGGACTCCACCCCGTTTGATCAAAGTTTGAATGCCGCATTTCAAGTCATGACCATCGAAGAACCCGTCTCTTCAGAATATCTTCCTTCTGCGCTCTCACAATCGTCACCAGGCTTACAATATCCCAACAACACGGGCACACGCTGTAGTAATGTGGCATACCCAGGTTACAATCGTGGATATACTCCAACCGGTTCGAAACCTCGAACAGCCACCCGCAGGAAGGCAGAGCAGGGAAAGGAGAAACCAACCCTATATAGAAGTGGGTTTCCCCGATAGTTACTTCTTGCCATGGTTGGTTGCTCATCGCAACAAAACAGCTAAACCTTGTAAATTTTTCTCAACACGCAAGACCTGTCCTGGAGGCAATAAATGCAGGTTGTGCGTGCTCTCTCTATGTGATATATATTTTTCCGCTTAAGCCGTCACAGTATTCATGACGTGGAGAAAAGTAAACGAACAAAGAAAGCCGATAGTCAGGCCCGTGGGACAGCGCCACCTCACTTGCCTCCGAAACCGCGTTCCCTTCAGGAAGAATTGAAGACACACGATTATTATCCTATTACCTGGCGAGTGATCGGTGGTGGTGTAATGATGGGTGGGTATAGTATGTACCATAGTCAGTAGCAGTTATTGACCCGTGTCCCCACAGGACTACCTTGCAAGGCGTTCGCAGCGGGCTACTGCCCCGACGGCAAGAATTGCAGGCTGGCTCATGAGACTGAAGTCTGGACTTCTGGTAAGTTTCTTATCTAGTATCATTCGCACGAATTACTCACTGAAAAACGGGGCTTGGTCAGAGAATGGTGCAGTGCAACTTAAGACGCAAACATCGGCGACATCTGTGGCACCGTCATCCTCTGCAAAACCATCGCGAGATTCAAGTGCTGAATCGAAGCATAGGATAGTATGCACCGACTGCTCTGATTCGTCCCGTGTCATTCATAGCACCGACGGAGGCACATCTGGTAGCATAAATGATGCAGAGAAATATATGTCGGCTGCAAATTCAAATCACGCCGTACCCTCCCAACATCGACGTACCAGGTCGATGTCTATGCCGACTTCGCCGTCAGTTCTCAGAGCTCCTCAAGTGAGTGTTGTCTGCGTGTTTGGCAATTCTGACTAACACGCCTCGAAAGATTTCCGCAGAGTTGTGACTGCGAATCTTGAAAGGAAAACAATTGCCGTCGCCCGACTTGATGAATCTAAGGGATGGATGGAAGTGGCTGGCTGGGAGCTTGGCACCTAGATTTTGAGGGTTTATGAATCTTGTAGCATGTATGTATCATTGAGAATGAAATGGAGACTGGACCTTGCATTGCGAAGCCATAAATATGAGGGCTCGAAAGCTCCGCGCTCATTATCAAATCGTGTGTTAGTATGTATTTACGCACTGGGGATCCACTGAAGTGTCGCATTCGCAGACATTAGCCTCTCGAGGAAGCAGTTGCAGCATTCTAGTATTCGGACCGTGATATTTGCTATAAGTCTGCTATTATCCAATCGTTACCAGACACTAGTTGGACCAACCTTAGCTAAGTATACTACTTATATAGTGCGATTATAGTTTGTCTTGAATGTGGCAATCTTTGCTAGGTGGAACGTCTCACGACAAGTGGAGTTGCCCAGCTCTTCGCTCAGAAAACTCGGGCACATTGATTGTGGGCGTGAAAATATGAAACACTGGACAGTACTTGGACAGGAAGGTTAGAGTCAGGATTCCTGTACAGGGGGCTCGGACAACCCCGGATGACCATTTTAGTCACATGGTACCAATGGCTGCCCCCCACCATCATGTCGCGTTAACACTGCTATTAGTCCCTAATTGTGTTCCCCTCCCCAGGCGCTGCACCATGACCCCCTATCAGGTCCTTGCAGGCCCTGCGATAAGGTGCCTATATTCGGTCATCCACGGACCCAGGAGGTAGCAGTCCAGGGCAGACAAATTATTCTGAGACAGAAGGTAACTCGCGCCTCACTTCGGACCTCTCCGCGGCATTCTGCAGCATCGATATGTAATCTTTTCGGGTCTTGTACTCTTCTTGAAGCTTGAGCCACTGGCAGTTTAGATTTGATACCCCGTATATATATTACGTTCAGGCGACCTCCATCTGGACCGCGTGAACCTTTCCCACTATTCTACCATCTTGATGACAATGGGGGTCAGCAATGACTACGATTTCTCACTCCCGATGGCGTCATTGCTTCGCATTGGCACGTCCGAGGCCCATGAAGCTGCAGAGCACAGTCAAGGCGGCGTCCGGCTTGTAAAGGGTGAGCTGGACAAGGAAGAATACGTGTATTTCTTAATGATGCTGTGGCACATCTACGCGTAAGCTTCATTCAAGTCACCCTGTATATGGTGTGTTAACTCACACTCAGCGAACTCGAGCGGGGTCTAGAGACGCACGCGTCATACCCGACGTTACAACCAACGTATAATCCTACATTGCTCGCCCGCACTCCGAGTCTCTCCCAAGACATATCATATCTACTTGGGGTCCCTGAAGCAGAATGGCAGACGCACCCATCACATAGCTCATTGATGGCATCACCTCCCAAACCTTTTGTGGAATATACCACGTGCCTCCGAGAACTTTCTGAGTCTTCAGATCCCACATGTTTACTTGCACACGCTTACGTCCGCTATCTCGGTGATATGAGCGGTGGTCAATTCATACGACGACGTATAGCCAAGGCATACGACCTAGACGTAGATCGAGGAGATGGGATACGATTTTACGATTTCAAGAAATTGGACAGTAGTGAATCTGCGAACATGGGGGATCTCAAGAAAATCAAGGAATGGTATAGAGATGGAATGAACGCTGGTATTGGTGATGATACCACGCTGAAAGGTTTATGCATCGTGTTTGGGTTACTCTCCATGTTCTGAACGTTTGATTCGCCAGCGGCTGTATTGGAAGAGGCCAACAAGGCCTTCAAGCTGAATGCCAGTATCTTCGATTTACTATCAGGGGAGGGGCAGGTCCAGGAACCACAGCAGTCAGCTGTCTCAACGCCGAAACAGGCTAAGGCACTGTATGACCCAATACTAGTTTCCTTAGGCGGCCTCCTTTCAGTGGCAATGACTGTGGGCCTGGCTCATGTCGTGTACATGGGCGCTAGCAACGCCAGTGGCAATTGCGTGCTCAGGGGGGTGGAATATTGGTTACGAAGCATTCTGCCGCCCGCATAATGATTCTAAGACGTATTTTATTTCCGACAAGTTGGAATGGGCATTCCAAACTTCGAGTTGTAGCATACATACCGTCATGAGACAGACTTGCGTGTACTGTAATAACAGTTCCATGAAATAATGGATTTACGATTGGTAGCTGAGATTTGAACATGGCCAAAGTTACGGATACAAACAATGAACGGAAGTAGCCAGCTACTATTAGTGTCCTGCAGCTGAAGAAGTGGACTAAATCTATTAGACTACATATATTAGTTCGTCTGGCAAATATCATCGACTTCTTGCAAATGCGTCCTTTCCACCGTAGTCCTCCTCGAGTTTGACGGTCGACCCACGCATCGGTTGCATAACGAGACTCGCCGTACTCTGGGAGTCATGCAACTGCGCGTAGGGACCGCTCATAAAACCGCCCGCAGAAGCAGCCCCGCCCTTCTGCTGGGCAGCCTTCTTGGCAGCTTTCTTTGCCATCCGCTTGCGTCGACAGCAACAACGCCATATGCAATAGCTTATGAGCAGAATCAAGAACACCATGCCTCCGGCAAGGATATAAGGCCATCGACTTAGAACCAATTCTTCATATGCTTGCTTCTTCTCCGAGGCACTCTCGGGCGAGTGTTGTTGCTGTGATGCAGGAAGCAGGGCGTATTGAGGAGAGTTGATCGTGTTTTGCCCGTTCAGCCGGACCTGAATGAAGTCGTTGACAGCAGATTCGATGTTCGTGAGGGGGAGCAATTGGACGTAGGGATTATTAGAATTTGAGCCGCCGGTGATGAAATTTCCATAGTTAATCAGGGTGTATGTGTTCCGCACTGTAAGGGTGTCAAACCAGTATTGTTAGAGCAGGTCAACAACCCACAGAAAGCCATTCCCAAGATCATATCATACTCTCCAAGAAGACTAAATGCAGAGGTAACTGGTTGAAACTATTTGGAAGGTCCAGGTTTAGAACGACTTCGTGTTACGCAGAACTGTTACATACCGTTCCCAGGCAAGCGGGGTTTCCATTTGAGAAGGTCACTCCAAAATCGCTTGACGATACGTCGAGTGGGTGAATAGGATATGAAACGCCACCAAAATTGAAGGTAACATTAATAAGTTGCCCGCAAGGGACTAGCCAAGCCTCGCTTGAAGCCGACCATTCGGCGCCCTGTACACGGCCATAAATGGCGTCCGACACCGTTCGGGGCACTTGAGGCAGAGTGAAGCCAGAGTCTAAAACTCCCACTATTGTGCCATCAGGAGCTTTCGGGGCAATCGATGAATATTTTATCGGCTGTCCGTCAGGTCCAATAATGCCATTATTCTTGTCTGTTACAATCTGCCAATGCTGGTCGACATCAGTCACTTTGTAAACCTTCTCAATCGATAATTGCGGCATGCTGGTAACGTTCTCGAACCCCGAAACGACTTCACCGATGGTGAACTGGCCAGTGATATTACTGCCTGGGTCTCCTTTGCGACTGAGCATCATAGTTATGTAGTCATTGGAGGAGGAGGATGTCTGTTGGAAAATTCTGTTAATTGGGTTATTCCCCGAGTTGCCGTCGAGTTTCTTGTATATCGAAGAACCAGTATTTGGGCCAAGGCCGATGAGACCGTCGTACCCTTCCGAATGAATATTTGTGGAGAAAGATGATACATTCGTGACAAGGACTGTATTAGATGTCAGGAGACGAGCGGTAATCCAAGAAAGGACACGGACGGAATGCCTGATCGCTGACAGATTGCCCAGCAAACTCAAAAGGTGCGGTATAGATGTCGCCTGGCTATGGACGTAATGAATCATGACAACTATAAATTTGAGCGACTGACCAGCAGCTGTTCCAACGGCGTATGAAAGTTTCAGAGAGCTGCCTGTGTCTGTTGCTCCAGATACTTGGCCTGCCACCCATAGATCAGAGCTGTAAATGGGCAAATAATCAAATACCCGCAACTGATATGAAATTTCTCGATGATTACCTTCCCGTATCCAACATCACGGATATATTTTGACCGCCGAGCGTGATATTTGTGTAGTAGAAAACATTTTGCGTGTTCCCAACAGGTACTATGCCATTGGAAGACGACTGACGAGGGAAATGGGTGGTCGGATTGCTAGCAGGTGTTTGAATGTGGACATCAAAAGGGATTCGGAGAGCAAAGACAGAAAGCGTTGAACACAACGAAGAGACAAAGGAAAGTGTGATAAAGGAGTGCATCATAACGCTACTAAAGCGTTGAACAATATGTTAAGGAACAGCCTGCACGCGCACAGAGGATGGATGGAAACGAGAACGTGTGTAAGACTTGGCAACTTGTGACGAGTTCTAAAATCTTATGAGATCAATTGCACAGCAATTTTTAGCTCTCATGTCAACGACTTCCGAGTGTCTTCTCTTCTCACCGACTCCATCCATAACGTTCTACCACCCGATATCAGCATGCTCTGGAAATACCTTAAATGCCCTGGTCATCCACCGGATTGTAAATTCATTACGTGAGTGACTAGTATGAGCGACCTCCCTGTGCTGAGCGACAATGCATCATACCAACTAGTACGTATGTCGATATCAAGGAAATCATCCAGATACTAGCGCCTAATCTCCCCTGAGATGAATGAAGATGGTCGTTTCTTCTTAGCGGGGACCCAGTCTGGCTGTAATTCATAACAAACAAAGAACTGCAGGAAGAGCATGCACGACAACCAATGACATGATGCGGTCGGAAATGGTGAGTCCTAAGTATTACGGGTAACACGTGGATTCTGAGCGCCTGTCCGATCATTTCATCATGTTCAGGCAGTGCTGTCAACGTAAAACATGCAGGTAACCCTCATATAACCGCGACGACTCAGTATCCCAGTCTATTTCCTCTTTTCTCTTAAGTACTTCCCAGTGCTATGAGGTTGTCTCCGCTCCTTTTTCCCTTTGGCTTTTTGGTCACCTTGAACATCGTAAATGGGTTTCACCTCGAACTGCGCGGCAAGACTGGAATTTCTAGGTCCAAGCTTCGGAGAAAGACAAACATCAGTGGCCTCCAAAGCACCTTAGAAGATGACCAGAATATCCAGTATATGACAAACATCACCTTGAATGGACAATCGTTCGGTGTTCTCATCGATACCGGCAGGAAAGTTAACCAATCTCAAGTGATGATTTTACAACTCGAGATCCTGACATTACTGTTGCCTTTAGCTCTGATCTCTTTGTAACCTCTCAGGTTCCTGGTGCAGTTGACCAGCACTACCTGACTGAAATTGGCTATGCCTCTGGAGGTGCGGCTGGTGAGTTGTTTGTTTCTTCCGTGCAATATTAATAAGAAGCCATCCCTCATTTCCGTTGCCTCAAGGGGAAGTCTTCTCAGCCACGATGGAATTCGCCGGGTATCAGATTGATGCCCAATACTTCGGTGCGTATAGCTTCCTCTCCGCTATCATATCTGCTAATCAGTACAAAGTATTTGCAAACTCGACGGGTGGATTTACACAATCCATCGATGGTCTTATTGGTCTTGGGCCATACACAAGCTCTGTGATTAGATTCATCGGTGGGACAGCGGCTGCAGACCCTCCTCTCGACCGAATCTTCCGCTCTAACGACACCATATCGAACTTTGTCGCTATTCTTCTCGACCGCTCTGATGACCCCGACGAACCTTATCCAGGCGACCTCGCCATCGGAGAAGTGTTGACGGAGTATGAGGATATTCAAACCCAGCATCAACACCCAGTTACGTCGGTCATGGTCCCCGGCAATCAGCATTGGATGACATTACTTGACGAGAATGGAATCATCGGTCCAGATGGCAAACCTATTACCATCAAGACCCAAGTGACAAATACATCCTATCCTAAGAACGCAACTGTTGTCTTTGATACAGGTTTCACATTCCCACAAGTTCCTTCGTAAGTTCTTTGTGGAAAACTCTCATCTACTCTGATATGTCATGACAGGTACGTTGCTGAGGCGCTTTACGGTAACGTTCCCGGTGCTGCCTTAACGAGCGTCGCGGGCATAGGAGAAATCTGGGCACTACCCTGTGATCAAGAACTCAACGCCACCTTTTTGTTCGCCGGAATCAAATTCCCCGTCCACCCGCTTGATCTCAACTTTGATATAGGCAACAACCAGTGCGTTGGAGCTGTGAGTCTGTGACCACTTGACTTTTACCAACTCTATAATTCCCTTAACAAGTTCCAACCATTCTCATACGATGATACGGCGGATGGCGTGGTGATGTACGATATGGTTCTCGGCATGGCCTTTTGTGAGTCTGGGTACCTACTACTTTAGGACATTCAGGTCTTAAAACTTAACAGTGCGCAATGCATACCTCCTGATCGATTTTGGCTCCTTGGTCGATGGGGCATCTTCTGGCACCAATGCCCCGTACATACAATTGCTGCCAATCACTAATGCTAGTGATGCCTCTACGGATTTTTCCCGAGTACGCTTGAACAACGGCTCAAATGTCGATGAACTCACTTCGCTGGACTCACATTCTTCCACGACGACGACCACCACCACCACCACTACGACTGCGAAATCAAACTCCAAGCTACCGCTATGGGCGATTGGTGTTATTTTCGGCGTTGTTATTTCGGTTTTCCTTTTGGGCATTTGCGTATGCTATTGCTGCCGTCGCTGCCGCTCGCAGCGCGTTTCTTCTACGCAAGCCGCATGGGTTCCTTATGCACCCCAGAGCTACCGTCCACTCTATGACCCCTCGCCACTTGGAGCGTATGATATGCATTTGGCGCCTAATGCGAACCCAGCTTACGCTCCTGAATATAAAAGTGCTTGGGATGCACACTACTGATTGTACCTCACTCGAGCGGGCGGGCTTGGAGTCTTGTCGTACTACCCAATTTTCTTGTGACACCATTTTGGTTCCTGCCCTAGGACTACTTACCGCTGCGCGGCATACTTATATATCACGACTGACAATTAGCTGACAAGTCACCTACTTTTATGAATTGATATCCATCTGTTGAATGCCTCTCATAATGGCGGGCATAACTCACATTGAGAGAGTGACTAGAATGACTCGAAGTACGAGTGATCATAGTCTCCCGTAGGCAGACCAATAGAAGGAAGACAGTTGTTCCTTCTATCAAGAGTCAAGCCTAGTAAGGTTCGCCTGTTAATAGTCCACATTTGTCATTTGTCTTCCTGGCCCGGTGAGGTGCAATACCTTTCGATTGCTCCGAAAGTGGATCTCGCCGTGACACTACCGCACCAAAAACTGTCTTCGTGACGCGCATTTACGTCGCTGTTGATGAGAACGTAGACATACATGGCGCCAACAATCCATTATTATTGTCCATGCCAGTCTGGGGAGTCAGTTCAGACGCCTCCGCCTCCGCATATGGCGTCCTCTTCTGCTAGTTTCCACCCTTTGCATAGCTTGTTCTTCTGCGAGGAATGTGACGCTGTTCGGTGCAATCGCTGCGTTTCCATCGAAGTCAGTGGCTACTATTGTCCAAACTGCCTTTTCGAAGTCCCAAGTGCAAGCGTTCGCGCGGAAAAGAACAGGTAAGCTACTTTTATCCTCCCGTTATGACTGTTACTTATGAGTAATAGATGTGCTCGAAATTGCTTTTCATGTCCTATATGCCGGTCAACCTTGCAAGTAGTCGCGTCTGACCCTCCTGATGGCGGCGATGGTCGGCCTTCCGTGTCTCTCAGTAACGTTGGAGAGCCTCCCTTCTTTCTTTATTGTAACCACTGCAGATGGGATTCTGCCGAAGTCGGGATAACGTTTGAAAAACCAACTGGACTCGCCGGTGCGCTGCTCCCCCTGCACATCAGTTTACATCTAATCATCTATCTGATAGCACAACTGCAGAAATTTGAAGACTCTGCGCCTGAATCCCTGGAGTTTGAGCGACTGAAAGAGCATTTTGAACCTTTCCTCCGTACATCATCTCTTTCTTCTTTGTCTCATGTTCCGAGTACTTCTTCTCATCATCTTCCCACTTCATCTGCTACAGCCGCTGCTTCCGCTGCGCTTGCGCGTGATGTTCCTGGCGTTGGAAAGTACAACCCTCCCGCTCGCAGTCGTGTGGGCCGCGATAGAACGGCAAATAAGGACGAAATGCCAGAGTACAAAAGTAGAATGGAGATTAGTGTCCTTGGTCAGCTGGGGTCTGAAGGAGATGGTTCGGATGTCGAGGCACTTCGGCGCATGGAAACTGCGGAGGAAATTGCGTCACTTGAGCAAAGGTGGGGAAATAGCTGGACCACCTCGTCCAGAACAAGGTGTGTATATTTTGGGCATGTGTAGGAGAAGATACTAAACTTAGAGTGCACTGATCAGTGATCTTCGTCCTCTCCGGATTCCACTTCATTCCAAAGTCTCGAAGCGTTGTCCGACTTGCAGACACATCCTTATCAAACCAGAACAGAAAGCGCAGTCTGTGCGATACAAGATCAAGCTTGTGGCGGCCAATTATTTGCCAGCAATGACTGTGGCCCTCCCACACACTCAAGGGGCTGATACCACTAGACGTCCGCAGGCTAAGGCACCCAGTACCTCGGATGACCGTAATGTCGGTGCTATAATGGCTGGAAAGTCGTACCCCTTCCACCTCGCTCTGACAAATCCCCTCTACGATCCTATTCAAGTCCGACTTTCGGTGCAGCGTATGCATGTCACTGCAGTAACTGATGGTACTGCACCGGAGAAGGCTCGCAGGACACCCTTCGCTGTATCCTTACCAACCTCTTCATTCCCTGTCGCTGCATTCGCTGAAGCGTGGGAATATGATGACGACGATGACATGTTCGGGCTCGAAGACGATGAACTTGGTTTGGAGATGGGTCGAACCCGAGACAAAGATGGCAAAGGAAAAGGCAAGACTGTAGGAGTTTTAGAAAAGAGGGCCAATGTTACGGTTGTGGGGGGCGAGGTTGTCATAGGGAAAGAAGCTCGGGGCCATGTAAAGGTGCGTGCTTCTTGTGAACCCTTTGCTCGTACTCAGTTCCGGTTTACAGTTTAATATGCTTGTCTCTTATACCTATCGATCCGATGATCCACTTCCTTCGGAGGATGGTGCTGGGACGCCTTCCCGTACAGTTGCGAAGACCCCGGAAGTGAAGACATTCACTTTCTATACTGTCGTTGATCTTGGTCCTATTCTGCCTAGGGAAGAGAAAGTGGATCCAGATATATGATGGCAGCATGCGCCTTTATTGCTGTATTGCTGTGCATAGCTTACGCCATTTTTGCTTGTACGTATACATCGCATGGATTAATATTGCTTTTGCAATGTACTCAAATTTCGATACCCACGAAGAAAGCCTGGTTCTTTGAATGCCGGTGACACAGCTTAATACACGCTCACTGCGCAATTTTCGGGGGAGCGACAGAGTGACTCATGTATGTGAGTATATGGTGTCCGACATACACGTGAGAATTGATGATCAGTTAGCAGATCTAGCAGATCGGGATCCGAGTCATTCTGCATCAAAGGACACAGTCTACTTAGCTAGACAACCATCTTTAAAGACAGCGGTGCCGGACTGTGCAGTATGTGAATGACTCTTCCGAGTCCTGTATCAGGATGACTCGATCGTACGTATACTTGCGTTGCTATAAACACCATCGACTGAGGGGTGAAAAAGGATCATCGCCCCACACCTCGATTTCAAAATGGAGTCTATTCCGCCTTCATATACTCCTTCCCCACCATCACCGTCGTACTCTCCATCCCCGCCATCGCCGTCATATTCGACACAGCTTCTCCCAGGGGAACAAACAGTTGAGGAGACTCGACGCCAGGCTCTGCAAACTCAGAATACTGGAGTCTTTCGTAGGATAACAGACAACATCACACTTGTTTTAAGAGATCAGAGACCGGGGAGCATAAAGCCCGTTTACGGCAGAAATGGACTCGTTCGAGGTCACATATCTCTGCGAAGTTCAGAAGGTCTCACTGAGGTCACCTTGAAGGTAGGGGTTATATTTTTTCTTCAAAGTAGCTTTGTCTTATTTTCACCAATAGCTTGAGGGTCACCTTCGTGTTGAGACATCAGGGACAACCATCACCACGTCGGTTGTATCCGACTCGTATCCTTTGTGGAGTTCTTCGTCCACCGAGCCTTGTCCCAAGACCCTACCGTTTACAATATTCTTTCCTTCTGCTTTCATGGATGGATGTCAATCGCGACCTTTGCCCCCCTCATTTGAGGATAAACTTGCGACAGCTGGCACGTGTTCCTACACGCTTAGCGTCATAGTCTCAAGACCCCGAAGATTTTTATCTTCTTTCCGCTCTAGTGATTCGTGAGTATGAGTGGCAATGTTTAAAACTCACATTTCCTGATTCGACAATTTACAGCCTCGTGGTACCCGTATGCTATCATCCATGTTCTCGCCCGCACACACCCATGCTTCCGAGCGACGCACCGTTCATGGCCACGGTGAAAAGCTCTCCCGAAGAATGGCATCAAGTGCTCTCTTCTATGAATGCAACAAAGAGTTCCGGGCTCACGCCGGTACAATGTCTTGTAAGCCTTTCAAATTACGGTTTGTTCATAGTCCTGACTGCCGTGGTAGCTCTTTATTCCTTCAGTACAGGTGTATCCATTATCTGAGACCATACCGTTCCACCTCCAATTGCGTGCACCATCGAGTTCATTAGCCCAATTTATTGAAAAATCTGTACCTGATCGCGGCCTTCCTGTACCCCTCTCGGGGGAAATCTCCATCCGCGTCTACTTGCTTCGCCAAGTAGTTCGTAAAGTATTCGAAGAACAAAGATCGTCCAGTCGAATATTAGGAGAAGGCAAATTGACATACTCCGCCCCCCTGCCTGAAAATCATCATTCATACCGCAACGTTCCCCTTGGCGAGGGCATTGACTGCCTGGACTGGGATGGCGAACTGCGATGTACCGAAGATGTCACAGTCGCAAGCTTCACAACAAGCGTGCTCTCCGTTAGAGTAAGACTTGAACCGTGATTCCTATGATCTCCCTGTTGACGATATGTTTAGGATTTTATTGTGCTCTCCCTTGAACCTTTGCAACCTATAAACTGCCCGCTTCTTGCGTCAAAACACTATCATCCGATTCGTCTGGTGACAGACCCATGGTCGGAACATGCAGTGACTTGGTAGCATGGCTGGGACCGATTACTTACAGGATTGACCCACTACCCACGGTTCTGTTCCGCACGCTCTACTCTATGATTTGTTATATTGGTCGAGCCTTTATACATAGTGAGCTCACCTTCTCACCAAATTTCTAGCCCGTTTACTAATCTATCTATTAATGACTTAGTTTATGTTTCCTAGTCAGGTGACAGCATTGTCATACCCGGGAGCCGCTTAGGGACTGTCATCTTACTTGGCGCACGTCCTTTGTCACCAGCCAAAAAGTGCATGAGACTCTCTTTTCAAGTGTTATGTCGGATCTACCATGCATAATAGAACCACCTAAAGTATAGCTAACTTACTTACGGACCTCGGCCAGGTAGACGGGCTAGTAGAGTTTAAAAATGGAACGCTATGTGCGGCGCTGCTCCGGCGCATCACTGAACTGTACTGCAGAATGAATTGAGGCATGACAGGACTTGCCGCCAATCAGCGCTAAGCAAAAGCAAGGCACTGGCCCTGAGGCCTGATGGGCCTCCGAATTATGTACTGAGACACACGCCCCCCGTCATTAGAAATCTTCGTCCATATGCGGGCATTATGTCTTTGGCGTTTTAATAATTTGGGCTCCCAGTGGCCGCCAGCCCCACCGTCAACGGGGGCTTTCGCTCCAGTATGGGGAACGGGTCACATAAAGACTCCTCGAGGCCGACAAGTGTGCCTAAGATACGCCAATACTTACGTCATCGTAAGTGTGTTGTTCACGTGTTCCCTTACGTTGACCAAGCATAGCAAGAAACACAGGTCCATAGCGTTGTTACAGCGATCTCACCGGCCACCGGTTTAGCCATCTGTTCAACCCTGATGAAGGCATCGCTCATAGCCGAGCGCTGGATCATGAATGGAGCTGTTCCCGGATCCACGTTTCGTCCGAAATTGATGCAACCGTCAACACCACTGGTTTAACATGGCTATAAAGCTGTTGTCTATCATTAGTATCCTCCAAACATCCCACATCTTTTCTGTAGACATGGAGACATTTTCCGCTCAGCTGTTACCAGAGTATACGCCATCTAAGCCTGCACCTGACTATTCTTCTAAACTACTTCCTGGTGAGAAGTGCATACAAAGATCACCTTGGACGACCCAACGTGGAGACAATGCATCATTTACTTTCCGGGAAAGAGGGATGACCCTCAAACTGATGGACTGTCGTGAAGAGGACCGTCATCCATCCTATGGTCTGGGGAGTACTATTCGAGGAGAAGTTGCACTTGACAATCGCCAGAGAGTTGTAGCTATTGCAGCGAGGGTATGTGGCGTATTGGTGGTCCACCATGTCATTTCTAATATCATCTATTAGCTTGAAGGTCGTGTCTACCTTTCAGGGCAACCAACCCAGGTAGTGAATATTATTTCAAAGGAGCGGACACTATGGGAGAGCTCCACTCTAAATGGACAAACTTGTCCCAGCATCATGCCATTATCAATGTCTTTTCCAACATCCTATCGAGAGCGTGGCCAGGAGCGTCCTTTCCGCTTACCGCCGTCCTTTGAGCTATCGCAACCGCGACGCGTGGCTATAGTTTACACGCTGCAGATCATTGCTACAAAGTCGAGAAGCGTCCCAATGATCGGAAAAAAGCTTTCGAGGCGAGTACGCAGCAGATCCAAATGCATCTCGAAACTGACATCATTGCCATTAGGGAGGTATACATGAACATTCACATCAGGTACCGTCCCCGAGTACGGCCATCAAGGCCAGTCCCAGATTCCTTCAGCGAGGTGAAACAATCTCCTGAGGATTGGATGGAGAACGTTTGGATCACGAAGCCGTCCGTTGATACAGGAAACGAAGCATTCTTGGCACGCTGTCATGTAAGTCCATATCCTCGCGATCGACCATTCAGAAACTGATACTAGTTTATGTTAAGTTCTTCTTTCCTTCCGTCCGTGTATTCACTGCTTCGGAAAAAATACCTTTCCATTTGCGACTAGAGACTTCGCCACTCTTCTTACACAGTCTTGCGAAGCTCTTCCTTCCTCACCAAAATCCCTCGGAAATAGAGGAAGTTTTAAACGTGTTTATACTACGAAAGACTACCGTCAATATTCAAGGCACGTCATTCAGTCACGACCAAGTTCTTGGTCGCGGGGAGATGATGCTGCAATCATCATCTACCTCCAAAGTCGTAATATCAGAATCAGAAGAGCCTGTGATATGGAATTGGAATGGCGACCTTCGGTGTGAAGTTCCCGTCTTAAACACTGGTTTCACTACCAGCCAGGTTAGCACTTCGGTGAGTTAGGGATCTCTTTAAACAGTCTGAAATTGAACTGATGAAATGCTTCTAGGACTACATTGTGCTGTCTTTACTACTCCCCCCTGGTGAATTGAGACCCGACCATTCACTTCAACGCGTTATCCCTATACGACTTGCTACAGAACCATGGATCGATCGCTCGTGAACTCATTTTATCTCATCGCATTGTGTTTTGGCTACTGCACTGTATATATATTCACAACCACATCGTCATCTGCTATATCCTTATCATTCATTATAACTTCTACTTCGTGCTATATTACTAACTTATAGTTTTTTTACAAGTCTAGTACCCAGTGTACCAAGATCACATACATTCATATTCATACTGTACAGATTAGGCGGCCTTCATACCTTATATCATTGATTCTGTTCACGGAACAGTTTAATTATGCTGAATGTATTCTTGATCAAATCTTTCCTGTACCAGTGTTCTATTTTGTGTTCCCCTATCAGGATGTTTGCATTGCAAAGGGGTCCACTTGTAATGAGTTTAAATTTAAAAGGTCCAACATCAGGCCTCAGGCTTCATGCGAATTATATACTCATTTTCATAAGACTTGTCAATATTTGCATAATGCTGTAGCGCCGGTAGATTCAATGGTCGTCGAGTCAACCAAGGAATGGAGCGTGCGTGGGACGTGTCACACTATTGCATCCGCGCAATGACACAGCGGCGATGGTTCGCGGTGTAGTGCTAGTACTACTTGGAGACTTTTGGAGCCAATTCTTTTAATAGTGATGCGTCGACTTCATCGTCATGATGTATCTGATGCTGCGCTCAATTTTTCACTCTTCCCTGCACCACAATGACGGTCTCAAATAAAGTCTACTCGCTAACTCACTCCCAGAAGACACTTACTGCAGCGTTCGCAGCCTCCCCGACATCATCACCTGGGTATCTTGCGAAAACGCTCTATGCAGAGCATCACAAGAAGCCCATATCCTCCGGAGGTTATCTGGAGACGTTCATGGGTGTGCTGCAGCATGGAAGCGCGAGTGAGACACAGCGAATTCCATCTGGTGAACCTACGCAAGCGGATCTCGACCGCGCTGCCGAGTGCGGAAATTTTGGCAGTAGACCAAGTGACCTGTTCTTAAAGGTGAGTTAAGTTAAGTGCGGCAGACGTGTAATCTTGACTCATTGCATGAAAAGATCTACTGTGACGTGCTTGCTACGCTCGATACAAACCCTTGGGCTGGTGTGGTATCGCCCCCCTTGCTGGGTTCTAGAGGTGTCGTGAACCTGAGCATTATTTCCGTGTAATTACATGGTTATCCATTTTCTGATTTGTCTTCCGCTAATGAGTTGAGCAGAATTCCGGATATCATACAGCATCATTATGATTGCATCGTCCGTGCTGAGTCGGAAGTGTTTTTGGCAACGAACTTTTGGCAAGCATCCAAGTCCGCTAGTAAAATATGCGATGCTTTGCTCGAACTCTCGCGCAGAGCGACGAAAAGGGGTAAGAAAGTTGTGGTGAAGATGATGTATGACCGTGCAAATTTAAAGATGCTCACGGAAAGCCACATCATTGTCGACGACGCAGAAATGGCCAGTGATGAAGTAAAGCTCCCCAAGAGGAGCGATATGCCAGGGATCGACTTCGAATTAGTGAATTTTCACCAGTGAGCGTTCTCAGTTGTTTCTCATATGCGAGTTACTATATGATGCATAGACCTGTTTTTGGAACATTCCATTGCAAGTTCATGATCGTGGATCGCAAAATGGCGCTCCTGAACTCGAATAATATTCAAGACCGTCCTAACATGGAGATGATGATCCACTTGGAGGGCCCGATTGTTGACAGTTTGTACGATACTGCTCTCGTCAGTTGGTTCAGACCCATGCACCCACCGCTTCCGTTGCTCAATACCGGGTACCGGCCGCCTAAAGGAGGCTACAAGTTCGGAATGAATAATGAATATGCCACGACTTGGATTCTGGATGGCAGCAAAGGGGCGGAACTTTTTAAGACACTGCAACAGGAGGCCGGCGGCATACACGACGAGACGGGGATAAAGGAGGAAAGGAAGATCCTGCCTCTTCTGGATCTCCAGATGCAGGGGTCCCATTTATCTCCGGCACCTATCAGACAATTACAGAGCATCTCAGTAAGCTATCGTCTCGTTTCACATCCAAGTTCCCTGGTCTGATACCATGCAGATGCCGGGGATCAGCCAGATACGCATACTAGCATACCGTATGAGCCACCAGCGTCGTCTAGAGATGAATACACGCCACATATTCTCCACACACGTCATGGAGAATGTCCCATGGTATTGGTAAACCGTGCACCGAATGGGAGTCCTGGAAATCCCGCCAGTGGCTTGCACAACACGCAGGATGCAGCCTGGCTTGCAGGCTGAAATACGCCCAGAGGAAGGTTTTCATCCAAAGTCCGACTTTAAACTGCAGTCCCCGTGGTTGAAGGCATCTTGAATGCAGTCAGGCGCGGCATCGAATGCACACTGTATATAGACGTGGGCTTCAATGATGGTGGGGAAGCACTTCCTGGACAGGGAGGCACGAATGAGGAAGTATCCAAGACGATGTTCGCACAATTAACTGACGAGGAGAAAGAGAAGCTCAAACTCTATTGGTATACGGGCATGTGCTTCTCCCGCAATGGTGCCTTTCGGTTGCTCACCTGTAATCATTTCAGGTAAGGATCAGATCAAGCCCGTTAATGCATCCGCGCAGAAACGGAACTGTCATGTGTGTCCTATCTTTATTGAAGCTATTGGCAGAACCCTTATCTGACCCCAGGTGAAACTGATGACCATTGATGATTCTGTTGGGATCGTAGGCAACGGCAACCAAGGTATAACTGGTTCTCACCGATGGGCTATTAACTGATACTCATCAAAAAATTTCAGACACGCAGTCTTGGTATCATAGCCAAGAGGTGAACGTTATGGTTGACAACCCTACAGTATGTCAGGAATGGTTTGATGGCGTTCGGAGAAATCAGAACACGCATTTACATGAAGTGGAGAAAGATGGCATATACCGTGATAAGGACGGCAACCCACTTACGGACTCTACTGGCGTTGGGTCGGGATTTCGAGGGGTGGTCAAAGGAATCCAGGGGAGCATCGCGCGGGTTCGTGGAAAGGGTGGGTTTTAGGCATTTCTCTTGAAACCTTGTGTATGGATGATATAGTGTACGACTTAAGTGTCTTGAGTGAGGTGGACACACGTTGGTTGATATTATAAGCGTCTTATCCCTTGTCGGCCGAATGCCCATGTGGGGATATACATATGGCCACACTTCTAAGTGTACAGCCACGAGGTGCATATGATCTTCCTTGGCTTCTTGAGTCGTCCACAACAAAAAATCTTGTTCTACAGCGCCATGAAAGCCCCAGTGTAGCATAATTGTAATATCGGGAACTGCGCCCGGTCCTCGGTAATTGACTTGTTTCAGCATTGAAACATAGCTTCGGGGTTCCCGAAGCGCCCGAACTTAGGTGACCTTCACCGAATCTAATACTCATTTAGCTGTGAACGCCGAAAGGAGTGGGAAGTCAGGGTTAAGTATAGCCAACGACCCGCATGGTGCTCGATGTTCTACATAACATTCGATCCTCGAGAAAGAAAATGACCCTTACGAACTTTGCTAGTGCACTACCATGTCCACTGCAACCAATGTGATTCTCCCCGGGTACCCTATTCCCTCATCACAGGTCCATTCGCCAACGTATACCGCTACTCCTCAGGCTCATGAATACCGTTTAGCTCACAATACGCGTTTAAATCCCAACCGGTCGCCGCGTGAATTTGTAAAGCAAACCAGAAATGGTGGCGTGAGTCTTCGGCTCGCAGGCCAAGATGACCAACTCACGCTTCCTGTCTATGGTTATGGCGCGTCTGTGGAGGGCACCCTCGACGTCCACAAGCGAGATGGTATCACGAGTGTTGAAGTTCAAGTGAGTGGATTAGCCGGATGAATAGGGGTTATTCTGATACAATCTTCTTAGATCGAAGGCACTCTCATGATGGAAGAACTGGCCGAAGGAGGGGCGATGACCTGCAAACTGTTGCTTAACAAGACGATTCTGTGGGTCAGGGACAGAATTTACGAAGCGCCATGCCCGCGTTCACTCCCATTCAATCTCCCTCTTCCAACCACTTTTTCAGATGGCGGAAAAACCTATGTACGTAAACGGTGCGAAGTTTGAACAGCACTTGACGATCACGAGCATAGTCCCTCCCGCCAAGCCACGAGTCCCACCTATCCGGCCTGCCTGGATTTCGCGCGAGGGTAAAGTATAGTATCAGCGCTATTGCTGTGAAACCAAACATCATACCACATGCAGTCAAGTCGTCCTTGTTGGGGGGCGGAGATTGGTGTGTTTCTAGGTGGGATCGTCTTAACCCCTTTTCACGATTTGCAGGACGATTTCGACTCCGTTTGAGTACCTTCCTCGAACTCGTCCATCTTCCCCATTACCATCACCTCTGGTGCCTGGTCAGTGGGGAATAATCGAGACTTCGCAATGGAAGGTTTTTCCGACTTTGATTCACGCAAATCAGGGAGGACACGACATTATGGTAAAGGTTGGTTGATATTGTGAATGAATGTACATATCGATCCTGATAGTTCCTGTGCATCAGTTTTATCTCCCAACCAGTCGAACATTCTGCATGCACGAGCCCATTCCTTTCCACGTTATGTTTTCGTCTTCAGCAATGTCTCTTGCTGCGTTTATGCCTTTGGGACCGATGGTAACCACGTCTCTGAAAACACGGCATACAAAAGTACAGTTGTTGAGGCAGACAACTGTTGATGTTCGGTTTGTTCTTTCAGTGATCTTTGTATGACTGTACTTGATACATTCGCTTTACAGCAACGCTTTGATACTTGGCACCCGCACCGACATCTGGAGAGTCGATTGTATTGGCGAAGGTGCATTCAGGCACGCAGTATGTCACACAGTGCATCTAGCAAAGGATGCTTAATGATTGACGTGGTTCTATAGGGTGACGGTGCACACTGGGTTGCATTCTCGGGAGATATTTATATCTGTCCTGACATCAAAGTCGGAGGCTTCAAAGCGGGCGGTTTTTCCATCAAGGTAGGCACTTGCTTTTACATCTCTGTTAATGGCCTCAGCTGAGACCTATTCATAAAGGATTGTGTAGTCCTAACCATGACTCCGCCCGATCTCTCCAAATCACCTTTCAAGGAACTGCGGCTCACAATTCCTATCCGACTTGCAACAGATCCTTACTCAAGTGGATTTGGCTCTGGCGGGTCTGGTCCCCCATCGATATCTCCTCAGATGGATTTGGGGCTACTCCAGAACTCACCTACGACTCATAATATCATGATTGTGATTTGCAATCAATGTCATTTACATGCCTCACCATAGACTGTTAATTGACGCTGTCGCTAGCCGAGTGACATGTCATTCTTTGCGTCATACACTCCATACACACGTACGTAGGGGTTTTGACGGACTTAAATTTCCAAGATACCGAGCTGATAAGCACATCGCCCATGTACGTCATTACCAAGTCAGGGTTAATGTTGGTTTCCTTTTCATCACATGTCCATCTTGAATAAGTTATTTCTAAACATCTTAGAAACCGCATACTTGAGTTCATCCGAAATCATTCCATAGACCGAAACTTCCGGAACTTCGAATGACATGACATCAAGAAGACCGCCGCGATCGTAGGAAGCGAGCTGACGGGGACCTTCGGCGCAACCGTCAACCCATTGTCATTGCGCCTGTCTACATTTGAAATCGTGACTTAGTCGAGACTGTCGTCCGCTTAACAGTGATACTGAAAGCTTATATTTCAGTGTCGCGGACAGTATTTATGTGAACTCTAGTAAGCCAGTGTGCTTACAGAAATGCAAGTAAATTTTAAATCCTATCGCTACTAGTATAGCGACAAAACGAATAAAGCCAAGTCTAGATCTATCAATTGCAATGAACCCAAAAAACTTAATACCAAATACTCCTCGTCCTATGCGCTGGTAAAACCTCATCCGTCTCAATCCCCTCAGCGCACTCTTCCCCCCTTTGCACTTTTTTGGCCAGATCCCAAAGATAAAAATCAATCAACACACAGCTCGCTTCCCAATCCGATCCACAACTTATCATCTCACTCCTGATACGTTCAACAGCGACGATGCTCGCCGCGCGCAAGCTCATCTCTTCTCTCGATCCAGCTTCTAGGTACGTGCCGGTGCGCAGTTTGTGTTCGAGCGATGAGGGATAGGCGAGGATCCGCAGGTGGTGTAGGATCTGGGGGACGCGGTAATCCGCGAACATCGTAAGAGCGCTTATTTGTGCTCCGCTGAGGCCGGGGAAAATGGGGTGTGGGGTATAGGGGTTTTCGGGGTAGAAAGCTGCCCAGGTTTCTGCTACTAGGATTTGGGGCCGTTTCCAGAAATATACTAGTGAGCATAGACGTTAGTCTTGTGGAATTGATAGATGCAGGTTGGGTGTCATGATTAATATTGACTTGCCTCGTCGTCCGTTGAACATTCGTTCATCTCTAAAACTTGGGAATGAGTCTGTGACGAATTGGACGAGGTCGAGTGCCGTGCCCTGATTCTCATGTCTTCTCTGAAAGGCTTCTAGAAACCCTAGGTATGATCCTCCAAAATGATCCTATAAAGCAATGTACCCATAAACCAGTATGCATATGTGCGCATGGGGAAAAGATTACGTTACAGAGTATAGCACCGACTTCGCGCATGATCGCTAGACGTTCATTGAACAGGGGCATTGATTCGGCAGATTGAGGTGCAGCGCGGAACACATGCGCGATCAGCGAGTCTGGACACAGTGTCTGGGAGGAATAAAATCTAGGGTCGATGATGGGTATACCCTCCTCTAACGCTGACGATCATTGGGTCCAGATTCAGACTCTATAAAAAAAGATGATGATGCATTTGCCCACCTCGATTCAGAGCCGCGACTAAGCTCCAGTATCCAGTGTGAACCGTCATCGTCTCGCTACCCCAACTAGTCCGCCATTCGACGCCGTAACGATCCGGCTGACCTTCCTTTTCCGACCAAAAACTGAAATTCAAAGAAGAGATGAGGAATATCCAGTTCAGACATGCACCCGTGAGTACATCATCGGGGTCATACGGCTCCGGCGGACATATATGCAAGGGGTGCGTGCGCCATGTGCGCGGAGTATAGGACTCGGAAGCCACTTTTTGTAAAATCTGCGCGGATCGGTCAGATACGCGATGCTCTCGAATTATATCAGAGTTTGAACTGACGTATTGTGTGGATTTTTTGACACCGTCATCATTGATTTTGACGATGTTTGTTTGCTGGTGGCGATTATTGTCGATTGAAATGGGTTTCACTCGGACTAGTACTAGTGTCATGAAAACTTACTTCGAGGACAAACTCAGCGCTAGAGACGACTGGGTTGTTTGCATGTATTTTGGGAGATGGAGACGACTCTTCGATGTGTTTTTCATCGAAGATAGGTGAAGTAGATGTTTTATCGGGCGTGGAGAACATCATGATGGTAGTTGTCCAAGCGAGGTTTAACATTTCAAGCGAGAGCAGGCTAATTAAAGCTCGAAGCTTTTAAGCGTCGCTTCCGTGGGTTTCCGTCTACTGCTGAAGAAATGCTGAGTCGGCGATACTGAACTATCTGTATTGCGATTGAAAGGGGGTATCCAGGTCAAGTTTAGAAATTGGAATTGAATTAACCTTTGTGACAGCGCCACAAGGCTTCGACGTATTGCTTATAAATGCCCCGAGCTGCCATAATCAAGACCACTCTTTGTGACTTTTGAAGAAGATTCGTACTCTCCGGGATCCAGTTTTTGTCTTATTTTCAAGAAAATGCGTCGGAATTAAATGGGTCACACGCACCAATATCACCTTGCAGTCGTCATGGACGACCCTTCCTGCTCAAATTGCCAATTTTATTCTCTCACCTGTAATAATCAAAGGGACCACCTATTTCAAGGTATCCCTGAAGCAGTTGAGCGTGGAGTTTGAACGTTTGAACATTCGGGAGATCTCGTATATTACTGGTTCGGTGGGAAGATAAATCCTCATCGATAAATATATTACATTGAATGTCCTACTATACAATACGGCGTGTGCACGGTGACGGATAGAGTACAAGGAAACTAAGCGACACGACCGAGATACATATCAATCCGAAGTCGAGCCTCGGCGTTTTGTTGGAATGGTTTCTTCACCTCGCAACACTTGTTCCCCGTGCTCCTTGACGTCTGATTTACCAAGAGCCTGTAGACAGATAAATAAAGAGAACAATGGAAGACGAGCAAGTGACTGACCGTTCCGCGGATGACCTGAGTGCAAGTGGGCAAGGTAATTAATGAGTAATGAGTGACAAGCGATGGGGATCGCAGTATTATACCTTGGCATAACCTACCGGCGTGTCAGTTCGTATGCCCGAATTGTATCAGAGACACTCACCAAATACTTGTTCTTTGAAGGAAGGGGACTGTTTTTTCTCTGCAGGGATCTCTACCACGTTTATATTGGGGTCATTGCGATCGACCTCGGAGGGATTGCGAATTTGGTCCGCGGGAATACGAGCCCCGTCACCAGGCGAAGTGGAAGCTATGTTTATTAGGTCTACGCGAGGTTGATCGAATGAAAATAGTACCTTGTTGTGGTGCGGTGTTGACCTTGGTTGGTTCAACGACCTTTGAAGGAGGACTGGTATTGTCTTTGGGGGGAGAGGACATGATGGTATAGTGAAGTGGAATCAAATTGTCGATGGCTTTATAGTAGTTCAAATGACATCATTCGTTCATGATTATGTAACATGGCGTAGGAGCAATTATGCTTAAGCTTGGAGATTCGGGGAACAGTCTGTCGAGAATCTGGGTTGTCACGTGCGCAGCACGGAGATATATCTTTTCTGAGTGAAGGTGGATTCTTTTTCATGAACCTATCACATAAAAAGGAGGTTTTGGCGCAATGACTGAGCCTAGTTAAGGTCGATGATCTATACACCGCAAAAATGTTGTCAGCAGGTTTCGAACGAACTCCAAGAGAAACAGATTTTGACTCTGTCGTAGTAACCACATGGCAAAGGCCAGTTAGATGGACCTCTGAGGAAACCGTCCACGAGTCGATGTCAAGGTATGTTCCAATAGAAAAAACCTCGTCAACAAGTTTCGAACCTGCACAATCCAAGAGCAACAGATTTTGATTCTGTTATGGTAACTACATGGCTAAGACCAGTTAGATAAACGTCTGAGGAAACCATCCATGGGTGAATGTCAAGGTGTGTTCCGATAGGAAAAAAGCACATCGTGGGGTAGGTTTCGAACTGCGCGACCTAAGAGAAACAGATTTCGAGTCTGGTAACCGTTTGGCAAACACCATTGAAGATGAACTTCAAGGAACTGTCTATGAGTGGATCATGAAGGCATGTTTGATAGGGAAAAAACCTGGTCGTCGGCAGGTTCGACAGATTTTGATTCTGTTGTGTAATCACCTGGCTAAGACCAGTTAAGATGGACCTCCGAGGAAACCATCCATGAGTAGATCTTCAAGGCCGCCGCCATGTTCCGATAAAAAAACGTGGACGTCGGTAGGTTTCGAACCTCCCCTGGCACAGTCTAAGAGACAGATTTAGATTCTGTTGGCGTAACCACTTTGACCAAGACGAAGTTGAGATGATCCTCGGAGGAAACCGTTTATGAGCAAATCTTCAAGGCGTGTTTTGATAGGAAAAAACAACCTGTGGTTACCAGGTTTCGAACCTGCACAGTCCACGAGAAACAGATTTTGATTCTGCTATGATCACCACTTGTCTAAGACCAGTTAGAATAAACCTGTGATGGAATCGTCCATGGGTCAATGTTAACGTGTCTTCCGATAGAAAAAAAACTTGTCGTCAGCAGGTTTCAAACCTACGCAATCCGCCAGTTAAGATGAACCCCCGACGAAACCGTCCATGAGTCAATGTCAAGGTGGTTTCCGAGAGAGAAAAACTTGTGGTGAGCCGGTTTCAAACCTGCGCAATGCCCGAGGAACAGATTTTGATTCTGTTGTGGTCACCGCTTGACCAGGACCAGTTAAGATGAACCTCGGACGAAACCATCCATGAGTCAATGTCAAGGTGGTTTCCGATAGAAACAAAACTTGTCGTCAGCAGGTCTCGAGCTTGCGTAGTCCAACAGATTTCGACTCTCTTGTGGTATCGACATAGCTAAGACCAGTTACAATGGACCTCTGAGGAAACCATCCATGAGTCAATGTCAAGGTATGTTCCGATAGCAAAACACCTTCTCATCGGCAGGTTTCGAACCTGCGCAATCCAAGAGAAAGAGATTTTGACTCTGGTAACCACTTGGCTAACACCATTGGAGATGACCCTACGAGGAACCGTCCATGAAGGAACCTTCGAGGCGTGTTCTGATAGGAAAAAAAACAACATGTTGGGTGTAGGTTTCGAACCGCCGCCAGCCAAGAGCAACAGATTTTGATTCTGTTGTGGTAACCATTTGGTTAAGATCTGTTATGTAAGATGAACGTCCGACAAAAGCACCTATAAGTGAATGTCGAAGGTGTGTTCACGCATCATAGACCTTATCTATGACTTCTGCACACACCTCTGAGGAATCGCAGAAGTCATAGATAAGGTCTATGATGCATCCGCCCCAAGGGGGTTGGGAGGCTGAATGCCAGTTTGAGAGTGAACCTGGAATTGGACTTCTGTGAAACTTTTCCAAACCAATAGGGATAGGACGGAACCAGTGCACTGTATATTTGTGCAAGACTTTCAAAGGCATAAGTATCTGGAATTTCATGACAAAAACCAACCGTACTGTGGGGTGTAGGCACCACGCGTAGCTGTCAAAGTAAGTGCGCAGTACTACCTCAAGTAAAATTCCATTCTCCGGGTCATCGATGATACCAGCCACGTCATCTATATTAATGCTTGAAGGGAGTTTAGTATAGTGGTTTATGATGACGATTGTTCCCGCGATGCCCTGCAGAACAATCAGCCGGACGGGCGCAGCAACTTGACAGCTGAAGAACATAAATTACCTTCAGGATCGTGAACAACGGATCTTCGGAGGACGTGGGTAGCACGGAGGAATGGTTCACGAGTACCAGGGGGTGTGGTGCGTTGAGTGTATCCAAAGCTCCGGTGGCTGTACACCTGTCGCCTTCTCGTTTGCTGATCTAGATGGTCTTTTTATGAACATCTGATATAAAAACAAAGTGAGACACTGCAGATTTAGAAGCCCGTGACGCCGCAGGCAGTGTCAGCAACGACTTTAGAAACACGGAGGTTGGGAGTGGCGATCTCCGTGGTCGGGTCTGAAGAACTTCCTGACTTTCCTACCATGAGCAGCAGCTCGTAAATAACGCAGATGACATACAAGGGCAGAGGAAGAACAAGAACCAATCATGGGCCAACCTGATTAACTAACTCGGAGGGAGAGGAGTTAGACGCTTCTCCCTTTTGATAGGCCGCTGTGATGGCAGCCGCTGCGTAGCGTACACCGCTTGACAAACCAGCTTTCTCTAAGCCCTCCATCATTGCGTCCAATAGATCATATGTGCTGACTCCGTAGTCAACCGAGGAAGTTATTGTAGATACCATTTCCCGAAGAATGGCTTTTGCATGCCGCTTCAACTCGTCGTTTGTCTCCGGCCCAATGGTCGCTCGTCACGGTGAGAAGAACGCATAGTCATCTAAAATGGTGAGGGTACTCGCGCTAGGATATCGTCGAAAGAGTTTGAAATGACATCACTGTTCGTGATTATGTAACACGGCTGAAACTTTCTGTAGGTTGCTCAACAAGCCATTACTTGAAGATTCGGGCAGCTGCTAAGATGACCGACGCATCCTCCTCGACGAGCTACCCAACGAACATGACGAACCTAACAGATTTACAGTTGCGACAAACTATAACTCAGCTCTCAAATGCAGCCAATAATCCTACAAACCAGTTTCAGCACTACGTATCACCCGCACCCCAACAATCAACATCCAAAGGTTCATTTCATTAACTCATCCATCCAAACTCACTAAACAAACTCGTATTAGCCTACCTTAAAAATGTTCACACTTGGTCAACAACAAATCCGAACAAAGCTACCCGTGCTCGTCATCGCACTGCAAAGACTATCGCACAACCAGTTCCACAACAGATCGTCGCTGCTCCAGTATATCAACCGCCTCCTCAACCAGTCGCACCCGTACAAGTTGCACCTCCCCTCCCCCCAAACCCACCCCGCCATCCACTCCCCGTCGCCTCCCAAGCTCTCCATTCTACATATGCTTCCCGCCTACGCACAGGAACAACCCTCCTTGTACAGCCCGTACTTACCCAGCCCTCTGCAGCAGCCGGAAACACAAGAGCCTCTACCCGCCGTGGAGGCATGATCAACTACGCAGAACCAGGCTCGGGAGACGAGTTCCCAGATGCTGGTGCCATCGAATCCGATGACTCTGATTTTGTCGCTAGTGGAGGCATGAGAACGACTTTGAGAACGCGGAGAATGGGAACTGGCATGTCGGTTTTTCACTCAGGTAGTGGGATGTCCACCCCTCAGCCACAACAACGACGCTCTACACCGATGCAGAACGACAAGGGAGAGTTGGATCAGAGTTACCTAGGTATGATCCCTCCAAGTCGGTTCATCAAAGGAAAACCTGTCGCTCCAACCGCACATGAATATCCGTGCGTACATCTACCACTATCGTGTCTAACAAATAACAACGTACACAGTGCACCCGACATGCTTGAAGCACAAGCACAAACACGCGCCTCTCTAGTCCCTATCCGTGTCGAATTCGAAACAGACACCCTCCGAATACGCGACTGCTTCGTCTGGAACTTGAACGAGACTCTCATCAAACCCGAATCATTCGCTAAAGTATTCTGCGCAGACCTCGATCTCCCCACCGTCCCATGGGTAGAAACAGTCGCAAACCAAATCCGTGCACAGATTGAAGACCACGAAGGCGTTGCTTCCATGGATATAGGCGCAGACCATGCAATCGACTCGAGCTTGGATCCCCATGTTGCGGCTGAAGCGGGCGAGGAGGTTCCCGAGTGTCGTGTTATCTTAAGCGTGTGTTCTTCCTAGTGATGATAATGGATTAGTTGCTTCATTGACGATTACAGATCGACGTGCAGATAGCGACGCATCATTTACTCGACCATATAGAGTGGGATTTGCTTTCGCCTCTGACACCTGAAGCATTTGCGTTACAGCTCTGTACTGAGCTAGGGTTATCAGGAGAGGCGCTGCCGCTCATAGCTCACGCGATCCACGAAGAGCTCATAAAGCACAAGAAGGACGCTATCGAATGGGGCGTCATCGGCGGAGACAAGGAAGCCGAAGGCCTAAAAGACAAAACAGGGCTAGGCATGGGTTGGGGCCGCACCAAAGGCCCCAAAGTCCTCCAAAGCGTCTGGCGCGAATGGACAGAAGCCGAAGAATTCCGAACACGGTTCGAGGTGCTCACAGCAGAGGAGGTAGAGAGGCGAGAAATCGAAAAAGAAAGAGCTAGCAGGTACGGTGTCTTACGCTGCACGCGCTATCTATCCAATCATACTAACCTGGGCAGGCGGTTGCGTCGCGAGACGTCTAAATTCCAGACTACCAGAACTAGACGACGTTGATCTATCTATCTGGGACCTGGATTCTGGATTGCACGATCAAACTCATAATCATAATCACATGAAAAATTACTGTATTTCATTCATAATCGCCATCTGCATTGATGTCGACGCCATCCCCAAGCCATTCCTGTCTTGTCCTTATCGCTTTTTAAAATTGCAGCCGGCCGGCGATCGCTGTCTTCTGGATCCCCGATTCAGTTCTACCCAGTCATTTTATTGACATGGTGTCGTATTCTGGGCATGCATGATAAGACCACGCACCCAGATGTACAGTAAGATCTGATGGAAGTCTCTTCATTTCAGGCTGCTGGCTCCACGAGTGTGGTGCTGGTGCTGCGCATGGGGTGCTGGAAGCAAGTACTGCGCGCGGCGCATACATACTACATTCATGCTTGCCTTCTGGACGTCTTCTCAGGGTGCTGCGTTCTACGCCTTGTCTTGCACGAGTTATTCGACTGCCTCTTCCGTGCGCAGTGCCCATTCCCAAAGAACCCCGCATGAACATTAATATTGAACGATAGCTATGATACGGCCGGACCGTCCAGGACCGCCCCATAACTCTCCGTAGTCCTAGTTTATACTTATCTCGTAACCGTCGCACGTTTCCATCGACATCATGAATCAAAAATCGAAAAAAAAACATGACGTGACACGACTGAGTCATTTCATAAACGTATATCGAATGCGCAGACTGGAAATCCATCACCCCGGTGTACCCATACCCAGAATTCGGGATCTACGTATACGTGTATATGAGGATACCAACCAACCAACCCACTTACATTAAAAGCCCTTTTGGAAGGGAGGACGGGTGGTACCGACGTTAATCGTGATGGCTGTAGCCGCTCAGGCTCGACTCAGTCGATTACATATAGGGCCTGGAGCATAACAACACTCGACATACGCCTAGATTCCAAGTCCTGATCGATCAAAGCCTACGCCCACCGGTAAAAACAAAAGTTTGGGGTAGATAAGGCCCAGGGGGGACCGTATCGCCTCGTCCCACCCCATGGCACCGCAATGAGCCCGATTGATCTGGTACACGCTGCACAGGCTTTCGAATTCGGTAGTACCAGTACTAGTACGTGCCCGGTTTGAGTTGTGCTACTAGGTTTCGGCATTGTATGCCCGATTCAGGCCTCTGGCACTTAACCCTGAATACTTTGAACTCTGGCTCCACGAGCATGTGTTTTCATCTGAAAATTTCGGGTTGGTGTGGCGCGTGCACATGCTGGTGGTGTTTTGACATTCGTCATTTTGAGTGGTATTAATGTTAACATTGCACCCCCCCTACCGTCGGCTCCGACACTATAAAAGTGCTCGGAGAAGTGTAAAAAAATGAGGGCTAAGGCAACATGGACCAGTGAATAGCTAGTAAATTAGCACAGTCTCCCCCATGTAGGACCAGATAGAACACCCGATCGGTACGCTCGCACGCGCATGATTTCAATGATAATCACCACAAAGTGATTTTCGAAAATTACTCATGATGATCATGATATCACACATTGCAATTGAGAACTCGCTCAGAATCACAGGTGCGGTACCACAGATGTATGCAGTGTTCGTCGTCCCAACAACGGACGTGGAGGGAACAAGGTCAGGACCAAGAAAGGCTTCATACCATCGAACGTGTCTTAGAGGCTTCCCGCGAAGTGGCGCATTGTAGAAGCCTCGCCATTCAATGCATCGTAGTACGTTCCGTATTTTCCGAGATGCATAGTGACGCTGCCGATTCTCCTTAAAGGCCTCCAGGGCCAAGACACTTCATTATCGTTTCCCTCTCCGCGTGAACGAGGGGAGCCTTCAGTGTCAGTGGTGGGTGTCCCGAATGTTCCCGAATGTCTTTGTTTCTCCATTGAGAACTCCGAGACGCTTCACGTTCCTCTTCGCGTGGATAGGAGTTCAGGGAGGTCTTCGGTGTGCGGGTGTCCCTCCCGAACGTCGTGTTCGTGCTTGTGTGGTCGTCAATGTGGCACCGAGTCTCCGTCCCCATTAAGAGCTCCGAGATGCCTCATTTCCCTCCTCGCGCGGATCATGACATGACAAGGCCGTCACAGCTGCTGGCAGTCTGACGTTGTGAAATCTGTGGATTGCGCATGTTGATGAGCATGGCTGTAACCACAGGTTTTGCAGTGCTATCGGGACAGTGGCAGCCTACATAGCTTATCCGAGGCTCGCATATAATCAAGATTTTGGCACATGGAAGCTCAGAACTTCAGAAGCACGTCATTAGCTGCCGTCATGAAAAATCGCATCAGTAATTGCCAAATACCAAACAGGCCGAGATACCATTTTTCCGAAACTCAAACGGTACGAAACCATTGTGGTACAGATTCTGAAACGTCAATACCAATGACAAATCCCACCTTCAAAGTAGATCACGACTTGCTCACATGTTGGTGAATTCGTTGTCCCCCCTCTCGTCAACAATAGCAGGCACATAAACGACCTCACTGTCACTGTTACTCCGGGCCTTGCGCTCGGATATATGGAATAGATAAGGTGTGAAGTGAAGTGCGTATGCGTTAAGCGAAACGTGTAAACTCCCAGACATGCCGGTCGTAAATATGTCGTACGGAATGTCAAGGCATACGAAGAGAGCCTTTCGGCATGTGGGGGAGAGTTTTTCGGCATGCGGGGGAGCCTTTCGTATGTCTCCAGAATCCGTGGTCGTCAGTGTCAATATCAATATTGCGCTGTAGATCTCGTTTAAGCCAAGTTCATTTCCGGTCCGTGAGTACAATGCATTTCGGATCTTGGTAGTAGCACATATGGTCTTGGCGTGGATGTTTTTACTTGGAGGAATCTGAGCAAAGGGATGATGTCAAACATTCCCACATGCGTGGCTGTCAACGTTGTGGATGAGTCTAAGTTGAGTCTCCATCTCGTTTGAGAGGGGCCTTCCGGCATGGTCCCGTATTTTCCCAGAACCTGGAGGGGCTGTTATAGACTCCTTGGTCCGGGACGAGTGTCATAGGGTACATGTAATAAAAATTGGAATAATGCGTCAGTAGCACATTGTACGCGGAGGTTTACGTAGATGAACAGGTTCCCGTGGTAGTCCGAATCAACGCTGTCGACTGAACCGGAGTTTGGAATCTCCAAGTGTTTTGAAGGATCCGAGATGGTTTCATTTCCCTCCGTGCGGGGATAGATTCTAGAACGTTCGACCCGGATGATGTGCTGTGTTTCTTTTTGCGTTGCGCATGAATGCCGAGGGTAGGACGGTTGTCAATGTTACCAGAGTGTGAGGAACCGAGAGGGTTCATTTGACTTTGTGCGGGGATAAAACCCGAGGTGCAAGTAGCACATTGTGCTCTATGATCCCGGTATGGACGGCAAATAATCGGGAACTTTGCTGGAATGAATTTGAGATGGTTGTGGCGAGGGTTAAACACATCGTGTCAATACGACAACGATCCAAGCAAGAAGGGAACGAAGAGAGGGTGCGTGATCTCGGCAAACCAACGACTCGGGGTATGCTTCTCTGGATCGATGATAGGGTGTTTGTGCACGTGGCAAAGCGATAAAGGGGTGTCGGCGGACGAGTGACACGTGGTGTCAGCGCTCGTCGGGGTTGAATTTACATATAAAGAAGTTTTCTATGCGGCGAGTGTCACGGGAAACCCGCGGTTATGTAATATATATCGTATATCGTTGGTCGATAGCGAGATGTGGGGTAACCTTTTTATTATATAATAAAAGAGTTTAAGAATATATTTTTTATTGTTCAGCACAGCCACAATTCCACGTTGGACCCCTTGCACGTTGAGTCAACGCCTTCTACCCCGGACTCCGAGCGACCCCCCATTACATACTCTAGCGCCTACTTATACTCTGCCTCATTTTTTCTTCCTTCTTCGTCCTAACCACAATGGAGACTCAAGTACCAGCTCCTCCATCTCACGATAAAGTCGCCCCTCGTCCTTATAAATGTCCTTATCCTCTATGCGGTCGCGCTTTCAGTAGACTCGAACACCAGGCAAGCTATCGTCCTTCTTTCTTTTTTTCATTCTCTAGCGCAACGTGCTGATCTCATATGATCGTCATCTTATAGACTCGTCACATTCGCACTCATACAGGCGAAAAACCCTTTGTCTGCACTTTTCCATCTTGCGAGAAGCGTTTCTCTCGCTCAGACGAACTCACAAGACATTCACGCATTCACAACAACGACAATTCTCTGTCTGGTGCTTCAAATGCCAAAGGTAAACCAAAGGCAAAACAAAATATCTCAATCATAGATGAACACACCGGCCCAGGCATCAATCTACATTCCTTGTCTCGCTCAGACCCTCAAGGAACTTCTATCAGAGTAAAGAAGAAGGCTAGAAGTAGAGCGAACAGCGATGACGAGGTATCTTCCATTTCTCCATTTTATGTAATCAATTTAATTTAATCACTAACCCTCATTATCCTAGGCTGAATCGTATGCCCGACCAACGTCACTTGCCTCTTATGAGCCTTCTCACCCAAGACGCTCTCAAACCCATATCCCAGTCTCATCAAACCCTTCCGCTTTTTCAACTCTGTCAAGTCTAGCAATGGATGAGCTTTATGCACTCGAACGAGAAGAGGCCCTTCGTCGCGCAGAATACGAAGCCCGTCATGCAGAAGCTCTTCGCCGTGCAGAGTATGAAGCCCGGAACGCCGAGGCAATTTACTTCCGCGGACGTACATCAAAAAGTGCTTCCAATTCCCCCGTCCACTCCACAATATCTCTCAAAACTGCACCTAGTGACGGCTATTTCGGTGTATCAAGCACCCGTGATTGGAACGAAGACGAAGACATCAGATCTTCAGACAGATTCATGCGCGCAAAACGAAGAATGAGCGGCCCTGCTTGGCAAATGACTCCTATGTCACAAGACCCCCGCTCCGTCCCTGCACTTCCACCTTACCCCGAAGCTTCTAAACCCCGCACCCTGAACTCAACCCTTCATCCCCCCGCTTATCGTCATCTCGTAACACATGAGGATTCTCCGTCACCTTTGAGTTCCGATTCTGACACTCACGTCGCCGCACAACATCCGCAATCCCGTGCCACATATCCTGGCCCTGCCGAGTTCTCCCCACCCTCAGGCATCAAAGCTACAGAATTTACCTTTACACCAAGTACAAGCCCGTTCCTTGGCCCACTGCGCACCCTCAATCTTCATTCAGCCAACCCATCAAGGGCCCCATCACCCATCTCGCTACCCCCCGTGGATGTGCCTATCAGCCCAATAGACGAACCTATCCGCCAACGCTCCCGTCGTTCCAGCATCGTCAGCAGTCCCCCAACCCGCGGTGCTTTTTTCCCGGCTTCCCGAAAACAAGGTTCAGGTTCATTCGAACCGATTCCACATGTAAGAACATACCCCGGTCAACTTTCTCTCGCTGCCCAAGCCCAAGTTTCCGAGCGAGCCTTACATAACCTCCCGACGCCTCAACTTTCAAGTGGGCCGAGCAGTAGTGGGAGCAGCCCAGGGAGCTCTACGTATCCGTTGGTAGGCAATGGGATGTACAGCTCTAAACCGGTGTTTGAGAGCGGCGCGATAACTACAAGTCCGAGTGGTTCAAGACCGAATTCGCCCCCTCACCCCCACACGAACCACCACCTCGCATATTCCGTCCGGATGGCATTTGGAATGACACCCATCAACGCTAGCCACCCACCCCGAAACACGAGCTGGCCGAATTCGCATCACTTGGGTATGGGTATGAGTACGGGTCTGAAGAACAAAGCTCGGAGTACGACGAATGTGTTTGCGTCGAATTCGGTGCCTGCTTCGAGGAGTAATTCGCCGCCTATTACTTTGCCGCCTTTGAATTTAGGCGCGAGCGAAAGTACGGGCGATAAGGAGGGAGAAGGGGAGGGGGAGGGGCTTCCAATGGATCTGGATGAGGATGAGAGTAGTAGTGATGATGAGGGGACGTTTATGAACACGGGTGGTGGGAAGAGGGAGAAAGTGGAGCTTCCTGGTTTTAAGGAGTTCGAGGCTGCTACGAGGTCTGGGAGGTGATGTCTTTCCTCCTTTCTTACTTTCGGCCGTTTCTTTTCTTTTGCTCGTCGCGTTGGTTGATTCCCCACTGCAAACAATCTATCCACACTCATCCAATATCAATCCACCTCTTAATACCTTATTCCCCTTTTCCTCTCATGATTTCAACAACCCCACATAGAAAGACCCTTGCGAGGGTGTTACATATAGATGCGTACATAGGCTAGGATCAGGTTATCTTGACGTGTAGGAAGTATCTTAGTTAGTGTTTTCGGGTAATTCTCTTTCCTCTTTCCTCTTTCCTCTTCCCATCGCTCTTTCATTCCGATTTTCGTCTATCGATTGTAATCCTCTCGTAATCCTCCTGTTGTTGCTATCTATCTATCTATTTATCGAGTACGCACGTGCGTAACGCACTGTTATATAGTAGTTGTATCTTTCCCTCTTCGAGATCGTGTATGTAGCATTATGCGTTCTGCTCGCCTTCATCATTATGATAGTTGCAATTTTTCGAGGCGATGCAATTGAGATTCGAAACAGCTGTGATCGGACTTTTGGCGCTAATTAGAGGAATAGTGCTTAGCACAAGTTGCTTATCGCATCCACGGAACCAGTGTCGTACCAGTGCTCCTTGCGTACTAATACGGTATGGTACACCACATTAAATTATTAACTAGGGCCGCACTGAATCACAGCGCTCCGCGACTGCAACATCATAATATTGATGATTAGGACTGACCACCCTCGATTTTCGACGCGTTTGATTTTTGATGAAACGACAAGACCACGCACAAGAAAACAGGAACGGGAACGGGGATCATGCGTCGTACCTATAACAAGTTTTGTCCGACGGAGTCGGTAACTGCGCGATCTATCCATGTTGCGAGGAAGGATGCGCTGAAGAGGTTTTATGAGTGTGGGTTTCCGTATTCTAGGTATGTAGTGTGGAGTGGAGTGGAGTGGAGTGGAGTGGAGTGGAGTGATGTGTGATTGGAGCGTTAGTGCACGGTACAGGTGCTGCGCGCGTCCTTCGTGCGTATGTATACGCGCATCACATTAATATTCCTCATCGAAAACTAGACTGTGCATGCCCACTCCACTCCGCTACTCAACCACCCCTCTATGAGTCATGATAACGTCTGACGCCGCCTCCACAGGAAACTAACAGCCCACAAATCATGCGTCAATTACCTCGCCTTCTCAAGACACGACGGTAGATGGCTCGCAAGCGCTGGAGACGATTTCCGCGTGTTACTTTGGGATTTCAGCGAGGAGGACGTGGTGCGTCCGGGGCATGTTTTTACTGGGCCTAGCGTGAGCTTTTTGTGCATGGTTTATGTCACTGGTGCTCATGGTTGCGTGGACAGGGAAATGTACTGGCGCTTGATTTCTCAGCTACGAATCAGTATTTGTACAGGTGAGGATTCGTATCACATCGTGTGTGCAAGGTGTTGTGTTGATGAGCTGTGTAGTGGAGGAGCCGATAATATTACTTTGAAATATGATGTTTCGACGTTGCGGGGGGTTGGTAGGAGTAATGGGAGGGGTTCGTCGTCCTTTGTTAAGCAGTACGAAGATCACGACGTAAGCATCCCACTTTCTTTTCATGAGTCTTGTAATGATGTCGAGGAGCTAGGATAGCGTCCGAGCGCTTACGTGCCATCCATACGAAGACGAGATATTTCTCAGCGCTAGGTACGTCCTACATCCCAAATCGCCCATATCCGAGTCCGAATCGGCATCTTACAGTGAGGATGGAAAACTCGTACTGCATGATGGTCGTGCTGGTGGTGGAATGAGCACGGCGCAGGGGACGCTTCAACATACGGCTTCATTCACAGGCGTGCAACATCATCCTGTCATGGAGCATGTTTTTGCGACGTGCGATGTACATGGGCAGGTTTGTCTCCGGGATACGAGGATGACTTTTGGGCCATTGTCGACACGGTCGAATGGTGGGATCGTGAGAGTGGTATGTTTGTCTCTGGTGCTGTTGCTGTAGATTGATTTACGAGACGGATGATAGTATAACACGAAGTTGTCGAGAAAGTCGGCGAGGTATCTTAGTAATCCGGAAAGCAGCAGTTTGACTTTTGATCGTGATGGTGGGTTCCGGACCACGAGTTGCGTCGTGCTGCTTCATACTCTCTCTAGGAAGTAAATTAGCCGTAACGTTCCTTGTAAGCTTTCCCCCTGCTGTCTTAGCTTTTTCTCTCATCATGCTCTAGCACTATTTCCCGACGATATATGCCCTGTCAGATCCACATCCCCTGGCTATATGCACAGGCCGCAATGCCCCCAATGGAACCCAGATCTCTCCACCTCAACGAACATACACCAATTCATGTACGATGAAAGTACGCCACTTCGTTTCTCCACATCAAGATTGCACGTCAGCTCACTGCGTCTAGTCGGGCGCGTTCGGTGGTCCTGGAATGGATGAAGATGACATGTACGGCGCTGGGTCTGATGATTTCAGGGCCTATGTATGGAAAATTCCTCCTTTGATGACTTTGCAGGGGCTCAGGAAGGAGATCACCTCTTATGACTGGTATACCCGCGAATGGCCGGATACTGTAGGTGAGCGTGTACAGTCATATGTCCGAGCGAGATACCTGACATGCGAGTACTAGCGTTTGCAGAAGGGAAGTGGGAGAGCAGATACGTGCCTTTTGAGATATCGACGCCGTTAGCGAGACTGAATGGTAATCATCCTCAATTTGTTTTAGGGGTTTTATCGCTGATAATCAATTGAAGGGCATAAATCGATCGTGAATGCTGTCGCGATCCATCCGTCCTTGCTGCATGTCGTGACTTCGGGTGTTGAACGCCAAATTATGCTTCATAGCCCTATACCTTCATCACCTGCTGTTCAAAATCTTCTTCCTACTCCACCGACCGTCAGGACGCTTCAACCTCAAGATATAGCAGCACAAAGAACGTTCCTGAGAGCGCTTTTTGGGCCACATCCGACGCTGCGTGAGGAGGTTGAGGAGGAGGAAGGGGAGGATGAGACGATCTCTCTATTTGATCAGTAAGTCTCATTGTCTCAGCATAGGCTCCTTCTAATACTTGACATGGATAGCATCTTGAGAGAAGAGGGTGAAGCAGATGTGTTTACAGTGAGACGTTGGGGAGAAGATTCAGCAGAAGACTCAGAAGATGAAGATGAAGATTCAGAAGAGACCGTGATCGATTAACTTTGATACCTCTCTGATTGCTCCCTATAATTCAGTTCAGGTGATGATGGCAGTGCACTGTGGATAAGCGCCTCGTTCTTGTTCTTGTCACAGCTTATTTCCATTCCGCGATGAAGTCAAAAGGCTGTTCCGGCGCTTTGTGTAGACACGTGCAGTGTGCCTTGTTATCTGGTTCATCACCCTCTAACCCTACCACCATCGTGAATATCGATTTCTGCGCGTGATGCCTGCGTACAACGTAAGGGACTCTAATATCGCACTTCTAGGCTCCGATGTAAGTCTCGGCACCGCTTGGTTGACGCTTTGACTCCTGATTGCATATACAGCTCGAAAGACGCGTCCGCGAACACGCTGGCGCCAAAGAATCAGCTTGGGCGAAAGCTGGTGTCCAACCTGGTTTTCAAATATGGAGAGTAGAAAAGTTCGCGATCGTCGATTGTAGTGACTGGGTGGCACACGAGAAGAAATATGGGACTTTCTATGATGGCGATTCGTACATTGTCTTACATGTGAGTGGCGATGGGACGATACAGTGCGCGAGAGGTTCTGACGTAGATGTGTCCTTCATGCAGACGTACCAGGATGGCAAGGACTCACCGCTCCGATACGATCTGCATTTCTGGCAAGGAGAACATACGACTCTAGATCAAGCTGCCACAGCTGCATTTAAGGCTGCTGAGCTTGAAGAACGTAGGTCATCTATCATATAATCCGAGCACGAATGATGCTCAGAGTACCCATCAGACCTCGGAAGCAAAGTAACGCAATACCGTGAAATCCAAAACTATGAATCCCCTCGATACTTATCCTACTTCCCCCATTTCATGATCTTACATGGAGGCGTTTCGACAGGATGGCATAACATCCTCACTATGTTACCTGAAGATGAAAAGAAGATCTACACGATGGTCACGACGCGTGACAAGGTACTCAAGACACGGTCAGAGGACGGGAAACAACTTATAGTACGTGAAATACCTCTCGAGGGGTTGGCTATGCGCCAGGGGATCGTCTACGTACTCGACAAAGGTCCCCTCTATTGGCAATACAATACGAAGAAGAGTACTGCTTGGGCAAGGTACAAAGCAGCTGAATATATGATGTACTTGGGACAATGGAGGGTTCCTCAAACTAAATTTCAAGTGTTTGGCGAGTGCATTCCTCGAATATATTGTGATTCCGTACGTATTAATGATAACTGTGTAGATGAGGGGACTCCGGATGAAGGAGAGTTCCTTCAAGCAGCGGGAATCACTTCCCCTGTGATGGACATACCGCTACCGCCTAACCAGGGGACACCGATCGATCCCCCGCTGTTATACCGACTGATCGGAGACGTCCATGGCTGGCAGGTCGTCGCTGTCGCTGCACAGAAGACTTCACTTCAGTCTGATGGTGTTTATATCTTGGACGACCATGCATTCCCAGCTGTTTACACCTGGCTAGGGAAGAACGTTCCAGAGCCCCGACGAAGACTTGCGCTGCAGTACGCTCAAAATTACCTGAATGACAAACTTGCCAAGGAGGGAGAGCACGTGCAAGTGGCAACTACTTTGGTGAAGGTTAACGAAGATGTTGAGCCTGCTTCATTCTTGGATGCATTTAATCCGAGAACCATCTGAAGGCCCTCAGTAATTGGATTTGTGACGATGGGATAGTGTACACATAAGTAGTATTACAAGTGTCGATATGTCCAAGAGTTTATGACAGGATTCATGTAGTCTGTACTTTACACGTCGTAAGCAATTCTTGCGCTCGACCAACAGTAGGGGTAGTTCCGTTGGTACCAGTTGCGTACACTCCTTCTTTCAGAGATACGGGGAATGGTGGCGTATGACCCTCCAATCTGATAAATGTGATATGAGAATATGGAAAACAACTCGAGCAAGACACATACAACCACTTGATGAGATTCATCGAAGAAATCAGCGGAATACCTGAGTGAAGCATATTAATCAACTAGTTATACGGGAACCTATCGTACTCACCCCGGATACAACGTCGATGGTACAAAGCCATCATATTTGTCAAAGACAGTGGAAGTCCACTCCCACACCCCTCCATTATGCCCCTTCCCACCGTGCTTGCCTCCGCCGGTAGTAGCCCTAATATGAAATGATTATTACATTAATCATATGCGCAAGAGTATACGTACGGGACAGGATGCCAGTTCCTGAATCCGACGTTGGCACCCCCTTCATACCTAGAAGAGAATTTGTCAAGGAAGAGTCTCAATTCCGGTTCAGTCGGGATGCGTCCGCCTTTCACACTCGCATACACTGAAAGATTCTCGTAGCAAGTAAGGATTGGCCAGTCCCAGGCGATCTTTATGGAAATTGGACCATATAGCGTCCGCACCTGCAGCGTGCTGAGATTAGTAAAAGCGGTAGTTAAGGTGAGTACACTTACACAGGTTTCTCCATTGCGATCCTCCCAACTGGCAGGGAATTCGACTCTTCCTTGCCCGGCACCCTTGTAAAACTCATAAAAGTCCCCATTCGTCACGGGCCGCCACTCAATACGGAACGCCCTGACTTCGGCCTGTCGACTTGGGCTTTCATTGTCCCACCCAAAGCTGTGGTCAGCGAAATCGCAGCGTTTCGCAGGATCGGTGTCTTCTGCTTCGACTGTCGTTAATGCCAAGCGTAACAGTTGCAGGGCCTATTTCAACGGTTGCTACATCAGGTTTGGGTGCTGCTTGCCACTGCACTACAAGAGACTCCCAGTGGGGAGGAGAAAAGTCGGGTGGAGGAATCGTTCCCGTCCCTGCGCGCTGAACTAGCATATACAAGAGCGTCTTGAAGCAACCTCAGCGAATTAAACCAACTTCGCAAGAGCTAATATTACCTCGACATGAAAACCTTCATGCTCGAACGTCATGAATAGGACGCGAGCTACTTTCCTAGTCAAGGAAATCTTGCCTTCAGCAATATCGTTGTAAACCTTTCTAAGGCGCTCCCTGACACGTATTTGGAAGGCCAAAATACTATGGAGTGAGGGCCAATCGTCATCGTTCGTGGGAACCACTGAATGAGGCTAGGGATAGGGATCAGGCTAGACGAATGAATGGGAGCAATAAGGCGAACATGGCATTGGGTCGGGTCGTCAACATTGGGGTCAATGCCTCTCTACAATCAGATTTAGCTGTACTTATTTTCAGGGATACGATTGCTTCGTACCTCGAAAATGTGCTGCAGATGAGATATGAGCCGCTGATATTCTCTTTCAAATCTAAACTGACCTTGAATTCCTGAGGTTCGGTGTGAGGTTGGTCAAGAAGACGAGATAAATGGATGTCAAGAAAGGTTGGGATGTGACCGAGATAGAACAGACAGATGTGTCTCAAATCAATCGGCTTCTGAAATAGCATTGCAGGAGGTATCATCCGCTGTGTGACGAAGTCCCAAACAGTCCACATGTTGCTCCAGTCCTTTATCGAGGGAATACCGAATTTGGCAGTGTGGCTAGACACCGCCGATGGCGAGTCAAGTAACGGAAATACGAATGGCGGACGTTCTAACAGCCAGAGTGAATAACGTTGCGTATTGTCTGTCCATCGCTGAATGGGCCGCAGATTGGCCTCGGTAAATAGCGTGTATGTGTCACTTTCCGAATACTAACTCGATGCTCGTGAGTTATCTCCTATTCAAGGTGTGCAACGTACTTTGTGCGAGATTTCCATTTTGACAAGTTCACCCTCCAAAAATTGAATCGGCTTGGGCGCCATTGAGGGGTTAATGTCATGCGTGTGGGTACACCTATAGTACGCTTCATGACAACCTAATCCAACAGGTGATGGGATTGGTGTTCAATCGCACTGACAAGAGGTACTTACGTTTGGATTCGTTGTAAGTATTCACAGTATTCCCAATTTTGTTCCGCGAACATTGACTCGTCTCCGAGTGCTCTCCCAGCGGCCTTCAACCCATTCAATATGAAATCACGAGTGTGACCCCGAGGGTCATTGTACGCTAGTTCAATATCTTTGCGATCATTATCATGATCCAAGCCGAGAAGAAGGGTATCTTTGCCGGGCTCCAATGGTAACGCCCGCAGAAACTTGGCGTCTTCTCCGCGCTTGAAGTTGCCTAGCGAGGAGCCGAGGAAGAGCAAATGTAAGGGGGTCCGGTTATTGCCTGGTGTAGACGGAGATGTTATCTCAGTGTCTGACGAATCGGGAAAAGAAGATCCTGTCGAGGTTGGAGAGGAGTCTCGGCGAGTGCTGTCGAGCCTGTAGGACCCCAACGAAAGTGGCAAAGCGCCGTCCGTAAATCTAGATTGTTGAAGACCACCTTCCTCGATGAATTTGAGTCCAGCATCATACGTTCCAAGCATGCCTTGCGCCTCGACTTTGCCGACAAGAATAGAACCAACTGCAGACTCGCGAAGCTCCATCAAAGTGCGCCTGAGCTCACGTTCTTCGAGATCGAGCGCGTAGTATGTTATGGGGACGACAGGTGGAACGACAGGAACGAGATTGGTAAGCGCATGTAGAATGTGGGAAGTCTTGCGCAATGAGCTATAGTAAAAAACTCTCAGATCAGCAGTTGTTTGCGCTAGGGGCTCACTGGCAGCGCTCAGGGCCGGGTTACATATTGTGACCGCCAAGAACATTGCATTATGTCATCGCCCTAGTCAAAAAAACTCACCCAGCTCCGAGTTCAAGTACGACCTCTCCTGAAACAACACCTCCAGTGTGCTGGTGCATGCCGTCCACTATTTGACCTGCGTGGTCTTGGAGAATTTGCTCCTCCGCACCAAACAGATAATATTCTGGTGCCTTAGTAGTGATATCATCGTATAGCCTCAAGCCGTGTTCGTCGTAGAGAATCATAGTAGGCAAGGTCTTCTCATCAGCCACTAGTCCTCTAATGATCTGCGATTGGATGTCACTTGCAGCATCGGAACCACCGGAAGCTAAGGAGGACTTGTCATGGGGTCGAACATCGACAATCTGAAGAGTGTTCATGGTATCGCACTGTGAGCAGAAAGACCTCCTTGGAAAGTAGAATCTGGAGGACTACTAGGGGTTCCATGGGCCATCCTCTTTATAGATCGGACACATCGGCTATACAGGGGCTCGAGCATTGACTTGCGTCAATTATATAATAATAAATTGCCAGATCAAAGACGTGGTATCGCAACTTGCAAGACACCGTCTTGCTCCAACTAGCCACTAGACCCTATAAGAGAACCTCGTGAGCTGATGGAGTAGCAAAAAATGGTAAACTGTGCACCCTGGCGCTTCGCTGGGAGCATGTCCCCATTTTGATCAAACCTGATTCCTCCAGTTCGGCGATCATGTGGATTTTTAGAATGCAGCCGCACTTCCCCATCATTTCACCTGTCAAATAGCCGACCTGCTGACACAATACGCAACCTCGGGAGCATGCCGCATGGTAGTAAACCTTTATGCGTTAGGTAGATCCTGGTGGCGACCTAGTAGTGTTGTGGGCAGGACTGTTTTGAAGCAGTCACGGTTCTGTTGGAAGAAGGGGCAGAACTTGGCTGCCCTGCCAAACACTACCTCCACAAAAATGATTGATTTGAAATCACAGGTTCGGAGGTACATGCTTCATCGGAATCCATGCGCATGTTATAACTTATACAATGGTACATAGGCGTGCTGCTTATCTCCATATTTTGAAGACATAACCTATCACAGAGACAATACTGGTACACTCAAAATAGAAAGTGAGGCACAGAATATTAGAACAATATCATGAGCTGAAATCTGGCTTACATAGATGTGATATGCACCTCAGCTAAAGGCCTGAAATGGGAAGTAGGAATGTTGTAGATATAACAAGAAAGGTATCACCTGCAGAATCCAGGCTCGGCCGACGTATTTTGGACAGATCACAAAAGAATCTTATTGTGGCTGTTCTCCATCGCGCATCACATAACGTCCGCGTCCATTGTCATATCTTAGTACCTATCGATCGTAGAAACACTGGATGGGCATACCTTGTGTTCGCTGTCCCTTCCATTCTCACGGGAGTATATCAGATTGCAATCACATTAAGCATCATACTTATAAAGAGGCACCCAATGATTCTATTTCAAGCATCCTTCTCGAGGCGGGCCGCCAGCTGGGACAGCATCTCCTGCGAGCGTGGATTGCGTGGAAATGACCGCCCATCACCATTCCTGTATGGATCCACTCGTTGAATTTGGCAAAGAAAGGGGGTACATAAAAACGACTCACCCAGTGCCGCCAATAAGAAGAAGATAAATCCACCCTCGCGGCTTGCTCCATCCGAAAACTTGCGCCCAGTTCCTCCGCCACCCGATATCGTACATGCGCACGAACCTATGTGCATCACGGACCACTCTACGTTGACTGTATGATAATTCTTCCTCCATTGGAGGATCAGATAACTTCATAGACGCCGGTAACGGAGGAATATATCTCAATAACAAGAATGGTGAAAGGGCTTCAACAGTAGTCTGGTTAGTGCTACTTTGCAATCAGCGCATGGAATAATAAACATAAAAGTTATGCGTTTCACTTACGTAATGAGGTAGATATGGTATACCAAGAAGGAACCAACAACCAGAGTGAAAATCACACCAGCAGCGGCAAGTAACAATTCATGAACAGGGGTAGCCTGATCCTGGACAACCATGAGTCTCGGAATTTCAGTAAGCGCGTTCAAGACTCCTCACTGGAACCAGAAGCGGGTTATTGAAAGACCACCGGACTGCGGATATAGATATGGTAGTGACATATGCGGAGAAAGCGGTGATGCAAGTCAAGAAGTGAACAAATGCTGGGTATGTTCTATATCCCTGCAAACGAGATGTTATAAATGCATACCGCGGGCTCACTCTACTACTTACGATACATTTAGCTCCAAGCCAAGGACAATGGTGATCTAGGATGGTAAGTCAGTAGCGTAGTTGCCTGAAGTGTATAAACTCACCCATCTTCAAAACACAACGGCCACAGATGCTGCAATGGTGCGCACGCTCCGGTTTAGGTACCCAACATTTCCGACAAAACTTGTCAGGACTACAGTCGTCGTCAGTATTCCCCATGGTCATCAAAGCTTCTGCGAAGCCCATATCTTCACGTTGATCGATAGGACCCTGGTCGGAAGCGTTAAAGTATACTGGACCGGGATCACGAGCTACGCAAACTATCAAGGAAATAAAGGCGAGGAATTTGAGGGTAAAAATGACCAAGAAATGAATAACGAAGGCAATAGGCTTGTCCAATGTGCGAAGATAGTGATTTACGAGCACGATAAGCAACGAAGGATAGGGAGCCACCATGAGGAAAAGTAGCACTGGGAATGTTTTGAGTCAATGAAGGAACACACACGGTGCGAGGACGTACAACATAGCGGTAGGTAATGATGCCAACTTCTCCGAACCTCTGAATCAAAATCATCATGTTTGAGGGAAGTGTCTTGTCCCGAGGTATCTACCTCGAAGGAGAGTAAAGGCTGAGGCCGTGACATGTAAAACGAACGACTGGAAATTGTCCACGAACTTGATCGTTGTGCTGCGCCTGGCTTCAGACACAGTGACTAAGGGTATTGATGGTGGTTGTCCCAGGTATATGATAAAAAGGAATAACAGGAAGAGCTGAGAACTCAATTGTCACTCAAGCTCAAGAGGCTGTCCAACAAGCAGTGCCACCGTGCAGATTAGTATAGTTACTATAGTAGTAGTACTAACCCGTTCAACATATGGAAGCATGATATTCTGCACTGCCACCAGCAGTATGTGACTACTAAACTTCATCTATAACAACCTAATCGAAATCTATTTCTCTTGAACTGCGCAGGAAGGCCGACGGCAAAGTTTTTTTCTATCGGGACACCTTTGGATAGTTTCAATGACAATGTTCGAGGTTTATCTTATCTGGTCTTAGCCAAGTGGTTACCACAATAGAATTAAAATCTGTTTCTCTTGGATTGCGCAGGTTCGAAACTTGCCGAATGACAGGTATTTTTTGTATCCATGACATTGAATCGTTTCGTCGACTGGAGGTTCATCTAACTGGTCCTAGCCAAGTGGTCACCACAACAGATCCACCGGAATTTAAGGCAAAATAATGGGAGCCCAAATAATCCTAACGTAACGTGTTTATCCTGTTTTCTGCAAATAACCAAGCACTGCTAGCTAGCTACAATTGATATTCCTTGCCGGATTATTTTCACCGTTCATCGTAGCTGGTCTTAGCCAAGCGGTGATCATAACAGAATCAAAATCTGTTTCTCGTGGACTGTGCAGGTTCAAAACCTCCCCACCACAGGTTGTTTTTTTCTATCAAAACACGCCTTGAAGATTCGCTCACAGATGGTTTCCTCCTAGGACCATCTCAACTTCGTCCTGGTCAAAGTGGTTACCCCAATAGATTCTAAATCTGTCTCTTGGACTGTGCCAAGGGAGGTTCGAAACCTGCCGACGTCCACGGTTTTTTTTCTGTCGGAACACAGCAGGCCTTGGAGATTTACTCAGTGGATGGTTTCCTCGGAGGTCCATCTTAACTGGTCTTAGCCAGGTGATTACACAACAGAATCAAAATCCGTCGAACCTGTCGACGACGAGGGTATTTTTTCCTATCGAACATGGCTTCGTGATTCACTCATGGATAGTTCCAATGAAGTTCATCTTCACCGTTGTTTACCCAATGGTTACCGGAGTCAAAATCTGTTTCTCTTGGGTTGCGCAGGTTCGAAACCTACCACACGACACGCCTTTTTCCTATCGGAACACACCTTAACATTCACTCATCGATGATTTCCTCGCAGGTTCATCTAACTGGTCGTAGCCATGTGGTCACCATAGCAGAATCAAAATCTGTTGCTCTTGGATTGTGCAGGTTCGAAACTTGCTGACAAGGTTTTTTCTATTGGAACATACTTTGACATCTCTTGGAGTTGGTTCGAAATCTTTGTGCTGTATAGATCCTCGGAGGTCCATCTCACTAGGCCCAGTCATTGCGCCGAAACCTCCTTTTGATAGCCTTCTGTCCATGAGAAGAAATTCATCTTCACGCCCCGCGAAGGTCGTCTGACTCGTCTTAGAACATAAGATATATCCCCGAGGTGCGTACGCCAGTCTCGCTGAAACCTCGTTGATGGACACTCCTTTGGCCGTTGGCTCTTCTAATGAAACCGAAGATGACTTGAAAGCTAAAGGTGGAAGAATTGAAAGTGGAAGACCAAGCCATATCGTTGTGAAGTGTAGTTTGCGTGCGCTCCTGTTTTATGTCGATGCCGAGGCGGAACTGAATTTTGTATTTACTTGCGATTGCTGCAGCAAGACCCGGCCACCAGATGTAGATGTCATGTCAATGGAGAGGTCAACGCTAAACACCCCATGACAGAAAGTATGCAGGAGCGGCTCACCGAGGCACGCGTAACGGAAAAGAGGGGTCCAGCGAGAACGGAATGACAACTTGACAAGCCTCTAACAAATAAGGTGTCAGATAAGCCGAACACAGGTGTAGGGAGATGGGAAACTGATCGTGTTCGACAAAAGCCCTCCTCCACTAACGTTGGGAGTCGGATAAGACTAAATACTTCAACGACGCTCATGTGTACGGCACCAGGCATGACTCATTCTCGCGAAGACTCCAGTTTAATCACAAATTCTTTCCCCGAGTCCCGCACTAGCAAGGGTAGTCACTTGTGCCAAGGTCAACCTGGAACATTAGCTGGTTGGAAGGGCAATGCTTGGTGCTATCCATGATTTCAATAACATGCATGACCTCCTCGCATGCGACTGCTAAACATGAGCATTTCGGTCACAGACATCGTTCATGTACAAATTGGTGCTCACTCGTCTTTCGGCTGCAAATCAAAAATCAAAAATTGATGGACAAGATCAGATCTAGTCAGTTAAGAAGGTGGATGCCGTTGCAATACCAAATTGTCTGTCTTCAGTATCATAAAGAGTATAAAAAAGAAAACAGAGAACAACACCAGGTTGCTACGCAATTTACCTGCAAGGCAGGAGAGGTGGCGGGGTGCGAATGGGCGCAAAAGGCCCTGGTATTGGGGGTCATAGGGTAAACGAAGGAAGCATATAAAGCTCATTACAGGTCGCGTCAGTGTACGGATATAGAAGAGGCATGATGCATTAGACCCACTCCATCACAACACACTGTACCGCTCTTGCACGAATGTAAGCTCCACGATGGTCCCTATTTGGGGCGGGGCGGCTCTCCAACTTGGCCATGAAGTTAAGTGCTTCCCTCACTGCCGCGCGCGGCATTGTCGATGGTTGTCGGAGGTAGTAGGAGAAAGTAGTTTTAAGTGTTATGACGTACCTAGTCTCCCTAGCAGACTAGATAGAAGGCAGATATTCGTTCCTTCTTTATTATGCCAAGGTACGCTGACCACTGTGCCGATGCATAAAGACTGTGATGTCAGGGACTTCCTTCCGGATCTAGAGAATGATGGGCTTACCATTCAATCGTTCCCATATCGTACAGACTACTGGAGGTAACCAGACATTATGGGTGAATTTCCCAAACGGACGACAGGTAGCACACGGAGGCAAGCCTATTCTTCTGGAAGAGGACGAAGAGGAAGGTCGAATAAACGTCGGAGTAGGAGAATTCAGCCTCCGAGAAAATTGCAAAACCAGTCGCCCATGAGCAAGATAGATCTTGGTTGAAGCTCGCATATGAAAAGGGTTTGTGCCATGCACGCCAACATCCTTAGGACACTCTGGGGTCACAAGGCATGATAACCATGATATCGTACACCAGATTAACATCGACATAAGTAGCAGTTATCTGACCTTGCATACAATCCATCTTCCTACTGGCCCTTCCTTCGGCCGAAGGTGACCATCTCGGCACCGCTCATTGATCCACTCCTCCAAAGAAAGTTCTGATGCAGATGTCTGCTCGGTTGAAAGCAGTAGACATTTGGCCATCCAAGTCTGGGTCTCTTCTGAAGCTGATAGCTCCCGATATGCACTGCGCAGCACCACCCACGCCTTATCCCTCGCTTTGCTTCTCAGCCGTTCCACGAGCGTGTGCACCGCATCATATGACAGATGGACCAACTCATCGTTTGTGTCGTCAGCTGACTTGGAAACAGAAAGGATATGCCTGTATACATCGTGTCGTGAAAGCGCTTCAACCCTGATATAGTTAAGGGTGCGGAGACCCGTTGCTAAATTTGATATCCATACATATGCTTCTGATGTCCTATCGAGCACGTTGGGCGAGAGGCCTGAAAGATGTTCAAAGTAGGTTTTTTGCGATGGATATCCTGCGATCAGGTGGTGGAGGAGAGATATAAGCACGGAGCTGATCGGAGGCTGGATTGATGCAGAGGTGTAGAGTTCAGGGAGGAGGTGAGAGAGAATAGAAGATGCCTGGATTGGGGAGTCGAAAAGTGCGGAGAGGTAAAGAGAGGTTTCGTACACTGCAGGATATCTAGACTATGAGAAAATCAATGCGGGGTCAAATTAACGTACCTTCGATTGCAAAGGCATCACTCCGCTTGGATGCAAAAATTCCTTCTCTAAGTTTTCCTGTCCAGCAAAGTTTAGAATAGATTCTTGGTCAAAAAGGAACGTGGGACTCACGGAACAAAATTAAAATGTTCTCCTGTCCATCCTTTGTCTGTTTCTCTGTCCAGAACTTGTGCAGCTGTAATCTTCATGCAGCCTCATCCCGAATGTCATCAGGCACACCCACCTTCTCACCTACGAACACCCTGTACTGTTCTTGCACCTTGAAATTCTTCAAGCTAGCACCTGAGAAAGGTAAGCTCTAAGAATGAGTCGAGGAATTTGATCTCACGCATCCCCGCCTTGCTCGAGTCCGCTACTCCGGCTAACTGATGCGATGTGTTCCATTTGTATGTGAGGCGTGGCACCTGCTTCTCTAACTTGAAAAGAAGTATTCACCCTTCCACGAGTATGTGGTTGCCCCCGCGTGCGGCCCCTGGCACTTCCACGGGCTGTTCTCATGTTGATTGTCAGTACACGTGGAGATGACTCTAGTGGGATCCGAGAGTCCCATAATAGTGTCCGTTTGTTTGGATCCAAGGCTTTTGGTAAACAAACTGTCATCAGTAAGGCTTAGCTAAGTCACATCCACATCACTTGACTCGCACTGAACATCTGCCTTCATACAAAAGGAACGACTGTTTTAGTAACTTCTGTTGATCCGCTTATGGTCTGCCTATGGGAGATTATCTTTGTACTGGAGTCAGTCACAGTAGCTGCATCTGGGGACGTGGTCAATCAAGTGGTAGCCAAGTTTAGGTATTACTACTACATAATGCTTGGACTACAGAGTGCCTGCAGTTAATCATTGATGTGCGTCCTATCGGTGCGCCGGTCAGGCCGCTGGCGCAAGCGACCCAGGCCACTTGATTCCTTTCTCTTGTCTTACACTCAAGTACCGGGTATACTTTATATTTAGGTGCAATCCCCTTTATCTGCTCGGTTACAGTGTCTAAGTATAAGACTTGTAACTCGTGCCAGCGAGTCCTACGACTCTTGTGTTCTCCACAGTCAATATAAACTCTGGGTATAAGTTGTTTATATAATTTTATCGAACGGAGTCTCACACCGTGCCACTGATCACCTGGGTGACCGACCCACTCTCAAACAGTCATACTACCAGCCCGCATACCATGAGCAGTAGCGACGGAATAGACGCGTCTAGATCGTTTCACGCCTCAGTTGACACAGGTAAGTAGTCCTTAGAACTTCGAGGCTTCCGCTGACTGCAGTGTCGTCTAGAGGACAACATACGACAGATAACCGGAGAGGACAACGATAATCCTTCACCCTTCGAACCTGGAAGCGGGCATCCCGTTACTTCACTTTCCCCTTTTCTGCCAGCAGAAATCCTAGCCCTAATTTTACAACCAAGATGGAAGCGGTACGAGGATAGAGAAACCTGGAAAGAGATAGTGAATGTCCTGCTCAGCTGCACTCTAGTATCAAGAGCCTGGTACGAGGCTGCAAGAGTAGTCCTGTACCAGGATATCCGACTTTGTCAAGTCAACTCCCTTCGCCTACTTCTTTGCACCGTGCGCGAGAGGTTCGGCGGTCATTGCCCTGCTCGCAGCCTGCAATTCATGTATTGTTCGCCGCATCGGCGTAACAAAAAGCAGCCAGAGGAGTATGCGACACTCGCTGGAGAGATTGTTGCGTGCTGCCCGGAACTCAGGTACCTTGCAGGAGAGTGTGGCTCCTTGTGCTTTACCAGCAACATGTCCCTCCCCGATTACCCATATTTGAGGGAGCTCAAAGTATCTGGGCAGAACCTCCGCCTCCTTGCCCCTCTTCTATCGCGTTTATGCAATCTCAAGTCCTTTGAGATGCTTCAGAGTCACAATGGTGACGACCTCCTGGAACACTTTTCGCCGCCTCGTTTCAAGCTTTCGACCTTATCGATATCTCAAACAGAGTTGTCTCCTGGCTTGTGTAAATGGCTTGAGTCCAGTTCACAGAGCATAGAGTGCTTGGAGGTGCAGGAAATAGGCATGAGCCTGGGTCACTTGGCCAAGGTCATTGGAGGTTTTGTGAAGAAAGTTCACGTCAAAATCGTGGTTGATTCCATAGCGGACAGCGACTCGGAGACTATCTCAGCCCTATTTGGGTTCGCGGGCTTGCGAGGACTTCGCGTCGACGGGTTGAAAATGGACAAAGAACGTTTGCTTGATCTACGATTATCATTGGAGACATTCACGTTCTCTGAGGACATATTGAGCATGCGTACTGTGCTGGCGCTGCTACATACGAATTGGCAACCCTCCTTACAATCGCTGAACGTTTATCGTATGCCAATGAGCATCTACTTCTCCGAGCAGTGGATGGTTACGGCTGCAGAATATAGGGATGAGCTACACAGCGTATGCGCTGCTCGCGGTATCCAGTTGAACTGGCTGTTACCAGAAGAATGATACCGGTAAGTGTGTCCTATGAATTCCATAATGCCACTGCTTATACGGTTGCCAAGTTTTTATTTACGTTTGTAACCAGGAACGATTCAACGACTTGACCCGATATCATATTGTGGTACTTACCTTTGAATCCTGTTTATGTTACAGTCCATGCACATGGTTCAACCGATTGATTATGCAATTAAATTTCAGCCTTTCGTCCCGTACACAGCTATACAAAGTGCATATTATATGAAGCTTATATGCCTATCTGAATAAATTATTTAAGAGCTCAGGCTGCAGATAAATCTTCCAGTGCAATGCAACCAATCATTCATACCGACGAACTCTCAAAGGCACTCCAATACCGTCCTCTCCAACAACACGCGGGCGAGGCAAAATTCCCCTCGCAATCTCGACCTCAGTATCCGGTCCATCCCGCATCTCAAACATAAAGTTCTTCACCAGAACTAATAAAACCGTCTGTATCGCAGTGAATAACGTCCAAACTGACTGATTCGAATCACTCACCTTGAATTCCGCGATCGCAAAATCTTTGCCAAGACACGTCCTCGGGCCGTCGACGAATGTCAGCAGATGCCTATGACCTTGAACTTCCTTGGCCTTCCCACTGATCCCGTCTTCAGTCAACCAACGATCAGGCTTGAATTCCTTTGCGTCAGGTCCCCAGATGGCCAAAGACCGATTGATTGCCCTGATTGAGATTACCATCAATGACCCCTTTGCTATAGATATACTGTCCGTCATTTTCCCGGACTCTGTGCACACAGGTTCGCTCAAGGGAATAACATCATCTACGCGTGCCTGTAGATCCACTGTTAGGGTCTCTATTCACATGTAGACACGCGTACGCACGCAGCGAGTGAACTCGGGTACCGCAGGATGGAGTCGTAGAATTTCATGGACGACCGCATCCAAGTATGGGAGGCTGGCCTTTAATTGGTCGTATGTCGGATCAGGACCAAATGCAAGCAGCTCCTCCCTGAGTCTGGTCTGGACATCGGGGTGTCGCGATAACTCGATCAGTGCCCACTGATCACCACGTGAATAGCGTACACAGATGTAATTGGACAGTAGACTTACCGTAAGACTGACTGCCAGCGAAGAGTCAGATAATATGATGGAAGCGGACAAGAAATTAACACACTTGACGTTGTTTCGTAACCTGCGAGAAGCAACACCTTCATCTGCAGGATATCAGCTTGCAAGTCATGGCCGTGATACATAGTCTCCGCGGACCTGAGCCAATATTTCATCCTCGGACATATGAAGCTCAGCTTCCTGACCTTCAGCTTTGACTACGATCGTTACGTCAATCAAGGAATCACAATGAATCTCTTGGAGAGCGTACTCAGCAGTCCGATGATAGATTTTTCTTCTTCCGACTCTTTCATATTCACATCCTTCTCCCGGCGACTGCGAATTAACAAGTCATTGGATATTTCACCCATAGTCACGTTAAGTTTTTTCGACAGCTTCGTCCGCTTATTAGGTATCTTGGCAATGATAGGAAACGCCGACGCGAACAGGAAAAAAAGTTGGTTCACTGCTGAGGCCTGTGAGTTGTTTCCAAATGTATCGAAGACTTCCGTAACGCTGGCGTGCTTTCCGTCGAGTGAGCCAAAATCATGGGAGAAACCAGCGATGCCAATCGTATCCAAACTGCTGTTGCGTGATTTTCGGAGCTTGCACAGCAAATATCCATCCCTTACGAGATATGATTCATCCTTGAAGTCACTTTGATGAGGAGTGCAAGGTTTGTTTGTCCAAATGAACGCACCAGTTTTGAACTTCAATGACAGCATTCCCATCTTTGCTCGATTCTACATCGGTGTCCCATACGTTCTTGACCTTAGAGTTTCGAGATCAGATGTGTCGCATTCCTTACATTGGAAATCCTTACCTTATATGCTGAATCATAAAATACTGATGTGAGTTTCCGAATAGCTGCATTACTGAACGCTGGAGTCAGGGCCTTCCGCTGCCTAATTCGCAAGTAGCTGATCAGTCCCCAGCACGAGGACAAGATCCGGATTCTAGACACTACCTTCTGTGACTCTCGCCCTGAGACGATAGTACCCCTCTACCGACCTGTCAAGAGATATCAAATAGATGACATAAGAAGAGGGTATTAACATACCAGGTTCTCTATCAGCGCCAGAGAAAGAGGCGTCTGCACATAGGTCCATGATTCTCGGGCATAAAAATGTGCGATGGCTCTTGGGTCAGCTAGCACGATTCTGGTCTGTCCGAGGACCGACGGAATCATGTACACTACTCCATATTCCTGCGCCCAATGTTCATACACAGTAGCACTGTCTTTAGATGAGACGAGGTCTTTCGAAACACCATATATGAAGCTGGTACGAGGTGGACCACGGAGTTGAGTCGTCCTCAATCGCCAGCGAAGTGCCCTCACCACTTTGACGAAGGTCCACAGTGCCGCAAGTGAACAAGCGACATTGAACACGCCAACCGAATGAACAGTTGTCCAGAGGCTTGACGGAGCCAGGTATAGCGATAGTAAGTGAGGTCTTCATTGTCGTGATGAATTCGATAATTGATCTATTGGGAGATTTATAGCCACTTCTGCGGTGGCGGCATGACTACGAAGTCTACCGGCTTGTTGTAGCAATCAATACTGTCAGGAACAGGCCTGTTGACTGTCAGTAGAAGCCTGTGTTGGAATTTGAAATGAAAGTGTCCGACGTATGTCGTGTACTATGCTCAGCCATTTTCACGTGATTTCGTCTCTACATAGTACTTTGAACGAACTAGACTGTGCAAGACGAAAGATAGAGAAATCACATCAGTGTCTGAGGAGTCCATCCATGCTAAAATATGATATTTCTGGCCATCTTGCCGGAATTAAGATTGTGCCGTGACAGTGATTCGTCGCCACGGCAAGCTAAATCATTACGCAGTCAGCACTCAATTCTACTAATAACCAGGACAGTGCATGACCAAAGGAACCTGTGAATAGAATCCACCTTGTGAGTGGTTCCTGGGACGGCACGAGGTAAGTGGCGTTGCGATACAAGAATTCTTGTCGAGCGCTGGCGCTTTCACCAGATGACAAGAAGATTTTTTGTGAAGTGGAAGCAGCCATGGCCGGTCTAAGCGGTGGAACAGATGATGGTCTCCCCCAACGGTGCAATCACGATACTCTCAATGTACTCGGAGCCTCCCGAACCATCCCTTTATCTTATGGCGGCTGGCCTGCAACTACTAGAAACGAAGGTCCAAAATATTGAGCATGGCTGTTAGAGTAGAAGAAATTCCCCCGTTGGACACTACTGCGGGGATGCAAAGCGCTGTTCATGTGTAAGCAAATGAACAACAATTACGTAAACCGTAGCTAAAGAGTTAGCCTACAACGATGACTATGGAGCCACCCCTGGATGCTACAGACAACGTTTCCCAGAAAATCGTACAAGTTCCCCTGCGAGCAGGTCCTCCAATGAGGGGAGAGCTACCTGCACTGCAGAAAAAGGCAGGTTATGTCGGCGATGGATGTGACAATAACCTCCAGATCCGTAGCAGATTCGTGCAAGATTTTTGTCAGGTTCGTCGCTACTGTAATGTCAAACGATTGGTCGCAACCTTCATGTATCCGTGTCTCATTTCACACAGCTGCGCACTATCCAGCCAAGTTCACATGGCACTAGCTCAAGTCAATTCCGGGTACTTGAATTTTACCGTCAGTAATAGTCCGACTCCGACGGTCCAACGGTCCGATTCCGATTCTGTATGAATAGGATAGACGATGCTGACTGTGCAATGTCACTAAGTCTTAGGGATCTCGGGCTGCTAAAGCGTGACAAGGCGCTACAAAAGGGATATGACGCATGGTTGTGAAAGAGCATGGCTCAATCCCAGTAGAAACCGCCTATGGCGTGGTACGACGAGAACGGACGTCGTCTGTTTTTTTTTCTTGATTAGGAAAATATCGGAGCACAACATATGTCGTCGGGGCGCATCACATATACTGCATGCCGGGGCACGCCCTCCTCTGACAACATATGTTTTTGGTTCAATTTTCATACAAAATCATATCATGCCATATAAAGTAGTACAGCAAAATGAATCAATTGATATGACGAGAAATGACATGCTATGACAGGGTGTGATATTAGTACTAATAGGTATTGCGGTGGCATAAAAGCAGGTGTGGGGGTGCATGGAAACAATACAATAACAGGAGCATGACAACAGTACAAATGCAGGGGGAAATAACACAGCAGTAGTGGACAGATGACAGGTATCGCGGTGGGGATAATGGAGAGGGAGGGGCACCAGAAAACAGTGTATGAAGGCCTGGGAGTAGTGCGATAGTAATGGCTGGGGTGCTAGTGGAGAGCACCATTGACAACAGCAGAATCAGAAGCTGTTACGGTAAACCGTAGGTCGACTAGGATAGGCGCAACGATAGGTACCCGATAAGGGTATGCCTAAAGCCGGATCGTGTCCTCACAAATGTAAGGTTCTTAAGACAAGCTGAAGAGAGTGTCTCCAGTTTGAATATCGGTTATATGACGACTTAGGATTGGGAGTCCTAAGCGAAGGATAGTTCAGGTAAAACCTAGTAGATTAAAGTGAAGTCTACCTAAGTACAGAACCCGACTTATATAGGTATAGCCTACTTTAGGGCCGGTATGTACATGTCATCAAGACGAGTCAGAGATAAGGGACACGAGTCAGCCAGTGACGTCATAGGTGAGTCAGAGATAAGGAACATGAGTCAACTAGTGACGTCATGGGTGAGTCAGAGATAAGAGAGAAGTCAGCTAGTGACGGCGTAAGGCGGTCATGCTGTAATACAGATATGGAAAGATGTTAGCCTAATGATGGCACAGGCAAGTGCGGTCACGGCGTAGTACACGAATGGAAGAAAAGGGAAAAAGAGATAGGGGTAACCACGACTGTAACATTACCCCTCGTTTAGTGATGAAGTCACCGACTTCACATATCTTGGTTGGCCCAGTAGATGGGGTCTGCATTGTAGTTGGAATGAAGGAGATCGTCTTGCTCCTCCGTGATGGTAGTGTGCGCCATTTGCTCAGTGTGAGCGATGGCGTCCTGCTCGATCTCCCAGTGAGCAAGTGCGTCGTAGAAACCGACGTCAGTCCATACCAAAGGAATAACCGCTTCTCCTTTCAGCTCTTTGCAGAAGACCGACAAATGGCCTGGTGCATATTCCTTACAAACTCGGCAATAGTATGCAGGGCAGTTCTTGTGACGGTGGCCGGCGGTGTGGCAGTTACGACATACAACATTATCGACCGGCGATGTCTTTACAATTGTGACTGATGAGGATTGGTTTGGAGGGGATGGTGACCGTGACCGTTTGAGTGGCGCTTTAGTAGGGGAGACGGAAGCGGCTCGTTTAGCGGCAAGGCGGGAGGATCTTTGTTTAAGTGGGAGTCGTCGTGTGGTACGTACGACTGGGTCAGGAGAAGGAGAAGCTGGTACATCAAGTACGGCAATAGGAGGGATATTATTATCCTGATGCTCCACAACAGCTGCAACAGGAGCTGGTGGTGGTACGGGGACAACGACGTGGGGAGAAGGCGGTCGTGCGACGGGGTTGAGAGCGATTCGTTCAGTAACGATATGAATGGCCTCTCTGATGGCCTCTCTCGTCTCTTCTGGTAAGAGGCGGATTGCGGTATTGCGAATGCGTATGTGAAGGTGACGAAAAATAGTCTGATGACGTTCATCATCAAGAAGGGCGGCGGTGCGGTCGATAAGGCTGGCATCTCTAATGATTCTGATTATGAGGCCACTAGAGATCGCCCCCCTTTCTCCAAGGAGGCGGTCTATCTCAATAGCGTATTGTTGAGAAGTGATGGCGGATTCGAACAAGGCACTAGTCTCAACTTGATCAATGACAGAGAAATAGTCGGTAAGGGTAGAGTCATCGGTAAGGGTTAAGGTGGAGTTAGAGGTGGGTGGCGAGGATACGGGGGGAGACGCGTGTCGCGCAAGGTTGGTGGCGGTGATGTTCTGGTAATCTAGGAGTGTCAAGGGGTGGGCGTTTCCTTCAGCGACATTGTCCATGGCAGCGGTAAGTTCTTGGATGCAGAGGATGCAAAGGCGTAGTCATTCGAGGTGGGACATTCTAAGGGAAGTCTATAATCCATGGGCCTTTTTATAGGCGTTAAGGATGTCGGAGGCATTACTGAGGTTTTCTTCTGGAACCCACTCATTGCTAGCGGACGAATATCCTTTCCACGATAAGAGATAGCGTCTTCGTTTACCCGTTCCTTTGTGCGATAAGATCGCATCAATTTCATATTCTTCTTCGTTATCGATGGTGTCAGGTGGTGGGTCATGGAAGTTCGGTCCGTGGACCTCTGTTTCGCGATAGGCTGATAATTCAGAAGCATGGAACGTGGGATGAACTTTCCATTGGGGTGGTAGTTGGAGTGTGAATGTGATAGGAGACAGGACGGCAGTGATTGGGAATGGACCATATTGCTTAGGGGCGAGCTTTCGCGAAGGTAGCTGCGTGATCAGATTCTTCCTGGATAACCAAACCTTATCTCCAATCTTCCAAGGGTGATACTTCTGTCCGTGAGTTCTTTCTGCCATACGCTGCATCACAAGGTTGTGGCAAGAGAGTGCTTCTTCTCTGGACTTTTGGAGTGAACAAAGTCTGTCCGCTGCTGCGGGAACTGTGGAGTCGGGAAGGGTGTGTGGAAGGGCTTGTGGCTCGTATCCCATCATTAGAAAGAATGGTGATGCATTGCGAGAGTCGTGTTTTCGATGATTATGTACGAATTCTGCCATAGGGAGCTGCTCTACCCAATTTTCGGGGTTGTTTCGACAATAGATTCGAAGGTATGTTTCCAACTCTTGGTTGAGCCATTCGGTCTGCCCGTCAGTCTGAGGATGGTAGGCAGTTGATGCTGCTACATCGTATTTCAGAAGCTTGGCAAGAGCTTGAGAAAACTTGGATATAAATTGCGGGCCACAATCAGAGATGACTTTTTCATGTAGGCCAAATCGTCAGTAAATGTATTTGAAGAATTTGTTGGTGACCCCTTCAGAAGTGATGGTTTTGGTACATGGGACGAGAATTACCCCCTTCATAAGGCCATGGTCGACCACGACCATGACAGAATCAAACCCAGCACATGGGGGAAGGTCGGTGATGAGATCAACAGAGACTTGAGCGAAGGGTGCCGTGGCGACGGAAGGAATGGGAACAAGGGGGGGTGTCATCGGATGAGTATCAGATTTCATCTGCTGGCAGAGGGTGCAACCTTCAATGTATTTACGAATGTAGGTACCCATGGCGGGCCACCAGAAGTCACGTTTGACCAGCTCTTCAGTTTTAAAACGTCCCGGGTGACCGGCAGTGGGGTGGTCGTGACATCGTTCTAAAATAAGGCGCCGTCCAGCAGGACGAACGTAGGCACGGTCCCTGTAATAGAGAATATCGTCGGTGATCTTCCAATCTGTAAGAGCGGATTTCATAGGAGGAAGGGACAAGCCGTCGAGTGCATCGGAAGCGGCAGTGAAGATGGGGTCGGGGTCAGAGGGATCAGGGTTTACAAGGGTGGTCATGAGTTCAACGTCAAGAAGTTGAACAAACATGGAATCAGGGAGGAGGGTTTTGTTGGCGTTATCTTCGGTGGAGTCTGACCCATGATCGGGGCAGCGGGAAAGGGCATCGGGGGCGACGAGTTTAGTTCCAGCGACATGGTGGAGCTCAATGTTATAGCATGATAAAATTAACTGCCATCGTGCTTGGCAGCGGGTTAATTTCTGGGCTGTCCTAAAATATAGGAGGTTCTTGTGGTCGGTGAAAACGATGATGGGATGGGGATTTCCTTCTAAGTAATGACGCCATTCGGTCAGTGCGTGGATGACCGCAAGAAGTTCACGATCAAAGATCTGGTAGTTTCGTTCTGCGGGATTCAGCATCTGGGACAAATATCCACATGGGTGATAGACGCCATTATCATCGGTCTGGAGTAGCACTGCACCAGTGGCGACTAGGGATGCATCAGTGGCAACTGCGAACTGCCTGGCGGGGTCAGGGTTACGAAGGACTGGTTGCTTTAAGAAGCATTCTTTCAGCTCTGAGAACGCAGATGTGCATTGGTCTGTCCAAAGGAACTTAATGTCTTTCTTGGTAAGGTCGATTAACGGCCTAGCGATGTCGGAATAATGGGAAATGAAGTTTCGGTAGAAGTTGCAGAACCCTAGAAATGACCGAACTTCTTTCACGGTGGTGGGGACAGGCCAATCTCGAATACCGCTAGTCTTAGTGTCGTCCATTGCTACGCATCCAGGGCGGATGATCATCCTGAGGTATTCTACCTCCTGGGCGTCAAACGTGCACTTTTCCGGTTTAAGGAAGAGTTTTTCTTGCCGAATTCTTTCGAGGATGCGCCGGGTACATTCATGATGAGAGACGAGATCATTGGAAAATATTAAGATGTCGTCCATGTATATGATGAGCCATCCTTCATTTATCTCTTGTTGGAACGTCCTATTCATGTATGCTTGGAAAGTGGCTGGCGAGTTGCAGAGACTGAAAAACATGACGTTTGGTTCGAAGAGGCCATATTCAGTGGTGAAGGCAGCTTTCCATCGATCTTCTGGGTGAATGCGGATATTATTGTATCCGGACCGGACGTCCATCTTCGTAAAGTACTTAGCACCATGTAACCGGGCGACCAGGGAGAGCGGCAAAGGAAGCAGGTAGGCATTCTTGACCGTCCATTCATTAATGTACCAGTAATCCTGACAGGGACGAAGGTCTCCGCTCTTCTTTCCTATGAAAAAGAACCCACTTGCTTGTGGCGACTTGGACTCAGATATGAATCCTTTCTTCACGTTTTCATCGATAAAGGCTTTGACTGCCTTTCATTCTACTTCTGATAACGGGTACACCTTGGACGTTTTAGGAACAAAACCGGGTTTGGTTTTGATGCGATGGTCTATGCCAGGTCATTCTGGTGGTAGTTGGTTCAAACCGTCTTTTGTGAAAATGTCAGCGAAGTCGTGAAGATAGGCAGGGACAAGTTCTTCAAACGATTTCTTCCTTTGTTCCAGCCCAGCGGCTAGCGCAAATTGTTGCGCTTTGTTACTGGTCTTGACATATTCGGTAGGCTGTGGCAGGGGTGTGACCGTGGGTTGTTGTTCCGCAATACTAGTACCGTCCTTTGTTAAGGGAGTGTCCATTGAGACGTTGGTGATTACCCGGAGCTCAGTAGCGTCGACAGGGTATTTGACCAAGAATTCATCATCTTCAAGATGGTAGGTGGAGATTTCTCGCATAGGTGGTGCATAGTCCGTTGTCCATACGTCATCTTTCATGTCAAAGGAGTCGTCATTGTCGTCGGGGATTGGATCTAGGTTGGGCAGCACTAAGGGGATTTCTTCTTCGATGACTTCTTCTATTGTAGCCCGGTGGGTTGGTTTCGTTGGCAATGAAACCGGTTCTGCAGGAGGCGCCTTTGGCAGCACTACAACCGGGACCGGCTCCTCTTGCTTCTTCTTCCAAAATAATGGGGGTAGCCCATTCTTCTTTCGTTCGTCGTCAACTTCTTCTTCGATCTGATCACTCTTCTCCGTCCAAGAGAGTTCTAGCATCTCTGCCTTCCATCGGATTACTGGGTCCATAGCATGTAGCCAAGGGATCCCTAGTAAAATCTGGTCACGTCGGCCGAGCCACGTGATGTTAAACTTCCTGATCATAGATCAGTTATCCATTTTGACGATGAGGACGCAGTATCGGGTGATAGCGCCTCCTTTCGCGTAACTTCCATCCGCAGTGGTGATGCAGAATGGTTTTGAGAGTTTGTGCGTACGAATCCCATGGGTTTTGACAAACTCTTCAGAGATGAAGGTTCTGGCGGTGCCGGAGTCCACAACAGCTGTTGTGTCGACGGTTTTAAGACGAGTCTTGGAGATGAGGGAGATGGGAACGCGAAGTTCCTTTCTTATTCCAATACTCTGTACAAGTCTTATGGGTACATCGGAAGATACTGACGTCAATCCAGTCTTCCACATCAAAAATCCTTGGCGAGGCGACGGATTGTTGTATCTTCTTCTTTGCTGTCGCTCATTTCTTCTCTGCGAACAGGGATCTTCCTCTTCTGCGGGCATGCTCTAGTGAGGTGGCCTTTCTGGTGACATGTGAAGCATAGTCCCTGCTTCATGTGGTCACTTCTCTCGGCTTCAGTGAGCCTATCTACTTCCATCGCGTTTGGGTCGTGGCGGTCGATGGAGGGTCTGGGTACATAGCGCTGTCCTGAGGGTTTGGTGGTGGTACGATGGTTGGATCGGAACACGACGCCCCTCTGGTAGTTGCTGTCAAGTCTAATGACTGCAGCGATGTACTTATCGAAGTCTGTTGGGATGGTCTCCATCTGAAAGACAGAACTAACGATCCCCTTCTTTAATCCATCGTTGAGGAACGTGATGAGGATGGCGTCTTGCTTGACACCAGCTTGTGCGGCCAAGGTTTTGAAACTGGCGATGTAGGATGTGAGATCTCCTGTCTGTCTCAACGTCCTAAGCTTGGTCATAGCGGTGCTGACAGCATCGGCTGGTATGAAGGCTTCCTTGAACTTGGTTTCGAAGTTCGCAAAAGTTCCGTAGCTCTTAGTTGCGGTGTTGTCAACTTCGGTGTAGAAAGTGAGTGCCCAACCCATGGCACTGTCTTCTGTCATATACGCGAGAGCGGTGATGACCTTCTTCTCATCGGTATTGTAGATTGTAGCATTAAGTGCGAAGTACGCCTTAATCGCATACAGCCATCGTAGAGCCTGCTGAGGGCTCCCGTCATAGGTAGACGGAGCTCCGGCTTTCAATTCTGGGGTGTTGGTGGACATCCTGATCGTCTGGTCAAGTGATGTTTCTGTTTCAGGGGAACGTTCTCGTTCTCTTGCTGAGTTCTTCTTTCTGCTTCTGTTTCAGGGGAACGTTCTCGTTCTCTCACTGAGTTCTTCTTTCTGGTAACCTCTTGGATGAAGAGGGTTGGTGGTGGACTTTAATCTTTTGTTACGGTAAACCGTAGGTCGACTAGGATAGGCGCAACGATAGGTACCTGATAAGGGTACGCCTAAAGCCGGATCGTGTCCTCACAAATGTAAGGTTCTTAAGACAAGCCGAAGAGAGTGTCTCCGGTTTGAATATCGGTTATACGACGACTTAGGATTGGGAGTCCTAAGCGAAGGATAGTTCAGGTAAAACCTAGTAGATTAAAGTGAAGTCTACCTAAGTACAGAACCCGACTTATATAGGTATAGCCTACTTTAGGGCCGGTATGTACATGTCATCAAGACGAGTCAGAGATAAGGGACACGAGTCAGCCAGTGACGTCATAGGTGAGTCAGAGATAAGGAACATGAGTCAACTAGTGACGTCATGGGTGAGTCAGAGATAAGGAACATGAGTCAACTAGTGACGTCATGGGTGAGTCAGAGATAAGAGAGAAGTCAGCTAGTGACGGCATAAGGCGGTCATGCTGTAATACAGATATGGAAAGATGTTAGCCTAATGATGGCACAGGCAAGTGCGGTCACGGCATAGTACACGAATGGAAGAAAAGGGAAAAAGAGATAGGGGTAACCACGACTGTAACAGAAGCCTTCTTCCAGGCACCAGCACTGTCAAGACGCTCAGCCTTGGCTTGATATTCATCTTGCTGAGCCGTCGCCAGAGTGTTCCAGTAGAGCTTGAATTTGTCCATGGTTCCATTTTTGTTCATCTGTTTGATCCATTGTAGTGCACATAAGTTTCTGCTGACATGTCAGTGAAATATCAACAAATAATGGGTCACTTACCTTTCATTCTTTGTAGAACCTGGCCACATCTTCAAGCACTTCTTCACATCAACTCCAACCGGTGGTCAGCCCACTCTTGAGGGGACCACCTTTGCTCGAGTCTGTGCTCAGAGGAATTGCTGGAGTGGGGATGAATTTGGGGATGCCACTGGGCCTGCCAAAGATATTCACACTATCGTGTAAAGTGGTTAGCACGAACTGATTGATTGAAAAAAAACTTACAGGGGATTCTTGAGGATAACAGGGACATTCTCCTTGTTTGAATTGCCAAGTGGGATGCCAGGAAGAATGGAGCCGTGACGAGGTGGTGAGGAAGGAGGGAGTGCAGGAAGAGGCAGAGCAGGCTCATAGTACTGAATGTCAGAACTGTTCCCAAGGCTGCCAGATGTGCTGTGATGAGGTGGCGAGGAAGGAGGGGGTGCAGGAAGAGGCGGATCAGGCTTGTACTGATTGTCAGAATTGTTGCTGAGGCTGCCAAGAAGGCTGTGATTGCCATTGTGGGAGACATCTGAATCGGATATGTTGATGGGAGAAGACACTATACAAAGAGTTAGACAAGTATAGTGGTGATAGTAATACATGCCTTTGTGACGCTTATCAGCAAGTTCTGAATCAAGGTAGTCATCTGTATGTTCGCATTTTTTACCCTTTGACTTGAAAACTGGCATTCAATTGGGCTTGGCGTCTGAGTGCATGCTGTCATCATCGTCATCGCCCATAGCCTTGTGTTTGGCAGCAGTCTTGTCTGGGTTCTTCCAGCTCCCATCTTGATCAAGGTGGTATTTCTGCCAGTTGGGATAGTCAGTTGTACAAAGTAAGGTCAACTTCCAGCCATCCATGTCGAGCTGTAACAGAGGAAATTCTGTCTCCATGATGCTCCACATCAAGGTTTGGCCAGAAGCGCATAGCCTTGCCCATGTTGGTGGCGCAAGCTTCTTCACCACAAGTTTGGCCCAAGCTGCACAACACCTACAGCAGATAGACTTGAGAGTTGCATTTGTGATGCAAGTACCATCCTCTTCCTCAAGGTATGGAGCAGTGCCTCATTTGATGCATGAGACCGTGGCAGAATTGAGCCATGTGTCATAGTCGGATTGGAGCCAAAACTGTACTTTTGGGTGAGAAGTTTGGGTGGGGCAGGATTGCTGTGAGTCATTTGCTATGACATCGCCAATTGTGAATTTGAACGGGTCCATATCCTTTGGTAATCGAAGAACCTGTACAATATCATGGAATGATTGTCTAGACTAGTTGTCAGTATACTAGATTTAAGAAAGGGTTGCGTACTTAATAGTATTGCGTTCTCCTGTGAGTCTTGCAATTTCACACTGTAACTTGATGCGTTGCGATTTGTATCCAGTGAGCTGTTCCTGAAGGAGCAGGATTCAAATTTCGGAGGGAGTGCTGGCACTTGGCGTGCGCATATACCCACCCTTTATGCGCATATATTCACCCTATGAAGATATTCTGAGCATATGATACAGGCAATATGATACTTACATTCTGTTGTGGGTCATCCTTTGAATGCTGCAAGAAATGATCCAATGAAAGAGATGAAGACAAGAAAGACCCTGGTGAGGCCAGTGAGGGTGGGGATAGTACTGACATGATGGTGGTATGAAGAGACGCTATGAAGTCATAACTACCCACTGGTGTATCTGACATTTCGGCAGTATCCAAATCACTTGAAATCTCCCAAGTATTTGAATTAAGCTCATTTCTCATATTCAAAGTCTTATGGACCTCCCTGATGTCATGCAATTTTTCTTGAAGTTACCATCAGACTCTGACCTCGATGAATATCTTCAGAAAGAGCCCATAAGGTCAGATTAACCTGCAGTAAATTGTGGACTCACACACTTAATTTATTCAGTGAGGACTGGACCAACTGTTGCAGCCACTCCATGTCTGATAGCAGTCCTCATTTGACTCCATCTGACAATGATATACTGGCTCAAGAATACTGGCTCAATAATCCTGCTTGTCAACTTCTTAAGCAGCACATTCTTGCTGAGTCTGACCGGAAGCAACTCGTCACACAAAAGGAGGTGCTACGAGATTGGATTGATGATATGTAAGTACATCATTTGACTGCACTGTCTAGAGATACACTGAATTAGCATTTAAAAGCTTTGATGATATAGCACCTCTCCCGTCTAAGACTCTCCTGAGTGATGACAGCACCACAGAACTGGAATCAGACAATGTTGCACCTCTCCCATCAAAAGCTCTTCTCAGCAGCGATGACAGTGTCATGGAACCAGAATCGGATGAACCAGGACAGCGCACAGTGCCCTCAAAGACTCTCCCAAGCAACGACAGCATCACAGAACCAGAATCGGACAACATCACACCTTGACCATCGAATGTCGCACCTCTACCATCAAAAGCTCTTCCCAGTGGCGACAATAGTGTCACGGAACCAGAATCTGAACCCACTACACCTAAACCTATTGCTCCCAAGCTCAACCAAAAGTGGTTTGCAACACCAAGTCCACCCCCTCCAGGCTCAATCTATTGGAAGTACTTCACACAAGAGGAAGAGGCACATTTTTATGATTGTTCCAGGACAGATGAGTCCTTTCAGGCTGTGCGGGAACTTAAATGTAAACTTGACATGTCTCTCAATGACGAGTTTTAAATAATTGTAATTAAATACATGTTTCGCCTAATATTCATTGTCTTGAGCCTTGTCATCTTCACCAGCACCCTCGTAAGCCACCCCAAATGTCACGATATTGAGTCCTGGCTTCTCAACTAAAAAATATCTGTCCTTGGTCACCCCAGATGGTAGATTGGGTCAGTGGGGCACCATGCCAATGACATCAGTAATGGATTTCGCATCTACGACACAAATATCATCCTCAATGGGTTTGCATGAACTTACAGCGTGAAAGGAGAGCTTGAGAAGGTCACGATCTGGATAGGAATACATCATGACAAGCACCATGGCCTGCCAATGAAAAATCTGTTCTCCATCTTCATCTAAGCCATCTGCAACAGCTAGATGGGTGAAGTAAAGAACTTCAGCGAGGCAAATCTCACCATCCAACATGAGCTATAATATTTCATCAGCTTTGAACAGTTTGTAAGTACTAAAACATACCTTGACATTGCGTGAAATGCAAACCTTCTCAGCAGGTTTCTTGGCTTCTCTCCACACTGTTCTTGCTGTCTGCCCATTTGGTAAGCGCAGACAAGCCCAGCGACAAATTTTCACATCAGCCCCCAGGTACTCCCGAATAGCTCGGGCAGCTCCACCTTGAGGTTGAACATCATACAGATCACATTTGCGGAGAAGACTATACCCATCACCTAAATCAATGGAACCCTGAGGGAGGTCCTGCTTTGGCTCAACAAGGTCAGGCACCATAGCTTTGAGTGCATTGACCTGACACTGCTGCACCCCCTCCCTCAACAGATTTGCATATGGGTTTGATGGTTGTCGAATCTCCTGGCCAAAATTTCCTATTGTGCACTCCATTGTCCATTGTGAGTAACAAATTGGTGGTCCCTTTTGAAGGGTTTCAGTTGTGAGATGCATGACTTGATGGACACACGGACATATGAACTGGAGGCATTCAGCTTGCTGTTGGTAGTATAGTATCTCAAAGTCGAGCTCCCACTGAATGAAGCAGGCATGTGCTGCTTGTAAGTCTTGCATGGAAATTGAGTGCTGGCAAATGAGACAAAAACCGCACACCAGTTGATAATAATTGAGCCAATATTGCTGAGGGACAACATTGTAGAGAAGTGCGGGGCCCAGACCAAAGATGTACATCTGGAATTCCCAGGTTTTATATCCGGTGTTAATCTTTTGAGTGGGGTTGCATGGTTTCCTATCGAATGACCCAGGTAGATGTTGCGCAGCATCTGTGACAGCTTGTCCATGGCCTTGCCACAGGTTGGCATCTCTAAAAACAGCCCATTCCCAGGTAGATGGATGATCAGGAGGAGTGTAGTCTATAGTACCGCGCCACAGAGAGAGTAACAGATCGGCCAGAAGCTGAGTGAGGTGCATGATGTCAGGTGTGAGACATTGGGGGATTCTGAGGGTGTATTGAGGGAGAAGACCTAGCAACATACTAGGTTTTGTGAGACCTGTCTCCACTCGAAGCTTGTGGTATCAAGTTCGGTTGGGGGCAGCAATGAGTTTCGCAAGATTGGCAGGATATTCGGCTGATGCTGCATTAGGCAGGTCATACACACTCATGTCAGGGTGGCTGCAGCCTTGGACTTGGTAGTCATTCAGAATCAAGAGAGCTGGATAGTAATGCGTCCCTATAAAGATGCTTAGAAGATTTATCTCAATCATATACAAACTGTAACATACCTTTATGTCACCCAATGAGACCACAATAAAGTCAGCAACCATTACGACTGCTATGTCCAACCATCCCATCAAAATACACCAGACCTGGACCATCTGCGGTCACATAAATGAGATACAAATGCGAGAGGAATGTCCAGTCTATTTGAGTGTCCCAGATGTTAAGTCCCTCTCATTGCAAAGCAGCGAGATGGTGCATGCCAGGGAATAGGAAGCAATCAACATTTTTGGGTTTGTTGGGGCCGGGTATGAAGCCACCAGGAAGTACATACTTCTTCTTATAGCGGTTGCCTGGTGCATGGTTCATTACAATCCATATATAGATCCAGCAGTCAGACTGCTTGCTCTCATAAAGTTGAGTGCCATCCATCAAGATCATGAGTACAACATCACCCTTGGTTATATCTCCACGTAGGACAGCATGTATGTAATCCATACCCATGACAAAGTCGTCAATCTCATTGAAGACACCTCCATTGGTGCGTAGCTCGTTTAACAAATGCTCTGTCTTGTCAGAGAGATACAACATATGCTGAGTGTGTTCGGGGTTGCACCAAAGAGCTTGAAGCTGCGTGCTGAGGGGGATAGTGATGAATTTCTGTTGAGCTACACAAGTACGGCCTCCACTTGCCCGCAGCTTGATGGGGTCATAACATTCTGTGCCACAGATTGGACAGTTTTCCAGCTCTGCAAAAGGTCCTGTGAAGGCAACACAACTCTCAGGACACATATCATGCTCTATTGATTCCACTCCCATATATTCTGCAATGAGCCTCTCAATGCGGGTGTGACTTGGGACATCAGCGGCACCCTCAAAACAGCATGCAGCAGACTTGCAAATCTGCTCATATGCTTCATTAGCCAAGTGTTCAAGTGCAAAGTATGTTGTGATCACATGTTGAATAGAAGAGTCTTCAATAATAAGTTGTTCTCGAAGGGGAACTCGTAAATGGTGTAAGGCTGCATCATTGAGTTTAGCGCATGGGTCATCCAAGGAAGCATGTTGCAATGCCTGGATGAATGTGATAGCATCCTTCTGCTTGGGAAGGACAGCAAGACATTCAAGTTCATTGATATCAACATTAATGCAAACATGTTGATCTATATTGTGTTTGAGCAGCTCTATGTCATCATCCCAAGCAGGATCAGGGGGAGACGGTGATTGGGAAGGTGCATCATCCCAAGCAGGATCAGGAGGAGATGGTGGTCAGGAATGTGCATGGGGCAAAGGTTCATTTTCTTGATGATTCATGTCTGGTTGTGGCACGGGTGGCTCAGACTGTAGAAAACACTGGTCAGGTCAAGTTTTGTATGCTGGTGTGAAGCTTACCTCGTCTTGGTCTTGATGTGCATTGAAATCATTGTCATCAATATTGAATTCACCAAGTTCATCACCCTCTGGTTGTGCAGCACTGGTACTCCCTGCTGCCTCATTTGTCTCTACACATGCATGCTTGCATTGGCCTGTGCGAGCATTGTCCTCATGGAGAGTGCCTCATTTTACAAGCTCGCGATGAGCTGCTCGACGGCGATCACTGGTAGTAGCAATGGACTGCGTAGTGGGGCTAACAGGACCCGGGTCTCCAAGTGTATGGTGCGCTTCAGAAGTGTTACTGCAAAAAACAATAAGTACGAAAGCCTCTAGTAGTTAGTAGCTTACCTTTGCATTGCTTTGCATGCGAGTTACTTGCAGATGCGCGAGCCAGACGAGACAAAGACAAGCAAAGAGCAAAGATACAAGCAAGTTCGAGCTGATGCGATGCAAAACGAGACGATGCAATGCGTTCAATGTGTGTTTTTCATTATCTGCCTTATCTCATCATATTGACTTCGATACAAACATATACAAATCGGTTTCTGTCGTACCACGCCATAGGCGGTTTCTACTGGGGCTCAATGGTGGGTAACGTAGAGTCAGGATATAGAGCGTACGTTCGCTCAATAGTCTGAAGTGAACTACCTTATCAACCACCGTCTCCAGCGGGAAAGCCGGATACCCTTTCGCTCTTACCCTCAGCACTTGATAGCGATACCAGACCTAAGGACGTATCTATCTCTTCATCTGAAATCTAGTCAGCCTCTCCCACCGCTTCCCCTAGACGCACCCGAATATTTTAAAGCTGATATCCCGGTTGACTCAGAATTTATCAGTATCATTCAAAATGACTGGCCTTACTCCGTCCCTATCGAGATTGAACACACTCATCTAGTCGCAAGTACCTATCTTTCATCCGGATCTCATCCCGATGCACGGATTTAACAAGATGGGCTGTGTGGATATACAGGCAATGACTAGCTTGCACCCTCAAGGCCTCACCATCCGCCCTACCGGAATGTCTGCCTGCTCTAGTGGAGTGGGGAATCACAATGGAGAATTTAACTCACAACCCCAAGGGCAGTCCAGAGATCGAAGAGATGGCGAAGAATGCTGGAAGAGAAATAACACGGTTTTGTGAAACGAAGGTGGGTGGAGAACGAGTGGGAGACTGCGTGGTTTGTCAATCCCCCAGTAAGTGAACGAGTCTTTGGCTACGCTGTGTCAGCCGCTGAGCATTTGCAGAGGCTACAAAGCGTTCGTGGACTAGCACATATACATACATGTATTCGCGAAGAAGAAGCAACACTTATAGATTAGACCAATTTTAGATATAGAATACCCATTGAACGGAGCCTCATACTGTGCTACCATGATCAGCTGAGTGACCCGCTCTCAAACAATCATACTACTAGCTAGCATGCTATGAGCAGCGGCGACAGAATAGACGCGTGTGGATCGTTTCCTGCCTCCGTTGACGCAAGTAACCCTTAGAATTTCGAGGCTGTCGCTGACTGGTGTTGTCCAGAGGACACCATACGACAAATAATTGAACTCCTGTAGAGGGCAACGATAATATTTTACTCGTTGAACCTGGCAGCGGGGCCCCAGGCATCCCGCTTGTAACTAGGGACGATTCAACAACTTGAGCCGATACCATGTCTTGGTACCTTCGAATCCCGTTTACGTTACAGTACTACCAGTTCCCGTGTGCGTGATTCAACTGATTGAGTCTGCATTTATATGAAGCTTACATGCCTATCTGAATAAATTATTTAAGAGCTCATGCTGCAGATAGAATATTCGAATCTTCCAGTGCAATGCAGCCAATCATTCAAACCGACGAACTCTCAAAGGCACACCAATACCGTCCTCTCCAACAACACGCGGGCGAGGCAAAATTCCCCTCGCAATCTCAACCTCAGTATCCGGTCCATCCCGCATCTCAAACACAAAGTTCTTCACTAGAACCGACAATACCGCCTGTATCGTAGTGAGTAACGTCCAAACTGGCTGATTCATCTCAATCACCTTGAATTCCGTGATCGCAAAATCTTTTCCGAGACACGTCCTCGGGCCGTCGACGAATGTCAGCAGATGCCTATGACCTTGAACTTCCTTGGCCTTCCCACTGATCCCGTCTTCAGTCAACCAACGATCAGGCTTGAATTCCTTTGCGTCAGGTCCCCAGATGGCTGAAGAACGATTGGTTGCCCTGATTGAGATCACTAACAATGAACCCTTCGCTATAGATATACTATCTGTCATTTTCCCGGACTCCGTGCACACAGGTTCACTCAAGGGAACAACATCGTCTACGCGTGCCTGTAGATCTATTGTCAAGGTTTCTATTCACATATACACACGCGTACGCACGCAGCGAGTGAACTCGGGTACCGCAGGATGGAGTCGTAGAATTTCATGGACGACCGCGTCCAAGTATGGGAGGCTGGCCTTTAATTGGTCGTATGTCGGATCAGGACCAAATGCAAGCAGCTCCTCCCTGAGTCTGGTCTGGACATCGGGGTGTCGCGATAACTCGATCAGTGCCCACTGATCACCACGTGAATAGCGTACACAGATGATATTGGACAGTAGACTTACCGTAAGACTGGCTACCAGCAAAGAGTCAGCAAATATGATGGAAGTGGACAAGAAATTAACTCACTTGACGTTGTTTCGTAACCCGCGAGAAGCAACACCTTCATCTGCAGGATATCAGCTTGCAAGTCATGGCTATGACACAAAGTCTCCACGGACCTGAGCCAATACTTCATCCTCGGACATATGAAGCTCAGCTTCCTGACCTTCAGCTTTGACTACGATCGTTACGTCAATCAAGGAATCACGATGAATCTCTTGGAGAGCGTACTCAGCAGTCCGATGATAGATTTTTCTTCTTCCGACTCTTTCATACTCACATCCTTCTCCCGGCGACTGCGAATTAACAAGTCATTGGATATTTCACCCATAGTCACGTTAAGTTTCTTCGCCAGCTTCGTCCGCGGAGTAGGTATCTTGGCAATGATAGGAAATACCGACGCAAGCAGGAACAAAAGTCGGTTCACTGCTGAGGCCCGTGAGCTGTTTCCGAACGTATCGAAGACTTCTGTAACGCTGGCGTGCTTTCCGTCGAGTGAGCCAAAATCATGGGAGAAACCCGCGATGCCAATCGTATCCAAACTGCTGTTGCGTGATTTTCGGAGCTTGCACAGCAAATATCCATTCCTTACGAGATATGATTCATCCTTGAAGTCACTTTGATGAGGAGTGCAAGGTTTGTATGTCCAAAGCTACGCACCAGTTTTGAACTTCAATGACAGCATTTCCATCTTTGCTCGATTCTACATCGGTGTCCCATACGTTCTTGACCTTAGAGTTTCGAGATCAGATGTGTCGCATTCCTTACATTGGAAATCCATACCTTATATGCTGAATCATAAAATACCGATGTGAGTTTCCGAATAGCTGCGTTACTGAACGCCGGAGTGAGAGCCTTCCGCTGCCTAATTCGCAAGTAGCTGATCAGTCTCCGGCACGAGAACAAGATCTAGATACTAGATACTACCTTCTGTGACTCTCACCCTGAGACCATAGTACCCCTCTGCCGACCTGTCAAGAAATATCAGATAGACGACATTAAAAGAGGGTATTAACATACCATGTTCTCTATCAGCGCCAGAGAAAGGGGCGTCTGCACATAGGTCCATGATTCTCGGGCATAAAAATGTGCGATGGCTCTTGGGTCAGCTAGCACGATTCTGGTCTGTCCGAGGACCGACGGAATCATGTACACTACTCCATATTCCTGCGTCCAATGTTCATACATTATAGCACTGTCTTTAGATAAGAGGAGGTCTTTCGAAACACCATATATGAAGCTGGTACGAGGTGGACCACGGAGTTGAGTCGTCCTCAATCGCCAGCGAAGTGCCCTCATTACTTGTACGAAAGTCCATAGTGCTGCAAATGAACAAGCGACATTGAACGCGCCAACCGAACGAACAGTTGTCCAGAGGCTTGATGGAGAGCCAGGTATAGCAATAGTAAGCAGGTCCCTCATTGTCGCGATGAATTCGATATTTAATGTATTGGGAGATTTATAGCCACTTCTGCGGTAGCGGCATGACTACGAAGTCCACCGGCTTGCTGTAGGAATTAATACTGTCACGGTAGGCCTGTTAGCTACCCGTGGGCAGTAATTATTTATAGAAGCCGGCTGAGCCTGTATCGGAAATCAAAGTGTCCGACGGGTACCTCAGCTTCAAACTCTGCCCATATTTTAGGTGCAGTAATACTTAGTCTGCAAGACGAAAGACAGATAAATCATATCGAGCGACCGGGGAGTCCATCCATGCTACATAAAACGCGATATATCTGGCTATGTTATATATATAATGTTGCAGATACTCGGCCTTACCAGAGTTAAGATTGTGCCGCGGCGATTCATCGCTACTTAAATCATTACTTACTCGAAGTTCTCGAACAGCTCAATTCTACTAATCAGTCTATTTCCCATGCGATCAACACTCTGGCTGGCGTAAAGAAACGACTTGCGTGGGTTCACAGTGTTTACTGCACTGCGTCGTACCACATTCTCCCATGCATTGATTAATGAAGCTGGAAGTGTGACACAAGTATGTAGGACAGACTTGATACACAAAGGTTCAAAGGCTCGGATTAAATTCAGAGCAAAGCAATTAAACGACTTCAGTGCAGGTTGAGGAAGATGGTCGTAAAGTAGTTGCGTTCAAACGATGAACATGCTTGCTTATCATGTAGGGTTCCTTCCAGCTCTTCGCCTCGACAAGTTGAACCCTTAATGGACCTTGGAACCAACCTGCAAACGCGTTCAGAACAAGCTTTCTTGGTTGATGACCATCCGCAGGATAATAGGCATTTATGTATGGTTTTCGAAATAGAACTGGAGTCATAGCCAGAAAAATAAAAAGAGGTATGACCAAATAAACCTGCGAATAGAATCCACCTTGTGAGTGGTCCGTGAGATGGCACAAGGCATAGGTGGAATTGCGACGCAAGAATTCTTGCCGGGCACTGGCGCTTTCGCCAGACGACAAAATGATTTTGCGGTGGGGGAGTGGAACCGTCCATAGCCTGTCTAAGCGGTGGGGACAACAGATGGACGGGAATGGGCTACAGGTCATTCTCGTAGTCTCCCCCAACGGTGCAATCGCGATACTCTTTCAGCGTATTTGCAACCTCCCGAAGCATTCCTTCCTCTTGTGGCCTGTAAGTGCTAGAAACGAAGATCCAAAATATTGAACTGCTGCCAGATTAGAAGAAGTTCCCCCGTAGATACCACTGTGAGGATGTAAAGTGTGAATTCAAAATAGCGCTGTATTTTTATGTGTAAGTAAATGAACAACAAATTACATAAACAAGGTTAGCCTAATATTTTGCTTGTCCATGACGATGACCATAGAGCCACCCTTGTATTCTACGGACAACGTTTCCCTGAAAATCGTACAAGTCCCCCTGCGAACAGGTCCTCCAACAAGGGAAGAGCTACTCGTGCACTATCCAGCCAAGTTCACATGGCACCAGCTAAAGACTTTCGTGAATTCTGGGTATTTGTATTTTACCGCCAGTATGAACAAGACGCTGACTCTGCAACGTCACTAAAGGGATCTCGGACTGTTAAAGCGTGACAAGGCGCTACAAAAGAGATATGATGCATGGTCTCCAGGGATTGTGAAAGAGCATGGTTCAATGGGTGGGTAACGTAGAGTCAGGATATATAGTTCGCTCAACAGCCTGAAGTGAACTACCTTATCAACCACCGTCTCCAGTGGGGAAAGCCGGATACCCTTTCGCTCTTACCCTCAGCACTTGATAGCGATACCAGACCTAGGGACGTATCCATCTCTTCATCCAAATCTAATCAGCCTCTCCCACCGCTTCCCCCAGACGCACCCGAATATTTTAAAGCTGATATCCCGGTTGACTCAGAATTTATCAGTATCATTCAAAATGACTGGCCTTACTCCGTCCCTATCGAGATTGAACACACGCTCATCTGGTCGCGAGTACCTATCTTTCATCTGGATCTCATCCCAGCGGAAATCGATGCACGGATTCAACAGGATGGACTGTGTGGGTTTACAGGCAACGACGAGCTTCCACCCTCACCATCCACCCTACCGGAATGTCTGCCTGCTCTAGTGGAGTGGGGAATCACAATGGAGAATTTAGTTCGCAGCCCCAAGGGCAATACAGAGATCGAAGAGATGGTGGGGAATGCTGGAAGAGAAATTGATGGTTTTGTGAAACGAAGGTGGGTGGAGAGCGAGTGGGAGACTGCGTGGTTTGTCAATCCCCCAGTGAGTGAACAAGCCTTTGGTTACGCTGTGTCAGACACTGAGCATTTGCAGAGACTACAAAGTGTTCGTGGACTAGCGCACATACATGTATTCGCAAAGAAGAAGCAACACTTATAGATTAGATCAATATTAGACTTAGAATACTCCTAGAGATTTATGATTTGTTGTCTTTGTGAATGAGTTTCATCTTATCCACCACTATCTTCACGATATCGCTCCATTCCGTCATGGCACCAAGTCCTTTGAAAAAAGAACCAAGTCATCTGCAACGGCAAGAAATAAAAATCGGAGCTACATACCAACGTCCCCACATGCAAGGTTTTTTCCGATTGGACCGACAACTTGGTAGCGCACAACGTCCCGGATAACGCGCAAATGTTCTGCCGTGAGCGGATGCTCGTACATGAGTGTATTCATCGCTGGGAATACATAAGTCGGCGTCGTAGGTGCCAACGCGCGAAGGAGAGAGGTCTAAGCAAGAGGTTTGTCATCAAACACGATGTGAATATGGTGAGAAACATACTGCGAGATTGTCGCAGAGTCCATGTGCAATCTTTGAGAGCGTATTTGCCGAGCAGGGAGCGACAAGAACAATGTCAGCCCACCTCCTCAACTCGATATGCAGGATCGGATCTCCAATCTTGTATGACCCCTGTCATGGATATTGAGACGACCAAGCTCTTCTGAAAAGCACGTATATTCACCGACCACTCGTCCTCATCAGTCCACACGCGGGCGCCTGACTTGATGACATCTGCAGGGTCATAAAACGCGAGCGACTCCTTGGTCGCAACCACTTCTACTCTGATATTTTGGTACTACGTTTGCACACAATATGAGCAAGGGCAGGTTTCCAAGACGGGGGACAGACTTGGAGAAGCGCTGAGACGATGAGAGGAGCTTTGATAGATGCTACGCTTCCAGTCGTTATGAGCAATATGTGGTTGTGATTTGGGAGGCGCTCCGTTTGGGCAATAAATTGGCGAGCCGTCATGGTGAACGGTAACGTTTGAGAATTGTTATTATCTAAGTTATTTTTTGCAAGCTATTATTTATTGTTTGCTTATTATATCAGTAGGTGCGTTCGTGTATGTCTTCTATCCTATCAGGAATCGGCTCGAGGGGAACGACGATCAAACTCACTAACCCAATGCTTTGATTGCGAGTACTTAGTACATTGTTGCGTGACAGCGCTACTTGAACTTCGGATATGAGCGAACAAAATATTTAATTTCCCGTCACCAGCCGAATTCAAGTTCATCGCGCGACGCGTATAGCTATACGGTGCCCATATTACAAGTACACATTCCTCTTTTGATTTAAATACAACAGTTCCAGTCGGGAATAAGTGACGGAAAAACAAAGAAAACTTGCTAGTGCAGTGCAACCAATCATTCATACCGACGAACTCTCAAAGGCACTCCAATACCATCCTCTCCAACAACCCGTGGACGGGGAAAAATCCCCCTCGCAATTTCGACTGGAGTATCAAGTCCATCCCGCATTTCAAACACGAAGTTCTTCACCAGAACCGATAAAACCGTCTGTATCGTAGTGAATAACGCTCAAGCTGATTAATTCGTCCCACTCACCTTGAATTCCGTGATCGCAAAATCCTTTCCAAGACACGTCCTTGGGCCGTCGACAAATGTCAGTAGATGCCTATGACCTTGAACTTCCTTTGCCTTCCCACTGATCCCGTCTTCAGTCAGCCAACGATCAGGCTTGAATTCCTTTGCGTCAGGTCCCCAGATGGCCGAAGAGCGATTGATCGCCGCGCCTGATATCGTGATCAATGTCCCTTTCCCTATCGATATGCTGTCCGTCATTTCCCCGGATATCGTGCGTACAGGTTCACTCAAGGGAATAACGTCGTCTGCCGCTGCCTGTAGACCTATTGTGAATATATATTCGTATACAGACATGTATACCCACAAGACGAATGAACTCTCCCACCGGAGGATGGAGTCGTAGAATTTCATGGACAACCGCATCCAAGTACGGGAGACTGGCCTTTAACTGGTCATATGTCGGATCGGCGCCAAACGCAAGCAGTTCCTCTCTGAGGCTGGTTTGGACATCGGGGTGTCGCGATAGCTCGATCAGCGCCCACTGATCATCACATCAATAGTATGCACAGACACTATCGCGCAGTAAGCTTACCGTAAGACTGACTGTCGATGAAAAGTCAGGCAGTGTGATAGCAGTGGACAAGAAAGCGACTCACTGGATATTGTCTCATAACCCGCGACAAGCAAGACCTTCATCTGGAGGATGTCAGCTTGCAAATAATGGCTGTGATACATTGATTCAACGGACCTGAGCCACCACTTCCTCCTTCGACATACGAAGCTCGGCATCCTGGCCTTCTGATTTAACTGATCGCCACGTTAATCAAGAGACCATAATGAATTTCTCAGAAAGCGCACTCAACAATCCGATGATAGACTTCTCCTCCTCTCTCCTGCTCATATTCACAGAGTCCTTCTCCCGGCGGCTGCGAATCAATAGGTCATTAGATATTTCTCCCATGGTTATACTAAGTTTCTTCATCAGATTCCTCCGCTTGGTGGGGATCTTGGTGATGATAGGAAATGCTGATGCGAGCAGGAGAAGAGCTTTGTTCACTGCTGAGGCCTGTTGGTTATTTCCAAAAGTATCAAACACTTCGGTCACGCTGGCGTGCTTTCCATCGAGCGAGCCAAAATCATGAGAGAAACCAGCAATGCCAACTGTATCCAGACTGGTAGTGCGTCAGTTGGAGGCATCAATGACAAGATATCTTCGTGTACGATATATGACTCATCCTTTAAGTCATTTCGATTAGGAATGATACTTGACAAGCCAGAAAAGCTACGCACCAATTCTGAACTTCGATGACGGCGTCGCCATCTTTGCTCGATTCTATAGCAGTATCCCATGCACCTTTGGCCTGTAAAGTATCAAGTTCAGAGGTGCCGCATTTCCCACATCGCAAATCCTTACTTTGTATGCTGAATCATAAAACACTGATGTGAGTTTTCGAATCGCTGCATTACTGAAACCTGGCGTGAGGGCCTTCCGCTGCCTAATTCGCATGTAGTAGATAAGTCGCTAGCGCGAGGACAAGAGCTGAACAGTACCTCTTGTGGTCTTCACCCTGAGACCATAATAGCCCTCGGCCCATCTGACAAGAGATGTCAGACGGACAAGGTAAGATGATGATATCAACATACTGATGCCTCCAGAAGTGTCAATGAAAGGGGCGTCTGCACATATGTCCATGTCTCTCGGGCGTAGAAATGTGCTATAGCTCTCGGGTCGCACAGCACAATTCTAGTCTGTCCGAGGACACTCGGAATCATATACGCCACCCCATATTCTGTCGCCCAGCGTTCGTACATTTCACCACTATCTTGGGATGAGGCGAGGTCGTGCGAAACGCCATATATGAAGCTGGTGCGGGGGGGACCCCGCAGTTGAGTTGTCTTCAATCGCCAGCGAAGCGCCCTTAAGACTTTGCCGAAAGCCCATAATGCAGCAAGTGAACAAGCGACATTGAACGGGCCAACCCCGCGTACGGTTGTCCAGAGACTTAATGGAGAGGGTAAAGGGATGGTAGATACCTTCATTGTTGCTATTTGATCCAAAGTGGGATCTATTGAGAGATTTATAGCGCCTACGCTCGTTAACTGTTTCGGTTTATTTACTGTGCTCAACAACATATATAAGCACGTATAACCGCCGGCATGTTGTCCATCCCGTCATGCTGTGTTGTTTTCTCTTCATGGCTCTTTCCGTCCACTGCGTCATGCTGTGTTATTGCATGTTCTTGACAATGCCAATTTCAAACTCAGCGTGTGCTCCCGCTAAAGGGGTGTGTGGCTGAAATTAGTGATGTTCCGGCCCAGCTTCAAGTCCCAGGCCAGCCAAAGCCAGGCCTGATTGGGCCAGGCCAAGCCCAGGCCCAGGTGATGGCCTGACCAGGGCTTTGGCCTAGGCTTCAGTTTTGCAAAGCCTAAGCCACTGGCCCAAGCTGCGGCTTAGAATTATGTAAGTACTGCGCAGGAGCCTCATTGTCGACTCTATTTTTGTCATTTTCTTGCTTCTCTTTAGTTCTCGCTTCCTAGTCCATCATACTGTAGGGTATGTCAGAATGACATGGTGAGTTGCCATTGTTGTCTTCTTTCAGAGCTCTTGCTAATACTCACCCCAGTGACAGAAAAACAGACATCACCTGCCATATCATATTGCACTGTTTTCAGCAATCTATGCACCTCTCAAATCCTACTTTGTGCTGCAGCTTCATGAGCTTGATGGATTCTTGAACAAGTTTCAGTCATTTATAAATGGTATGTGTGTGTATTTTATCTGTGTAGCTGCCTGCAATGACTGGCATGACTAGTGCAGTTCTTACTGATGGCAAAGACAAGCCACATGTTGTGCATCCCATATGCAAAATCAAACCCACTGCTGCCCTCCTTCAACACTTGGAGAAAGTGGCTCTTCCCTCCCAAACAAAAGCTATCAATGATTTCTGTGCAGCTGAGGCCGCCAAGCATGCTTCAGAGGTTTCTCAGCCTGCTGCACTCACACTGCCTGTACCAGCCACACAATTAGCACCTCCCCCATCCAACAAATGTGTGCATCCTGATGATGCCCTTGATAATGCCCTCGATGATGATGAATCTGGTGATATGGAGCATGAGAATGCTTGTGTCAACCCTAAGTGTGCTAGAAGGAAGCACAAATCCCCAGAGAAGTCCCCAGAGTTAGTTGATGAAGATGGGGTTCTTGTTGATGTTGATGTCTCTATTGCAGACCCAGGGTCATCTCAGGAAGGCAAAACTGCTGACATTGACAACTTCTTTGGTGCAGCATTCAAACACACTGGTGCCAATGGCAAAGTGAAGAAGCACAGAAAGTGCAATATTTGCTTGTAAGTTTGCCTTTGCACTGTCATAGTACCTACTCACTCAATCATTTGTAGGAAAAAATGTATTCTCATCAATGAAGCCACTACCCTTTGTCATCATGCTGAGGCACATTTTGGCAGCAAGTATTGGAAGTGGGCAAGTGAACATTCATTTGAGTCCATGTTACCTGGTGACATCAAGGCTTGCAAGGAGAATGCTGTGCAGCAACAAATCAATGCTCATCTCACTGAATGCAAGCTTGATGAATGAGTCATACCATACTCCAATAAGTTGTTTAAGCAAGCTGCCATTGAATGGCTTGTAGCCACTGATCAAGCACACCTGCTCCCCTCTATTAAACATCATGACTGACATCTCTTTTTCTAGCCCATTCAAGCACTTGAACACCCCAAGTTCAAAGAGATGGTTGACATTGCTTCTTGTGCAACCAATGGAGTCAAGATTCTGGGTAGGAAGGCAACTTGTGCCAAAATCATGAGGATGTTCAAAAACCACCTTACAAGGCTCAGGAACATGCTGAATGTGAGTAATGTTTTGTCCATTGACTGTACTTTGTATAATTAGGCTTTGTGTAGAGCACTGCCATCAAGGGCAATGTCAATGTCACCTGTGACACGTGGCAGTACACATAAGGTCAGTTTGGTTTACTCCTTCAGACTATATCACACTCATATCTTACTATAGCTTGGGCCTGTAATGTGTGACAATGCTGCAAACAACAGGATGGCAATGGAAGAATTTGCACAGCTTTATGAGGTTAAACACCACAAGGTGTTTCCCTGGACTGAGTGCAAAATCAAGTAAGTCCTGTCATTGTCAACTTACTACTGTGACACTAACTCTTTTATATAGCTGCCTGGCTCATGTCATTAATCTAGCCACACAAACCTTGATTGCCACATACAGCAAAGCACTGCATTACAATCTGCATGACCTGAAAGGTCATGAACCAACCACTCAGGATGAGATTGGTCTTATTCAGAGTATTTGTGTCAAGGTACGCTTGTTGGCATCATAATGCACTAAAGTATTAATGTCCTGTAGGAATGGTCATCTGCAAAATGAAAGGAGATGTACAGGAGTGTACAGATCAAAGCAGGAGTGTCCCAGCCGACCCAACTATTAATTGACATGAAAGTTCAGTGGTTGTCAATGTATATCATGCTTAATTGTGCCAAGGCAAACAAGGAGGTACATATTTTGTATTGTTGCACTTTTTATTTGTTGAAACTTACTATCACTATAGCATGGTGACACTTTTGTTTACAAGATAGGTCATCAAGAGTGCAATTTGGCCAAACACATGAAGATCGACTTTCTTCAACTCTCAATGGCTGAATGGACATGCACTGGCCAATTTGTGGATCTCCTTTCAGTATGTCAATTTCTAATTTGCCTATGCTTGTTTCTAATCTTAATCTTTCAGTATGCTGATGTGGTACAGCAAGCATTCTCATCAGAATGCAGCTCAACACTGCATCTTACAATTCTGGCACTTGAAACACCCTACAAGGCCTGGTCCTCATGTGCTGAAAGGTTGAAATATTTGAGGTTTGCTACATCACTCCAAGCAGTAGGCTGCAAAGGTAGACAAATATTATGAGAAGACAACAAAGTCCCCTGCATATATAATGGCAATTTGTGAGACATTGTTTATTTAATGTTGGATAATTGGTCTGATTTTTACAAATGCAGTACTTGATCCAGTGGGGAAAATGGTGTATTTCAAGTGGCACTGGCCAGAAGATTTACATGACAAAGTGCTTACAACTGCAGAGAAAGTGGTGTGTCAACCAAATTTCAATTTCATGCATAGGTCTGATTCTGCTGCCAGTTCAAAGCTTGTTATCTTGAGTTGAATGAAGAAGGTACATTGTCATCATTGTCACAGCCTGCACCAAGAAAGGTAAAGTGGGTGGCCTCAAGTCTCTCATCTGAGAAGTCCTCAGTGATTCAGAGGACAACCTGTCTGTGAACCCAACTCTTGCTTCTATTGGCGATCCATTGCAGCCATGGAGGGCTGAGTTTATGAGTTATATTGAGACTATTGAGGCTGCTCTACCAGCTGGCATGACCACCATTCAATGGTAGGAGGTATGTGTGTGCCTTATACTACTTAAAATATTCATGCTAATGATTTCATTTAAGATCAATGCACTGAGATATCCAGTGTGGGCTTCACTCACATGAGATTACCTATCTATCATGTCATCATCCATCTCCAGCAAGTATGCATTTTCACAAGGTGGCATCACTGTCACTAAATGGTAGAACAGGCTCAAAGGAGATATTGTTGAAGCTCCCCAAATTGTCAAGTATTCAATATAACATGACCTTCTCTTCTGAGAGCCTGGACCATCATCCCTCATGGAGTTAGAGGAACTTGATGATGCTGAATTGGAAGCTGGGAGTGACTTGAAGACTGCAGGTGATGATGGTGATGATGAGGATAGTTGGGATATCATGCTTGATGATGTGGAAGACAATGCTGATGATGAAGCTGATGATGAGGTGTCTGACTTTGAGATGGACTAGGTCTGCTCCATGTTGCTTGTTCTGTAATTCTATTGCACTACAATATATAATGTCACACTGATTGCAAAAGAGCTGCAGCTTTGTTTGGCTCAAGCTGTGGCTTTTGGCCAGCTTGGGCTCATGGTCTTGGCTTGAAATCTGGTGAGCCAGAGCCCCCTCAGGCCAAGCCTAAGCCAGGGCTTTGGGCCAAAACCAGGTCTGGAACATCACTAGCTGAAATGGTGGTTACAGCCATTTGCAGAACACTAGGCCAAAAGTTTTTCACTACATGCACAGTGGTGTAGAGAATGAGATTCCTCCAGGCATAGATCATGCATATTTTGACTCCTGACAATTGGTATAGTGCATGACTCACTGTCTATGGCTTTCCTGTGAAACATGCCAGAGGTGCGACACTTTCCTGCACTATGTGACACATTCATGTGCACATGGTTAGCATGCCCTTCCTGCACTCAATCACCTTTTGTCACACAGCATCCTGGAGCCTTCATCCATTGTCCAATCAGTCTCCTAGTGAGTCCGTTCTCATTTATTCTTGCTATCAGACTATTTTTGGTATCATATGATATTTTATTCCATCATGGACCCTGTCCTTATCTCACTTACATACATACAATGCTCCCTATTTGCTTCTGAGCCCTGGGAGTGCAGCTAGGCACAGCTTACCTGTTGCCTAGAAGTTTTCATAAAAACAACCACTATCATGTCAGTTAGCATCTCATAGTCAGAATCCATCATTGTGAGTTAGCATCTATCAGAGTTGTTGCCCTAGTCCTCAGCAACAGTCTATTATCACCAGTCTCCACTCAGCAGTCTTAGTTCAAACCTTCATGACATCTTTCAGTTCTTATATGTTCATGCACTCCTTGCACATTATTCCCACGCTTTGCACACCTACACACTCCCATATTCCCTCACATGCTTACAGTGCACTTCACCAGAGCTGACCTAGCATCACTTCATGGATCCTTGCTTTCCTTGCTTCCCCTAAGGGTTGAACATATCGCTTGGTGCACTTTGACCAACACATTTAGAGAGTCAGTGGCCTTCCTCTCACCCCAGAGGTAGAGCCATCTTTCTTTCTTCTGCTCTACAAGCCAGCAGAGTTGTTGAACCTTCAGTGGTATTTTAACTTCTACTCTTTGATCAAATATGTAGGGTATGTAGGGATCTGCATGGGTCCTGGGTATGGGTATCCCTTGGGTATGGGTAAGGGTACCACTAAGTCATACCCGTACCTGTACCCAAGGCTGGGGTTTTCACCAAAATACAAACTTTAAACTTAAATTATAATGGTACCATCCATTGAACTTGCCATCTGTCAAAACTAAATTGTGATATATCAATATGAATCTAATACATCACTACACTGCATGCAAATTTTCGCTTGCAACTTCATACATCACCCACCATGTCACAATCCAACTTTTTCACTGTGACAGCCAAATGAGTCAGTAAGATGACAGGCAAAGCAAAGGCTACTTTTAAAGAGAAGACAATATGGACCTCATTGAAGAAATGTAAACCTAAAGCAAGTGGAGAAACCATCAATACTCAGCTGAAGAAGGCAAAAATGAACCAACCTGCTGATACCACTCCCCCTGCAGTGTTGCTGCCATCAACATCACCAATATCAGTAACATCTGTTACATCAACCCTCCCTCCAACTGACAAAAGTTGTCATGCAGTCATTTGCATGGAGGAGGAGGAGGAAGCCTTGTATGCAGACAGCGCTGATGCTGGCCTGAGAGAGAGTGATGAGGAATCACAAAGTGGGGAGAAAGAACAAAATCCACAAGATGAACTATGTAAGTACATTAATAAATCTGTAAATCAACATTAATCTAATGTAACATCATTAGAACATCTCATGCAAGAGTGGGTCTCACTGGTCTATGCCTTCTTTCATCCAACACCAAACATTGCCAAAATCAAAGGACAGCAGGCATATGAATTCAAATGTCAGGTAAAAGGATGTAAGGTCAAAGTCCAACATTTCCTGGATAAGGGTGATGCCCATTCCACTGGAAACATGTGAAAACATGTTTGATCATGTTGGAGAGAGGATGTTTTGCAAGCTGCTGACCAGGCCAAAGATGCTAATGAAGTTCACAAAAACATTGTCAGCAGCTTCCATGTAATGGGTTAATCATGGCCTTGTTTGAATGCAAGGGCAAAGGAAAGGTGACTTACTCTCATCATCAGCACACATGAGCTGAGACAAAGTATATGGACCTTGATTGTATCAAGGGTATGTTCTGACTCAATTGATAGGGCTGAACTTGTCTGTTGGGTCTCCAAAAGCCTGCAGCCATTCGAAATCATTGAAGACAAAGGGTTTCAGTCACTCATGAAAACAGGACAGCCAGAATACTACATACCATCTCCTTCTACTGTTGCTAGGGATGTTTGAATGGTTTTTGCATGGACATGTGTGTGGATAGCTAGGATGATCAAGGTAAGTCTTCCCTGAAGTCAAACATATAAAATCATATGCCCATACCAGGGATACCCAGGAAAAGTGAATTTCACTACTGACAGCTAGACATCACCCAACCACAGAGCATTTGTCACAGTTTCAGTCCACCTCAAACTCAATAGCAAGCCACTAACATTGCCATTAGATATTGTTGAGGTCACAAAGGTGCATAGTCACGTACAATATATTTATGAACCATCCAGCTAATTGAATCCCAGTTGCACACAGGAGAGGAACTTGCACAAATGTTTGCAGACATTCTGGAGGAGTATGGGATATCAGAGAAAGTTAGTCAATTGTTGGTTTGAGGACTGTCACTCACTGGCAGGACACACATTTAGATACTCAACATCACATGCAATAATGCCTTAAATAACACAGTGATGGTTGAAAAGCTGGCTAAGATGCTTCCATCATTTCCTGGAGCCCCAAATTATACTCAATGTTTCTTGCATATGGTTAACCTTAGTCGCTAAGTTGTTGATAAGAGAATTTGACATGATGAAGAAAGATGCCAATCAGGTGTTTGAGGAGGACTCAGAATTTGAGCCAGAGGATGATTTCAATGATGAGGTGAGTGCTGAAACTGAAGATGTGATCCCTGAAGAATATGAGGGTACTGGAGATGACTGATAATGATGAGGGATGGGTGGATGAAGTAAGTTTGCTGCTAGAGCAGGAGAGGAATGAGGTGCAGTGAGAGATTTGTCCCATAAAGTTAGTATTAGTGAAAGTGAGAGAAAACAGGCAATGTGCACCTTTGCAACTGACATTCCAGAATCTAGCTGTGCAAGCTTGCTTACAAACTCATTCACTCAACTACTGTACTCCTCCCCACATGGCATAAAGCACTGCATGCATCTGGCCAGTCCATTACCAATATGCCACAGGATGTCACTACCTGGTGGAATTTGACCTTTGACATGTTGAAATATGTGCTGGACCATTGGGATGCAATTGATGTTGTAATGCAAAGCCAAGGCTTAGATTTGCACAAGTTTGAACTCACCGACATCAAATGGGAGATAGCACAGCAGCTTTGTGATGTGCTAAAGGTATTTGTTTAGGTTTACATATATTTATAATTACATATCAACTAAGGTTAACATTATAGATTCTCAAAGATGCAAGTACAGTGGCTCAAAAAAGTGTCTCAATGTTTGTGGCTTTTCATGTAATTGCTTCATTATGACCCAGGGTGTGAGAATATGACTAAGCCATAGGGAGGTGTGGGAAAGCTCTGCTTCTAAGCATTATGTTTGATCCCTATAGTGTGGGAAGATTATGTCATCAAGTGAAGATATGGTCAATTTAATTTGGTGACTCATTGAGACACTTTTTTGACTTTTGTTTTGACCAACACAATCTCTATAATTCTACTACTTGGTGTTTCCTCCTGTTGCTCTAATTAGTTCTACCACTCTTCTATGCATACTATCTATCAATTTGAGGTATTCCTCATCAATAATCTTGCCCCACTCTGCTGCAACTCTCTCCCACAGTTGAAATAACCCCTATTGAGGATCTTGATAGACTGCAAGTGATATCTTGAGTAATTACCAGGGCTGTTCAATAGGGTTGAGGTCTAAGGACTGGACTTGCCATGATAGAACACTGATACCATAGTTTTCAAACCATTTTATGGTCAACTTGACGTATGCTTAGGGTCATTGTCTTGTTAGAAGGTAATGTCTTCTTCATTAATCCTTGATTCTTGCATGCTTCTGAGCAGCTACTTTTCCAAAATTGAAATATGCTGCTCTGTATTCATCCTCCCTCCACCTCACAGAGAATTCCTACTCCATTCCACCTCATGCAACACCATACCATCAAGTTTCCTACTTTATATATTTTAGTGTTTTCTTTCTTCTAGTAGTTCTTCTGCCTTTCATCACATATATTCCTAGCTATCTGACCCCATCCTATTGATTTTTGTCTCATCTGACCAGGTAGCCCTATTCCAGTCCTCAACAGTCCAATATTGAGGCTTTAAAGCAAAGGCTAGTCTCCTCCTCTATAGGCTGAAGACAGGAAAGGCTTTTTCTGCCTGTTTATAGCTTTAAGGTTGGCTGCCTTATGAGTATTCCTGACTATTTAAGTGGAGAGAGTGGTGTAGATGATGTAATTAATGAATTTGGTGGCTTGAGTAGCATTGGCAGCCTTCCTAGTTGGAATATTATGAACAAGAGATTTTTTGTTATATGGTATAAGCTTGAAAGGACAATTTAGTTTGATATTTTCTTATCTGGAATGACTTTTTTGTGATCCTAATGATAGTAACCCTGCTCAGACCAGTTTTAGTAACAATCTGCCTGGTATACTAATTAGAAGAACTGAGGATAATAATAGGGGCTATTTCAACTGTGGGAGAGAGTTGCAGCAGAGTGGGGCAAGATTATTGATGAGGAATACCTCAAATTGATAGATAGTATGCATAGAAGAGTGGTAGAACTAATTAGAGCAACAGGAGGAAACACCAAGTAGTAGAATTATAGAGATTGTGTTGGTCAAAACAAAAGTCAAAAAAGTGTCTCAATGAGTCACCAAATTAAATTGACCATATCTTCACTTGATGACATAATCTTCCCACACTATAGGGATCAAACATAATGCTTAGAAGCAGAGCTTTCCCACACCTCCCTATGGCTTAGTCATATTCTCACACCCTGGGTCATAATGAAGCAATTACATGAAAAGTCACAAACATTGAGACACTTTTTTGAGCCACTGTACATTCTTCTCTTGCTTCATGCCAAACTTGGCCACTGTGATTTCTGCTATGGACCTAATCCATGAGACACTCACAAGTTATTCCCACAACCAGAAATATCTTGCCTCTATTCATGCAGCTGTGCGTCTCACCAAGAAAACTCTGAACTGCCACTATGAGCTCACTGATAAATCTGAAGTATATCATATAGCAATGGGTGTGTTTTCTTTTTGCTTTCTTGCTTCCTTCACTAATCATAAAATAGTTTTGCATCCACACCATAAACTATCCTACTTCAAGAATACTGGATAGACAGAAGAGTGGATCAACACTGCTGAAACTCTGGTGCATGAGGGATTTGACTGCTCTTACTCAATCCTGGACATCAAGGATGACATGGACACTGAGATAGATGAGGAGCCTGCTGGCTCAATGGATGTTGATTCTTCTATGGTATGCTCTATTTCTTTGTTGTTGTTGTTTCAGTCACTTATGTCATGTTATTCCTAGAGCAAGAATATCTTTGATCATATACCTGCTCTCACACCACCCAAATCTACTGACCTCCATGACAAGGTAGATCGTTACCTTAGTACTGATGTGGAGCATACCAACAATGCAATTGCATGGTGGCATGAATGTCGTGGCTCTTTTCCTTGTCTCTCCCACATGGCTCCAGATTATTTGATTATCCCTGCTAAGCTCCATCACTCTTATAGTTATTTATTGCCCTAATTATTTGTTAGTGACTTCAGTGGATGTTGAATGGCTATTCAGCTGAGGTTGGCTTTTGCTTTCTCATGTACACTCACAGCTCATGGCTCAGTCAATGTGTGCTCTTCTTTGCCTTGGTGTGAAGAAGTAATTTGTACTAGGCAGTTAGCAACTAGCACTACTTATCCTAAGAGGCACAAGTTAATTGATCGGCCTGAGAGGACTGCTATTGAAGCACTTCCTTCAATTATGTGTGAGGGAAGTAAGTGAGCAAAGGAGTTATAACCTATGTTGGCCTAAGAAACTAGAATGCGGACCATATGTATACCTTTGAATTTCTATGCCAAGGAATCAACTGTGAGCGCAGGCAAAAATCAACCAATGTTAGTATCACAAGAGCAGGATGAACCATTGGAAGATATGTGCGAGCATATTGGATGTCAGATGCCAGTGCAACAGATGTAACATGCATGAAATCAACCATGCTCTATGGAGCAGCTGGTCGCAAGGGATATAGCACGAGTGAAGAACAGTGCTAAACTACCAGTCATGGGTTGGGTATTCTTGCAAGAGCTTTAGGGTAAGATCCTAGTGGTATGGAACTTCAGAGTGGTCGAATTGTGCAGGATTGTCAAGAAAGAGCAAAATAGATGGATTGCACAAGGTCTACAAAAATAATGTGAGAATGACTCTCCTATAGAGCTGAGTCCAGGGGAAAGGGAACTACTCAATTGTATATACTGTGGTCATTTATATCGTAGTGTGTGAATGTCCAGAGTGTGTAGGCGAGAATTGTAGTGTAGTTAGTGAGCGTGCGATGAGTCTATAGGTAATAAGACATCATGCACTGTGGAACATGAGTAGATGTGTAATAAGACCTGCAGCTCATTTAGCAATGACATTTGGGAAAAATAACGCAGCAGCAGAGATAGGTGGACATGGATAGGACATGGGAGGGCAGATTCCTAGGACTGGACTGGAGTAAGAGCAGATGGGTTGATATATATGGATTTAATGATCCATGCTTTATCTCCTTTCCTGAAGGTGAGAAGAACTGTGCTATCGATCATACATGCCTAGTGCCAGTATGATCATCACATCTGCAGGAGACTCAAATACTGACTGTCCTCAGTCGGTTGCACATTGGGACTTGGACTTGTCAGAATTTTTGCATTGATGAGGGCATGTGACCATAGAATTCTGGGTACAGTAGAGTTTGTGGACCAGTTCCAGATTGAATAGAGATGTGGAGTGCAGAGTTTGGTGATTTTCATGTGGACAATGGAAGAAGTGTGAACACACAGTGGATGTGATCGTGCTTCCCTATAAGTTCCTCTACTTCTTTTCCCATCTCTCATCTCTACCATTGATAACATATCTACCTTTACTTTCAATTTTTCCAATGTCATTGACCTTGCTGCCAACAGAATCCAGCGCACATTTGCTGAGTTACATGCCCACATGGTCAACTTGGCTGACCTTATGCCTGAAGATCGACCTGATCTGATGGCTTGCAAGGAAGAGTGGTGCCATGATTGGGTCAAGCTATTGGTGAGTGCTTTTTGTACCTTTGCGCACTTACTGCCCTTTCTAATGGTCTTTCAGGTTGACTTAGAAAAGTGCTCGATGGATGGCAAGACCCATAATTTGAGCCTTGCCCTCGCTCCTGAGGAGAGTGCAAAAGGTTGTAAGGCTGAAGAAGCACACATTCACTTCCATGAGCAAATACACACTTTCAAGATCAAGGCCGAACGCCAGGCTGAGGAATGTGTGCATTTAGAAGAGGAGAAGCAGTCAAAGGAAAAAGGCAAGGGAAAGGAGAAGGATGCCGCTGGAGAAGACTTTGTGATGGAGGATGGCCAGGAAGAGGCCAGTGAAGTACCACTGGTTCCTCTAAGGACATCCGTGACCTTATGTGCCACCTGGTCTCATCACCTGAACCCCCTGTTACAGTCTCTGAGGATGAGGAACCCAATTCTCCTGTGTGCATTGAAAAGTGCAAGCTGCCTGAGGGTGAAGATCTGGAAGACTTTGACCCACTTGTCAATGCAAATGTGAGTGATGAAGACTTGCTTATGGAGGGTCAGGTGTGCGCCCTCTATGCTAGGGTTTCCACTATGCATGGGATGATGCTGGAGGTGATGAATGAGTTGGATGTTATTGCGATTTACTACAAGAAGAGAAGGTGGTTCCTGTAGATAGTTTTCCCTTTTGACTTGAATCAACACACATGTACATTAGAATACCATTGGATAGCGTCAAATGGAAGTGTTTTGACCAGTTGGAATCCTTAGGTGCACACCTTGAGTCCTAAGTGTCCAGTATCCATATCCCATGTCCATGTCCTATGTTCCGGTCCTACTCCACTGGGTGCCTAAGAGATAAGTAAGATAAAATGAGCATGTGTGCACACTGCAGAAGAAGTGGAAAGATACATGTCACTTGCGGGTTTCTGCCCAGCTTGTCTTCCTCATTGCACTATCATCCTCTATCCCTGCTGTGCAGTGGTGTGGTCAAATCCTTGGTACATATCAATGTGTGTGATGCACTGCCTACACATTAAAAGAGAATTTGTATGGTAATCATTGAGCGTGCGTATAATCTAGTCCTTCGGCAATGTCTGTGTGTGATTAGGGTCTATGTGTGGGTAGTGTGTATTATATGTAAGTTACTGAGTGATCAGAATTGAGCAGGAAAAGAAAGGGAAAATGAGACTGAGACACTGGATGAAACCTGGGGTAAAACTGAGACTATCATATGAGGATGGTATGTTTTTGTGTTTTTCTGGTTTTTATGCGGATAATAGCTAAGGTCTGATGCGGGTATGTGGGTATAGGGGCATGTTTTGTGCTTGGAGGTATGGCTATGCCTCCAGGTCAAGATCAAGCACTTCATCATCCAGTTCTTCTACATCTTCTTCTGCCAAGTTATCCAATGCTTCATTGTCTAGGCCTGTGATACTAGTAACAGAGATTTTAGTTTCACAGTGTGGAAGGTAAGGAATCAAGCGAAAGGCCACATAACAAAGCTTAGACACAGATCCATCTAGTTCCAACAAGATATATGACCTGCCCTTCATGCAATGGATAATGATCATAGGTCTGAGGTAGCATGGCTTTGTCTTTTGACTTAGCTCATACTTGACTTTGCTGTTGCGCACCAGAACAAAGGTACTGGGCTTGAAATCATAATCTGTAATCGAGCGCTGGAAGCGCTGCTTGAATTTGTGGATGGACTGGTATTGGGTGTCCAGGACTCTTTCTTTGATGGCTTGGAGATCTTCTTGTCGCTTCTGCAATTGGTGTGTGTGCCAGGCAACAAGGTCTGTGGTCGAGAATGTATCTTGGTCTGGGAGTGCTACTAGAAATGTTCCTTCAGCAAGATTGAACAGGAATATAGGCTCTATGCCATGAACCATAAAATAGGGTGTTAGACCTGTCACTTGGTGTACCATGACACACTTGGCCCATAGGATGGCGTGCACAGATTGGTACCAGCATGACTCATCCCCCTCGCAACTTTTCATGATGGCCTCCTGGACATCATAGTGATGCCATTTGACAATACCATTAGCTTGGGAGTTGTACACTATCTATATGTGCCTTCCTGAATATGCTGCCTGGGATGGGTACAGTTGGGGGAATGTGCAGTTTGTGTGTTTGCCTGATCTGGCATTCATGACACATCCTATTGTACCATTTGACATCATCAGTAATCATAGGCCACCAGAAATGTAGGAGAAGGCAGGCATGGGTTGAATATACTCCCTTATGTCCAAGGTCATCATGCACTTCCTTCAGAATGCGAAGGTGGTGTGCTTCAGGGACTACCAATTGGTGCTTTCCAAGTGAGTTCTTTTGCCATAATTTTCCATCGAGTATAAAGTACCACACTGTGCTTTTGACAAATGACTGGTAGTCATCATCAGATAAGGCAGCAGGTCTTTTGCAGGTCTCTAGGAAGTGTTGGATTTCTATCATTCTTGCATCTTGTGCTTTTGCAGCTTCTGAATGGGGGATGGTTGGGTTGGCAGGTTCAGGTTCTGTGGTACCTAGGAATGCAATGAGAGTGGGTGGATGGGTTAGTGGGTTTGGCAAGGGTATGGTATACGGGTGGTGCATGATATCAACTCCTGCACCTGAAATTGTGCAACTACAGTTGTTTAGGATTTCGACACTGAACGAGTATGAGCAGTCAAGCCAATCCTCGTGGTCATTGTCCTCTGCAGGTGGTCTCCTTGAGAGACCATCTGCTCCGGTATGCTTGGAAGTGGGCACATGAACGAGTGTAAAAGGAAATAACAATATACCTGCAATCCATCAATTGATGGTTGCATTGGGTTAGAGGTCTGGGTTATTGATCATGCCTTTTATATACTTCACATCGACCTCAACTGTTAGGTTGGTGATGCCAAAGATGAATATGCATACCACATGAAGCATGTGAAATAGGTCATAAAGCTCTAGTTTCACTTGAGAGTAGTGGCTTTTGACTTCCATGAGCGAAATTGAACTGAAGCAGCTGGGATAGCATTTGCCATTTTCGCCCACTTGAAGGAGTATGAACCCTATAGTGATGGAAGAAGTGTTGACTGCAAGGATAACTTCCCGTCTGCATTCATAATCTAGCAGTAGGAGTGTGGCAGACTCTAATATTGAATCCTTCAGGGTCTGCATAGCTACCTGTTGTTCCTCATTCCATTTGAATGGTTCATCCTTGTGTGTGAGATTGATGAGCAGGCACACTTTCTTAGAAAAATCCTTGATGAATATGTGCAAGACACTGCAGGTACATAGAAAGCTGCGCACTTCTGTGATGGTACAGCATTCCAGCCAATTGCATATCTTTTGCACTTTGGAGTCTTCCGGGACACATCCTTCAAAGGTGCACTTGTGCCCTACTATGATAGTGGTAGGTGCAGCTAGGATGAATTTAGTAGTGGATACAGTTACACCTATGTTCTCCAGGTGCTGGAGTATGCAGTTCACCACTATGCAATGCTCCCATATAAAATGATGTATTCCCAGGTTCTCCACTATGGTTTCATATGAGCCATCAGCTCTTTGATAGTGCATTTTGACTGATTTGATAGGGAGGTCATCAATAAATGGGGAGGTATGCTTCGGGATTTCATCCTGTAGAGCAAAACAGGAGTCACCTTGATATACTTGTACTGTGTTCACATGCCCTTATAGGAGCATTGTCAGCCGGTGTGGTCCTAGGGGTGTTCTGAAGGTTGTGAGGTCATGGGACTCCTCATGTAGCATGCGCTGATCATACCCAGAATATAAGTCCATCATACCATATACTGCATACCCAGGAAAAGATTCAGCTAATTGTTCAACAAAAGGAGGGAGTGATGAGTCTTGGATAGTCACTGCATTCAGTGGTTGAAGATCATGTACCAATCACAGTGATTTACCATCTTTCTTGACCACATAAAACCACCGCAAACAGTAGGCTGCAGTTGATGGTTCATACATGCTGGACTGGATCTTTTCTTTGATGATGTGGATAACTTCTCCAAGGGTTGCTGGCAGTATAGGGATATTGCATTGAGTCCAGGGAGTGTATGGGATGGTAGGAATTTTGTAAGGAGGGAAATAGGTTTCATTGAGATGTCTGCACTCAGTCATGTCCCATGCAAATGCTAATTCGTGTGTCCAGACAAGCCACCATATAAGCTTAAGCTCTTCTGGCCATAACCAGTTAGTGGGGTCTAAGTCCAATTCGTCCACTCTTCCTTGGGTGAAGCAAACACCTGGGACAAAGTCAGGTGGGTGGGTTGGCAATTGGGGCATGTGTCATATCCGCATATCCAGATCTCAGATCCGACCCTTATCTCAGATCCACATCTTATCTCTGATGCTATCCACATCTTATCCCCCTCCAACATCTCGTCATTCAATCTGTCCACTCATCCAGTCCAGTCCACAACTCATCCGAATCCACAACCAGCGCTCATCTCCTTTCAGTAACCCCCTAACTCTGGTACTTTGGTTATCTGTATATCCATACTGCTCCCTGATCTGTTACCTATGTTTCATTTCCGTTTCATGATTTGTGATCTGTTTCTACTTACCGATAGACTATCCACATGCTTTGTACATAGCCTTGGACTCTGCTGATTGATCATTCTGTTAGATACCTATAGTATATAACCTCCTGTAACTTTCTGTAGTACCTCAGTTCGAATATCATCTTAGTTCTGCTCATTCCTGTCCTCTGGACTTGAGTACCTCTACTCTTGTCACCCTCCGAGACTTAGGATTGATTCCTATAGTCTATCCATATCCACCTCTGTCCCCGACAGTCCACTACCATTAGTTTCTAGTCTGGACTTGTCCAGATTAGCCATATGATACTTATCCCTCATCTGGAAATCATCCAGATCCACTACGCTACTCATCCGACCTTCCAGACATGCTAGTCTTGCCTTCCTGAAATAAGGGGCAATACTTGGGTAAGGGGCACAGCGCATAAGCTGAGGCCGAAGCCCTTCAGATCCAGTTACCCTTTGAGTATGACCTTAACAGCATGCTGGCCAATGGGTCATCAGGTAATCTTCTCATAATTCTATACTTGGGTGGCATGGTGGTTTGAACCATGCAGACCTTCTTTGTGACCAGCTTATAAACCAGTGCATGTCAGGTTTTGTCAAAAGAATATACACTGTTAAATGCGTTGATGGATATATGGTCAATGATTGAGTATGTAGATATGAGATGATTATAGTGTGCTGAGAACTGTGCAGCTGAAAAGGAAAATAAGGCATGTTTGCTCTGTAAGAGCAGGTATGTATTGTGTGGTTGGCATGAGATGAAAATTAGAACTGGGAAGTAATGTAGTAGGACAAGAAATAAGAGAGAGTGGCGGGTAGGAAATTGTTTGTTTGTCTCCTTGCATATTGTGCAAATCATCGATCATCAAAAACCCTTCTTGTGCACACCTGAGGGAGCATGCGTGCTGGCTTCGCAACCTGGACATTTCTCTACCCAATGCATGGTAGGGATGCGTATTACCTTCCCTGAATTTGGGTCCATTAGTGTGATGTCCTGATCTCCATTCGGCAGGTCTTCTGTATGGCAACTGGTGAGCATAAAGAATGGGCACCCTAGCAAAACATCAAAGTTAGCAGTCGGGACAACCAGAACTTGGAATAGCATTTCTCCTGTGCTGAAATCTAGCAGGAGATTCTCTATTACTCCAAGTGTCTCATTGGTTGAAGTATTAACAGACTCCATGGTCAGCTTGTGGTCAGATCTTAGTGGAATACTGCCCAGCATGTGCCAGACAGATTGCAGCATTATGATGCATTCTGCACCTTGGTCGAGGACACAGGAGAGGACCCGGCTGTGAAGCATCACTGCTCTGATACATCTCAAGGATTTGAAGTGCTCAGCCACAATGCATCTGTTGTCATTCCTTTGCAGGCAGCTGTCATACTTCTTCAGAAAATCTTGCGTTCCTGGTGTGCTACCTAGTTTGTTGACTGAGATAGTCCCTACCATAACATGCTTGGTCATGGTCATTTCCTTGAATACCTTGCAGACATTGGTGGATACTGCTATTAATTCGTATATAGGTACACTGATGGTAGAGTCTAGCATGCAGTCAACTACGCACTTGTCTGCATCCTTGTCTTCCAGCGGGAAGGAGTATCTGAACTGCATTGAGGGTTGGTTGGTAGCTGGTGGTTCATAGGATGAAGAAGAGGTCACAGGGTTTGAAGATGAGGAGGCCATACCAGGTGCAGTTGAAGAACCTGCGGGTGTCACAACCACCATGCCCTTATTAGGGGCACTAGCAGCCTTTGACCTGGATGCCTTTACCTGCGGGGAAACTACTTCTTCTACTGCATCAGTGGTTCTCAATGATGGACCTGGCTTGGGATGTGGTGGTACATTGACGCCCTCAAAATGCATGTTTTTACCTTTGTCTGCTTTGCAGTTAGCATGATCTGCTTTTACTGCTGCAAATGCTTTGTGAGCTCTGGTAGCTTCTTGTTCAAGGTGTGTCAATTCTTCATTGTCTTCACTCACATCTTCCTGGACATCAGTGCACGTGTGCATGAATGCACAGGGCTCAATATCAAGCACTGCTTGGATGGTCAGTTCAGCATGACAGTACATGTTACTGAGAACCATAGTGTTGGCACCTGCTGTGGGCCCATTAGGCAAGAATTCATTGATGTGCTGCTTGAAGTTTCCATCTCCTTGCCTTCCAGGAATACTGTGACCATTGGGCATAATGATCTTGTTATCAGAGGTGATGCTTATCTTGCCTTCCCTTGCATACTTGTCACACATCACGCAAGTCTTCGTAAAATGGTCTCCTCTGCAAAAGTAACAACTGTTATACCATGGTTGGCTGTATTCCTTCTTTACCACAGTCCCTGCATTAGGTTGCGGGGCGGGTATAGAAGGCACAGTTGCTTTGGTCGTAGTTGCAGAGGACCGCACTGGCAGTTGGATGGGTACTGCAGTGGATGTGATGCTAGGTAATAAGAAAACTGCAGCCTCATATACCTGATCTAATGTGTATGTGTCATCAGGGTGGTGAGTGACAAGTTTTATTTCGAGCCTTCGCCTGATAGCTGCATTGACCATTGAGTGGACCCCTTGGAGGAAAAATCTACTGCATTCTAGTTCTGCTAACCATTGTTTGTCAATTAGGTATTGCAAGACTTTGAGGAAGTTGCAGTAGTATTGCCCTAACTCTTCCTTGGAGTGTATCAGGATGTGGGCTTGTTACATGCAGAGGTTCTCTAGGTCAGTGCAAGTGTAGTGGCAGTCATTGTTGCATCCTGGATACATAGCCTGTATAGCATCAATAAACTTATTCCAATCATTCCCTTTGGCTGTGGGCCTGCATGCCCAAGTTTCCAATTCACTGATGGGTGTGTATCAAAGTGCTGCCTTAATGCACTTTTCCTGATCTAGATTAGCATAGTCAGCCAGTTGTTCCACGTCCTCAAAGAATGGGAGTAGCCGTGTGGGCATTCCATCGAATTTGGGTGCCACATGAGTTCCTTGGAGAGGCATTTTATATGGGGTAGTCATGGCTGTGGGTTGTGCAATAGGGGTTTGAGATGGCGCGGGACCTTGTGGGGCTGAAGGGGTATGGTGTGCAGAGTTGAGTAAAGCAGGTGGGAGTGTGGCTCAATGTCTACATGGGGAAGAAGCAGTTATGGGTAAGAAAGGTGTGGGTGTGAATAGGTTTTGCCTTTCAGGTGATGGGCTGCAGGTAGGATTCGAAGGGGTAAGTGATGATTTGGTGGATGGAGTGTCTAAAGTAATGAATGGGACTTGGGGTAGCAAATGGTTGAATGATCTGGGGAAGTGAGTGTCTTCCCCCTTGGACTCTGGTTCTGTTAGGGGTGAGTTGGAAGCGAGGTTCCAGATAACAGAGGCTTCTGAAGAGGAATGGGTATGCAAGTTGGATGGTCCTGCTTCAGTTTCTATGTACTGCAGTTGTTTATATTGTAGTGTGTGAATGTCCAGAGTGCATAGGCAAGAATTGTAGCATAGTTAGCAAGTGCATGATGAGTCTATAGGTAATAAGACATCATGCACTGTGGAATGTGAGTAGACGTGTAATAAGACCTGCAGCTCATTTAGCAATGACATTTGGGAAAAATAACACACCAGCAGAGATAGGTGGACATGGATAGGACATGGGAGGGTAGATTCCTAGGACCAGACTGGAGTAAGAGTGGATGGGTCGATATATATGGATTTAATGATCCACACTTTATCTCCTTTCCTGAAGGTGAGAAGAACCGTGCTATTGATCATACGCACCTAGCACTGGTATGATCGTCATATCGGTTTGTGGAGTCAACTCAACTTGATCAAGAATGAGGATGTTTTGAAAGTGACTTCTTTGCCTGATGTTAAAGTTGATGAAGAGGAGCTTGACGAAGGCTGGGATTGCATTATCATTGAGTAGGATAGGTACTACTACACCATGTCATAGTTCACTGCTTTATTCTACTTGTACCTGTGGGTATACCCTTGATGGGTCATGCCCCAGGTCTCATACCCTCATACCCATCATAAAACTCATACCCACTATTGGGGTATGGGTATATCTATGGGTATGGGTATGGGTACAACCTCCGACACCTAGAGGTTTACCTATGCAGATCCCTAAGGGTATGCTAGTTATTGTGAACTGGGCTCACAGGTGTAATAGGAAAAATAGCAAGAAACTCATGTCCATCAAGGAGCTCACCCAAGCACCATTGACCTTTCTCCTTGTACTTTTCCAACACTGCTAAAGGCTCAGTGTGTTCAACATAAAACTTGGTAAACACAGATGATATGGCTTTGTTGTCACAGCTGTCTTGGAAGAGTGAACCCCTCAGTTGAGTGGTCTTTAGATAGCTAATGGAGGAAGATGCCAAAATGCCCTTTGCATGTTGATGAATGAGGTCCAATTCAATGTCCTTTACCAGCAGCTTCATATTTTTAGTCATAACATCTGAATATAATGAGGGTGCTAACTCACAAGCATATTTCACCAAAGTGTTGCAAGCAGCAGGGTGAGATGAGATGAGACCAACAATGTTAACACAAAGGAATAGGGCATGACACTTCAGAGTTTGCAAGAGGTAGGTTGTGATGTAACACTGATGGACTGCTTCATTAATGACAAGCTGCATCACCCAGCCAACTTAACAAAATCAGAAGGTGAGGTTTGCAATAAATTGAGATAGGCTCAGATAGCTACCTTTTTTTTCACCATAGTCCCAGACTGATTTATGCTTTCTTCTGCTTGCATCCAGTTGATGATATATCATCTAAGCTCTGACAAAGAGCTTCAAAAGAGTCCTTGGATTGATTGTTCTGGTCTGTGCTCTCAGGCATGATGTACTAGTTCAGGGTTAAGGGGTAAATATGATTCAGGAATGTTGTTGACATGTTGTTTATTTGGTTCTGTTGACTGATTAACACATTCAATAATAGTGTCAGTGACTATATGTGCCATTCAATGAGAAATACAAGTTTCATGCTACAATTACAATTAGTGCAAGCAATACAGTAACATGAGTGCAAGTGTGATGAGAGGCAGTGTCCATGGGAAGTGATCTAACACAGTAAGTACAAGTCCAAGTGTACAACAACAAATAAGAATTAAAAAACATGTGACACTGCTTAACACTATGGATCAATCCTGATCATCCTCAAGGTTGCTCATACCTTGGGGATCTATGAGCTTGGGAATAGTCAATCCCAATAGCTCCATACCTCACTGGTATCCTATGGGTCTTGTGGGTTATCTGTGTGCCTGGGAATTAGGCAGCACAGGGACACAGCACACTGAGTGCCAAAAATTTATGAGATTAAGTGTATAAACAAATTATACTTGTACCTTGGCTCACTGAGGCCAACATCCTGGTCTTCAATCTTGACACTGATGGCTTCCTCCTTGACACTTAGATGTTCCTCAGATGTCACATTGCCACTTGCAGCAGGATCTTTGATCTGAAAAACCACTTGCTATACATAAGATTAGCACAAGCATCAAAATAATGGAGTTCAGACTAACGTACTTTTGGCCCCAGAGATTCAATGTCTAGGATGAAACAATAAGTGTCCCATGCTGACTCTATGCCATCAATCTCAATGAATATGACATCCTGGAGCATCTTGACCTTAGATAGAATGGTTAAGGAAGACATTACAGTAAATAAAAAGTGGTGGTGGACATATAATGATGAAAGCAGACGTGGAGTAAGGAAAGACTTACAATGTGGCACCAATATCTATTACTGGAATTTGCCAGCTGGCTTTGAACACCAAATCATCATGTGATAGGGTTATATAGGGATATCATGAAATTAGAACTCTGGACACCAGGCAATTGTGTTGCTATGTACTTTACCATTCAGTCACTTGTCCTGGGAGAACAGAAAGTTCATTGTGCCATCCAATGTAGGCTTGCAGCAAGCAGGTGACACACTAGTAGATTTGATACCATACTTTGTTTGGTAGCATTAGTTGACATCTCAGTGCTAGCTTTAAGGCATCATTGCTGTTTGAACATCATCACTGGTGAAAAATTCATTCTGGCCATAAACATGTCTGTTTGTGGCACCATGTTTGGTTTGCACAGCTCTGCCCATTGTATCTGCATGCATCAATCTCATTTGTTAGTCTTTGACTACTTATTCATGTCTATCATGTTTGTTTTCTGCTAAATGAATACTTGATTTTTTTTTGGTAATAACTCAAATCATGAATGTGAGGTCAGTATGGATGAATACTCTTCACTCAATACCATGACAATCAGTGCAGAAATCAAGAAAGAATGTCTATGTATCCCACTTATGCCATTGGCTCTTCTGAGGTAGGGACATCTTTAATCCAGACAATATACTGTGAAGTAATGTCCAGAGTACCAAAGAAATGAAACAAGAAACCCAAGCTCAATGTTTACCACTCAGTCCCAGTCCCTTCTTACCTGCATACTGAATACCAAGCTCATCAAGATGGGTCCATTACCTATATACTAAAGCATCTCAAACCTCCCAAGAATGCTCAAGCAACTATTAATAATTGAACTCACATGGCACTGACTCTGCATGATGCAGCACCATTGTCAATTCCTGAGCCATTCAATGATCTCCTGCTCAATGTATCATTGGACTTTTTAGGGCAGCAAAGGAGAAAATGAGCAGCAGGTGTATGTACACTATAATGTTCTGCATCCTTTGACATGTTGCTCATCATCATTTAGGATCATCCTTTGTTGATGTGGTTGAAGCACTAAGAATTATTTCTGCAGGAAATGATCTGTTGTGGATAACACAACTTGGCTAGATACTTGTTAAAATACCTAGCCAATATATGTCTACTAGTCCTGTCTAGCTGCTACACTTGCAAGCAAGAACATTCAACCTGAGGGATCTACTGTCTAGTTAAGTTCAATAATCAGTACTATACAAAGGGTCAAAAGTCTGAATGTCAGAGATCAAGTCCAAAGGTATGGGATGAAGTCCAATGCACAAGAAATCAGGTCTGCAGGTGCAGAGACGTGGAGATGGTGGGAGAGTAAGGGAAAGGGAGGGAATGCATCAGGACTAGCTTGGAAATGTTAGGGAATGTCAAATGAATGAGTGACAGTAGTGTTGGGTCAGGGAAAGTGGGTCAACAGGTATATTGCAAGGGTAACTCTAAGGACAGGTATGGGGTGACCAGTATTGGGGATTTCTCCCTCCTACTAAGTGGTGGTTGTAATCCTGGTCACCCAACCCTATATAGCTAACTACATGAAAGTCCAGAGTCCATAGGTGAAAGTAGTAGCAAAAATGTGGGTCTGATGATATGTAGGTAAAAGGCCATGAGGTACTGCAGCCTGTGGGAATCCATGTAATAACACTGTCTACTCAATTAGTAATGAGAATTAACTGACTATGCACCAGTAGGGTTAAGCAGGACTGGACTAGACATGGTAGGACAAGTGTGCAGGATCTCTGAGCAGGTCTGATACATTGGAGATGTAGAGATGGTGGGAAAGCATTGGAGATAGGTAGGAGATGTGCAGACTGGATGGGGATTGCAGAATAGGGTCCTAACAGGCCAGCCTGAACATGATCATCACACTGTCTTGAAGGAAGATGCAATAGCCTTGGCACTCAATCTTGCTTGGAGTGTAATTGTCCCAGCCCAGAGTATAGGTGTCAGGACTGCTTAGGATCAGAGATCTATTGTTCACCTTGCATCCTGTTGGCTCATGTGTGCCACCCACTTCACCAATTAGAGGTATGCTTTCATGTCTGATTGGGAGACAAGAATGTAAGGCTAATATCTAATATCAATACAGAAATGGAATGGTCAATACTTTAAGTGAATCACTCTGAAAACCCTGGGTCTTCACATCCAGCTTGGCCACACCACTGGCCAGAAATGTCTTAATCCTTATCATGCATTCAATGATGATTTTATTGTTGTCAACACCCATGGCATACACAAAGTATTTCTTGACTTCTGCAATTGTGCAACAGCCCAAAGCCATATACAACAGCTACTTCAAATATCATAGTTTTCTTTGACAATGTCAAACCCAAAAACTGCTGTGACATTCCATGTTCTTGAACACTATCACCTACTCTCATTTGAGTCAAAAGTATCTGCCTTTGAATTTTATAATGTGTGCAGCTGGATGTCCAATAACAATGGCTTACTTCCCATCAAGGTAAACTTGCTTTTTCAGGTGCCTTCAAAGTTAATCCAGCTTCCTTCAGGATCAGCATGATTCATTTACACAGATGATATGCAAGTGGTGCCACTTGAAGATGCCTCAGTGCTTGGGGTAAGGTCATGATCCCAGTGGTGTAAACAGGACAGTTGAGGGTGAATGTACTGTATTGTGCCTGGTGTGCCCACATCCAGGGAAGAATCTCCTAGCTGGTTGGAAAGGTGCTCCTCAACGGTAAGTTTAGAGTGAGCTCCAGTCCAGAGGGGAATTTCTACTAATATAGGTACTGTTAGGTGGCTATATGGATTATTCCTTGCTATAGATGCAAACTTCTGCTGTCCTACTACTTAAGGGTCTTATATGCAACACATATATAGTGACAACACAACTATACAGGATAAGACTTCTTGCCAGTCCTTAAGTACACAGTCTACAACTTTTCTAGTTTTCGTGGTAGATAATGTGTGAGTTCTTGGGAGGGATATGTTTCAATTATCCTCTTCTTGTTTCCTTGGTCTAAAAGCAACTAGTAGTCTGGAGTATTGTGTGTGAATTTTGAATATGTAGCGCTTTGTGTGCTCGTGAATTATGTCTCCCTTCCTAAAAAAGACAAAAGAAAGTAGTGTAGATGAAGCTTTAGCTTAGTCAGCTGTACTGTTAGTTATATAGTCAACCCCTGTAAGGTAGTATATAACCTGAATAGATGTTTCTTAGTTTTACTTCTAGGCTACCAAATGGCCTGCACTTAAATCTTAAATGTTCTCACACAGTTTGAGATAAAGAGTGAAAGTGGGAAGTCTATTCTTCATAGGTGTAAAATGAGCTCCTTATATACCTTTTTGGAGACCATCTTACTAAGCATGATTCCTCACAATGATTGGTAAGAATGTGCTCACAAACTTGTGTTGAGTCAGCTTGTTTACTAAGTAGATACTAGATAAAGTGAAATCTTACAAAGCATGAAGAAAAGTTGGCATGAGTCATCACATGGATTGGTAAGATTGTGCTTACAAACCAAGCCTATGAGTGTGCTGAATCAGCCTTATTACTAAGTGGATTATAAATACAGTTGCAAGTCTTACAAAGCATAATGAATCATGACCAAACATGATGAGTCAAGTTGAATCCTTACAAATCAGAGTGTTTCCCAGTCACATGACATGCTTACAAACATGCCTGTGGCTCATGAGACAATGTGGTGGCTGAATATGCCTAAGTAAAAGTAGATTGAGAAAGAAAAAAATAGAAATACATGAAAATAAAAGAAAATAGAAATGAGATCTGAAAGTGAAAAGCTAGCTAAACAATAAGGAAAAATGATAGGATAACTTGGTGATAGGGATCAGTCTGGTGTGTTATACCTTCCTTATCACTCCTGTTATGTATATGTCATGGTATGAATCACATACCATGCATGACACTGCTTAAAATATAAAGCTGTTTCAAGTGACAGTGTTGACCCAAGCCTCAGTTGTGGCTGGGGATATTTTGTCAAGGACAAAGCATATAAAGATTTCTTGCACAGTGATGTGGCCAGCATCCAGGAGGCTTGTGGTTTAAATTATTCTTTTTCATATATTAATGGTTAGATTTGCAGAAATCAATGTGTTCAAGTCACAATGCTATAAACATGGCTGATACAAAATCTAACCATGGACTTGCTACCACTGGTTTAGGTACTGTCAACTGTGCCTGCCACAACATGAAACTGCCCAATGCCATTGGAGATCTTCAAAAGGGTGAAAGGTAAATTGTCTTTTGTATTCAGCAGTTGGTGATCTAATGCATGCATGTAGATATATTAACATGGACTACTTGTTTTTCTCAGCATTTTGTCATACTGTACTTGACACTCTCAATGTATCCTACAATATCACATGCCAGTGGCACAAAAAATTATGGCACTGCATGAGTGCCTTCTCAATTTTGATGCATCTCTTGCATGCTGTCAAGACAATCTCATTTTTCATGCTGAAATTCCACCTTCCCACTCATATTGAGCAGTGCCAAACATCATTTTCATTCAATTTCAAGAATGGGGTAGGCAGGACTGACAGAGAAGCACCAGAACATGACTGGGCCAACATCAACCCCATCACTTTGAGCACCAAAGAAATGGGGCCTGGTGCATGGTGAGACACCCTTAATGACTACTTCAGAGACTCAAATGGGAAAAAGGTTGTTGGACTTGGTGCATTGAATTTCATGAAAAAAATGGTAACTTAGATTTTTGAGGTCATACTATGCTTCACAAGATAAAGAATGTGTTCCCAGAGTGCAAAAACCATTGTGAAGCATTCAAGGATCTTGATGATGGCTTGCAAGGTGAATATGGTACCACCCTCAAACAATGGAGAGAATCTATATGTCCCATTCTCTTTTCTGGTTAAAGGAGAATTATCAAATTGATCACCATACAAGTAATATCCAATCTATGAGGAAAATGGGAGAGGGGATGCATGTAAGTATTTGGGCAAAAGGCCCAAAGGGGCTTTCAGCCAGAAACAACACTTCAAACCTGAGAGGTTGAGATTAGCCATGATTCCCAAACATAAGGAGCCTCACGATGCATTTGGCGAAGCTTGAACTCCCTGTTATAAGGAGTGGGGCTAGATGTACCTTGTGTTAAGGTCATACTCAAGGGATAACTGGATCTGAAGGGCTTCAGCCTCAGCTTGTGCGCTGTGCCCCTTACCCGAGTATTACCCCTTATTTCAGGAAGGCAAGACTAACATGTCTGGACGGTCAGACAAGTATTGTAACGGATCTGGATGACTTCTGGATGTGGGACAGGTATTGTAGGGCTAATCTGGATGAGTCCAGACTAGAAACTAGCAGTAATAGACTGTCAGAGACAGAGGCGGATACAGATAGACTATAGGAATCAATCCTAAGTCTCAGAGGGTGACAAGAGTAGAGATGCTCAAGTCCGGAGGATGGGAATGAGTAGAACTAAGATGATATTCGAACTGAGGTGCTACAGAGAGTTACAGGAGGTTATATACTATAGGTATCTAACAGAATGATCAATCAGCAGAGTCCAAGGCTATGTACAAAGCATATGGGTAGTCTATTGGTAAGTAGAAATGGATCACAAATCATGAAACGGAAATGAAACATAGGTAACAGATCAGGGAGCAGTATGGATATACAGATAACCAAAGTACCAGAGTTAGGGGGTTACTGAAAGGAGATGAGCGCTGGTTGTGGATTTGGATGAGTTGTGGACCAGACCGGATGAGTAGACAGATTGAATGACGAGATGTTGGAGGGAGATAAGATGTGGATAGGATCAGAGATAAAATGTGGATCTGAGATGAGATAAGGGTCAGATCTGAGATCCAGATATGTGGATATGACACCTTGGATTAGCGCAGCTGTGGCATGGTGTAATGAGTGAAGGGTTCAATTATTGGGGTATCTTAAAAGTATGGTGACATTATCATAGTGTGATTGTGAAGATAAAGGGTGAATGCTTCACTCAACCATCTTCCCATAGACTTGACGACATCAAACAGGACTCCTCACAGCAAATATTCAAGCATGCTGCCGATCTGAATACTGTGACCTTTCAACTCTGGGCATCCTCCTTGTTTGGCTATGATTCCAATTCTCTTCAAGAATGCGCCTTGTGTTAGCGGACGCATGCCTTTGGAGTGTTTCCACACAAAAAGATGATGATTAAGTGAGGGATCATTGATTCAGAAATGATTAATGAGTGCTGCCTCGGGATTTGATGTGTCAGATTGTTCAGCCCAGTAGATATCTTCGCCTTCTGCCAAAGTCTTTGTGTGTGGTATGTGTATCTTGGAGACTTGAAGTCCATGATGATCTTCCCCATCTAACAGTACATCCTTCCATTTAATGTGTTGACTTGGTTCAAATACTTTGATTGATTTGACAGTTGGTTCCCCAAGTTGGGCCAGCGAATAAAAGGATGTTGTTAGGCATGCAAATACAGCTGCATTAAGCAGAGTTTCTAGATTGAGGTGAGTTCAGATTTTGATTATGGATGCAATCATGAATGGGTCTCTTTTTGGAAGCTTTGATCTGGGAGGCACTTTGTTGGCTGCCCTGTCTAATACTGACTTCAGTTCACCCTGGTCTACCCTCCATCCTTGTCTGTGAAGGACATGCCATGCCCAAATGCCAAACACATAATTGGCTAGAGTTTTTCCTGAGTATGCTCCCATGCAGCTCGTTACAAAGGTGAGCATTGTAAGAGTATCAACAGGGCATCGCTCATGTTCTGGGATGTTTTGTGTGTCACAGAAGACATGAAAGACTAACAAACCAGCTCTGTATGACTCTCTAGTACCCTGCAACCATGATGAGTTCATTACTGTCAATACTCATTGAAGATCATCATCTGTGATGGTAAGGATCTGTCCATTGGCATTTCAAAATGACCAACTCTCTAGTGGGCACCAAAGTTTGAGCCATTTGCATGCTAAACAGTGTGGACATAATGCAGATACTGTGGGCATTAGTCCTGCTTTATACAGAGCTGGTTTTGATAGTGAGATTATGGGTATGAGTGGGGTTGTGAAACAAGTGCGGTCCCTTTGCTTCTGTTGTTCTGCCCTGATATTGTGAACAGGAGTGCTATTGTCTGCTGGTGGGAGATTCATTGGGATGTTGGACAGTAGGCAAGTCGAGGATATGGATGGTTCATGAAGATGGTGGTTTGCTTGGTGTGAAGTCAAAGGGATCATAGATGAAATGACAGAGTGGATCAGGGATGGGAATGAAGTTGAGGAGTAACTTCGTGTCACTATAGATTCCTTGGGATGGAGGGTCAGCTGGATTGGATTTGCTAGTGACATATGTTAGGTGGAAAGAGTATAGCTGGTATGCTGGATAAGAAATCAACGATTCATCAGAAAACTTGGTTGATGGCTGCATTGCAACTATGTCCATTCTCCAGCCTTTGATGACCCCTTGGTTGTCCCCATATACTTGGAAGTGTTGTTCTGGTCTATCCAAGGTGACAATATGTTGAATGAGAAGTTTGAAACTGATTGCCTCAGCACAACCAATGTCTTTTTGTCCATCCAAAGTTGACCACCCTGGGTATAACTTCCAGGCTCTCCAATGTTTTCCAATGACAATTCCAATTCCCACTCTAGAGCTGGCATCTGAGAAAGCTTGGAGGGTGTGTAAAGATAGAGGCCTGGGAATGTCCCATCTAACAAAGGAGCTCTGTAAAAGGTTTGTCCACAAATTGAGATCCTCCACTAAGCCTTTAACTGGTCTATGAGGTAAGAATGATCAATTATGACTGACCTGCAGCATGGCCTCAAGGTTCATGAGATATGCCCATCCTTGAGGACATACCAATGTGGTGTGAAGAAGCTTGCCATGTAGCTTTCAGATGTCATTGAGAATGTGTGATGTACAGTCTTGCCACTCTCACAAAGCACAGAGGTATTTGGACTTCTTCTCTTCCAGTAGACATACCAAATTATCTGTAAGATTCCAGGTAAGACCAATGTATGGATTGAAGTAGGCAAAGGGGGCATCTTTCTTAAATTCCAAAAGGGTCTTTGTGGTATTAGAGGATCTATTGATGTCATTGAAGTTATAGGTGAAAATGCTATCCTCTGATGATTGAGGTGAGTCCCCTGACAAATCAAGGATTGGAAATTGGCAATCTTCATTGAACTCTTCAATTGTTCCATCATCAAAGATGTACCTACTGAACCATATCTAGCCTCAATCTTGATGGTTGCCTCTCTTGAGGATGTCATTGTGTCATTGCAACCATTGTCTATTATACACTTCAAGGAATTCTTTTCATATATGGAAGAATAAATGGTCATCAACCCATTGTGACGTGGGACCAATCCATTCAGACCTAAAAATATCAAGTCCAGCATCTGCGACACAACCACAGACTCCTGCTGAGGGTGAGACTCTGAAGCACATGCATGTGTCAATGCATAATTGGTCATCTGTGACTTGAATGACTGCTGCTGGCTACTGAGAGTGATGCATATGTATTGTTCTATATGCTTCAGATACATCACTCATGGCCATTTGGGATCCCGGGGGTAAACAGCTAATGATGAGCGTAATTGTATGAAACATTCCCCAGGTACTGGGAAAGTCATTCGGGTCAATACATGAGTTGATGGATGGATTAGGGAATTCAATGGAAGGTGCGTGAGGAAATGAGTAATCTTGTATGACACAAAATTGCCCTGGTTGACCTGGTTTTGGAATGATTGATAAGGGTGATGATTGGAGGGGGCCAATAAAGCTCTTGATTTCAGCTGCTGTACATGGGCCAATGTATCTTTCTTTTTGGACTTTGGATTTGATGATGGACTGGAATTCATTGGTATAAACAAGAATAGAATTTTTGTTTGGTGGAATTTGAGTTTTTGTAATGACAGGAAGATTAAGAAGAAATCCTTGACAAAATCCTTTGGGAATATGAGAGTATCTATCAATGAGGCCAGCTTTTGTAAGGCAAGCTTCCCATACATCTGGGTCATAGGGAGTGAGGGCTTTAAGCTTTCTGCACTCACATGCAAACTTGTGCTCCATGAGAGGAGGCAGCGCATCTGGAACAAAAATGATGGTGGTCATGTGTGGTATCATTGCATCCTGTAACTCATTGCCAGTTGCTGCATATTGGACGACTGTCTTGCATGGTGAGTATTCAGCCAACTTGAGTGCAGAGGGTGTCTGTAGCATTGTCCCATGTTTTGGACACTTTGCATTTGATAATTCTGTGCAGATGTCTTCCCAAGCATACACCACAAGCAGATAGGGGACATCCATTTGCACCACTTCAAAAATCCTGTCAAGAGCATTTATTTGGTTCAGGAGATGCTGAGTGATGATGATAATCACATCCAGGGTGTGGCAATGCTGAATGTCGACAGTGATCTCATGATGGATGAAAGTTATCCCTGCTTCTATGATTCTGGTTAGACAATGAACTCACTGTGAGCATGTTGATCTGCTGGTCCATCTGATAATGGGTATGAGCTGCAGTGTGGTATAATGAGATATGTCAGCAGATGTGAAGCAGGTAGTGTGTAGTATGTGGCATGTAGCAATATTCAATAATGTTGTATTTGAGTGTGATGTTCATATAGCAAAGTAGGAGAAATAAGGAATTAGCATATGATTATTTCGATTAAAGAAAAAACACTGACCCTATAATCTCGCTGATTGTCCAATTTTGTGTGCTCATCAAGGTAGACATTAGACCTAGTGCATGCTAAGAGAGTTTCATTGATCCGAGACAGATCACATGCATCACTGGCAGACTTGACAGCAATATGCCAGTGTTTCTGCTGCTCTGCTTGGTAAACAAGCAGAGATTTCTACACTAAGGCCTCACACTCTGAGCAAAAATTGTGAACCTGTAAGTTTTGCCAAAAGAGGGCCATCATTCTAACACAATCCACTGGCCATGAAGCTTCTTTCATTGCATTGATGATGTGAGGACAGGCTTGACAGAAGTTTTCGAATGTGAGATTCTCATTGTCAATGATGGCTGCTGCATTTCATGTTGAAGCTGCTGATACCCAAGCCCTATTTCCTCCTGCTAAGGTGGCCATGATCATAGCATCTTTGTTGATGGAGTTCTTGAGCTTTGCATTGTCCAGTCTGTCATTGGTGAAGTACCATAGTTTGACATAGTCACCTTTGTCTAGTTTGTGAATTGGGTAGGGAGATGGGAGAATTACTGGTTTTATGGGGACATCAAGCTCAGGAATAGCAGAGTGCTTATGCTTGTTCTTTTTCTTGCCTTCCTTCTGTGAAGCTTCTTCCTCATCAAGGTGTTCTTGTTCCTGTCTCTCTTGTTCTTCATCATTGAGTCTCTCTAGATTTTCTCACTGTTCCCTATCTGCCTCTACTTGTGCTTGCCATATGTTCCTGAGGACTGCGACAGCCTGAGCCTCAGTCATGTTCTCATTGGTAAGTTGGAGTCTGGTGTCAGTGAAGGTTTCATCCACATAGTTCAGGCAGACACTTAGATTCAGATCACTTGATAGACAAGGCATTTTATAGGTTAAATGAAAGTGTTTGTATAAGACAAGTGAAAGAATGAGTGTTAGGACTACAAGTTGTCAAGTACTGAAGTTTCTCAAGTCATAGTACAAAGCAAAGAAGAGATGTCCCAAAAAGGACATCTACTGCATAGATGACATTCTACATTTGTCCTTGTTCCTCAGACTCTCTTAGAACACAATAAGTGGAGGCTTGGGAGTATGACCCTACATGGCCTCATCATTTCAAGTGAAAAGCAGAAAGTAAGTACAAGACAATGATGGTAATGCTTATGTGCTCATTTTGATCTTGACACATTGCAGCTGTCACTATGGCTTCAGTACAACTAAAACTGGCTAGGGAGAATGAGATCAACCTTCAAACAGGAACTTGCCTTGCCTTACACAAGGATTGCACCCCTAGCATATTAATCAGTACTGGCTTAGAACTTGAGGAACAACAGTGATTGTACTGTTACTTTTATGACATTGTTCTTACTTCAATAGACAGCAAATGAAAGCAAACAGAGCTGGTCTTGGAGTTCATGCAACAGATAATCAAGAAGGGAAGATGGTTCAGCAAAGCAACACTCTCTGATGGAGGATTGATACCTGGGTGAAGATGCAGGAACTATACATGCTGTCACTTGCTGTGCTATGTGTGAGTGAGAGTTCAGTATCTGGCAGTGTGACTGCTGCACCAGAAACAATCAAGCTCTGGTTGCCATCCCAGATTAGCAGGACTGCACCTTGCAACAGCTGCCTTCAGGCCATCAAATGGAAGCTGCAGTATGCACAAGGTCACAATGCACTTCACTCTCTATGTTCAAACTTACATACTCAGACTGCAATCCTCAAGTACAAAGACCACAACCTCCATGGACAAGGAGCAAACACAAGGGCATGAAATACATTGAAAGCTGTTGAGGCAAGGATTGAGGCTGCTGCCAGCACTTATGAGTATGTGCACAAAGCCTTTGTAGTTCTTTCACTACAAGTGAATCAGACTGGGTGGCACTCATCACTGTGACCACTAGACTGAGCTGATTTCTGCTTGATGACAGACTTATTATGGGGAGAAACAGAGGGAACAAGAAAGTTGTTGTGGATTTGGAATATGCAGGGAGCAGCTGCCAACAACATAGACAAGGACAATGCCTCAGAAGGTAGGTGGCTCTTCATTTTATGGCTTCCTAGTCAGACTCATGGACAACCAGACATGCAAATAGAATGGTGCAAAGCCAGGGCACAGGTAATGAGAAGAGGTGGAATTGTTGAAGGAGGAGATGTGAAGGATTCTGCAATTTTTGAAATGGGATGAGCAGGGCCTGGAAAATACACTAGAGGATGCAGGTGAAGATGAACATGAGGGTTGTATGGCATATGCCAAACATCAAGCTTCCTTATGTCAAATACTTGCTAAATCCCTCAAGACCAACTGGACCAACACCTTGGCACTGGTGGACACATTTGACCACAACTCACTTATTGCTCAGCAAGACATGGACATGGACACATAGTAGACCTTTGTTGTAATATTAGTAGATAAATAATAAATGCAATACATGTGTAACAACAGGTAGGTGTGATAGCACATGCAAAATAGTGTGAGGGCACAAGAAAGTGAGGTCAGGTGTGGGAGGACAGTGGGCACAAGACAGTGGTGTCTTAGTAACTGAGGGTCTTATATAAATACATGTAAAATGTAATGACATCACAATTACACTAGGATAAGACTTCTCGCCAGTCCTTAATTAACATGGTCTATGACTTTTCTCTTTTCATGGTAGATAACATGTGAGTTCTTGGGAGGCTTGCTAAACCAATCAATGTGATTAACTTAGCTGGAGCTAGTTCAGTAAGTTTTGAAGACTGATTTGTTAATGCAGTACTCATGTTCCTTCAGTCCCAGATCAAAAAGCATTGTTTGGTGCCATTTGACTTCATCAAGTACAAGATGCACAAGGCTCAATGGTCCCTCAACACCGACCTGCAGTCACCATTCATGCATATGAGGTGCTGAAAACATGGATGGATGAGATACTCATGTGTGGGCAGGAGTAAGTCTTTTCACAGTTCTGTCCCCATCATGTTAAACTTGCATTTCATAGGGACCCTACACCTGCAGAGGATGTACCTAACATCATTGCCAATGCCTTCCTAGACCAGATCATGGACAATCTGTGGCTTACAAATACATAGAGGTGGGAATTGGCCATTACTTCATTACTTGCCACACCACATATTGCAGTGACCTATCTCCATATTATATGAGTGAATGGACATGCATAATATCCCATATAATATGGGCCAAAGGTAAAAATATCTCCGACTATGATGGATGGGCCAGGAGGGATATTATTCCTGATGAAGGTGGGTGGGCCCATGTGGGGGATATGTATAGTAGATGAGTGGGCTGATGGACATGAATATTCTATAAACAGATGGGCTGAGATAGTTGGATATTATGTAGATGGGTGTACCAATGTAGATGTGTATCAGATAGATGGGTATGCCAAGGGTACTTGTGATCACATACATGGGTGGGCCTAGATGTATATTATATTAGATGGGTGGGCCGAGGGTGACAATATATTATATTAGACAGGTGGGCTGAGGGTATGATATAATATAATATATTAGGCAGTGTCCTGCATGATTTGGGAATCATGCATGGACATGACTACTAGGTAGCCCCCTAAAAGACAAAGTCTGTTAGCTTAGGCATCAGGCTAGTCAACCCATACCTTGGTTTCAAACCTTGGTCAAATAGTTCAGTTTCCCCTCTGTGATTCATGAATTTATTATATCTTGAAGAAAAGTCATTTGTGAGATGGGAATCACATAATGACCTAGTTGATATTGTGAAGTAAGAAGGTTAAGGTATTGCCTTGCCTTTGGCTTATTCACTTTGGCTAGAGAAAACCATAGAGAAAAGTTCAAAGCCTAACAAAAACCTATCTAAAAAGCCTGTGTTTTGTGTCTTGTTATTGTATTATTATTTCTGAGTTGTTTTCTCTAGTATTTCCTTGATTTATTTTTCTATTGGGATGCTCTGACCCATCAGATACTTCACAAAATTGTACCTACAGGGTATGATGTCATATGGCTCCACAGATACTCCTGCAAGTATTCTGTTGAAAGTTATGATGTCATGATGATGTCATTTGTTCTGGAATGTTCTGCTCCACTTCTGATGTCATTGCTCCGCTTTTTTACTTACATAATATTCCCACACAATATGTATATAAGGAGGGCCCATTCTCCCCCCAAAAAAATAGGATCTCCCACTTGCAATCATTTGAATCTTAGTTTGAGCTACTCACTGTGAAGATTGTTGCTTACAAAGAAAGCCCCTTTGAAGTACCAAGTGCAGGGAAAAGACATTCCCTTGAGATTACATAAGTTTCTTACAATAGAAACTTAGTTTATTTGAGACCAGCTTCTCACCTAGTTTTTCTGATATTGACCAACACAAGCTTTGGTCAATCTGTTCATTTGCGAGACCAGCTTCTCACCTAGTTTTCTGATATTGACCAACACAAGCTTTGGTCAATCTGATCATTTGTGAGACCAGTTTCTCACCACTTTGTGCCTATTTGACCAACCAGTCTTTGGTCAACATATTCATATTTGAGGCTGTAGTCTCTACAGAGAATTATCTTAATGAGGAACCATGTTCCAGTGTCTAGATGGTTTATCCTAGACAAGTTTATAAGTTGGGATATAACACAAAAGCTCCAGCTAATTTAATCACATTGATTGGTTTAGCAAGCCTCCCAAGAACTCACATGTTATCTACCATGAAAGAAGAAAAGTCGTAGACCATGTTAATTGAGGATTGGCAAGAAGTCTTATCCTAGTGTAATTGTGGTGTCATTACATTTTACATGCATTTATATAAGACCCTCAGTTACAGTGGCTCAAAAAACTGTCTGGATATTTTGACATTTTTCACTATCTATGATATTGTGTTCGAATGAACAAATGTCTCAAGGACATGGTTATACCACATTGTAGTATGGCTTCAGGGCTTTCATTTGAGCCCTACACCGTGGGAATCGGTGGAGATATGGTGGAGATACAAGGCTCACAAAATGGTGACTCATGTGGACAGTTTTTTGACTCAAGTATTTTACAATAATAACCAGGTATTCTAGTATTTTGTATGACCTCCCTTGGCTTTAATTACTGCCTCTATCCTTCTAGGCATACTCTCAATTAATTTCTGGCAATCCTCAGCTGTGATCTTCCCCCATTCCACTGCTACTCTCTCCCAAAGCTCCCATACTCCTTTAGGGGGGTTTTCATAGGCTTGAAGCTTCTTCTTGAGTGTTCCCCAGAGATGTTCAATGACATTGACATCAGGAGACTGTGCTGGCCAGTCAAGAACATTGATGTTATGTTCTTAAAACCATTCCTTAGCTCTTCTGGATGTGTGCTTGGGATCATTATCCTATTGGAAAATGATATCTTCTTCATCAATCCCTGATTCTGCCAAGCTAGGCAGCAAGTGGTCATTTAAAATGTCCACATACTGCTCAGCATTCATCTTCCCCTCAACCTCAGCAAGCATTCCCACACCATTCCATCCCATACAGCCCCATACCATTAAAGAACCTCCTCCAAACTTGACAGTCCCATTAACCTCTCTGTCTGTTAGGCCATCTCCCTTCTTTTTCCATACATATACCTTCCCACCTGACCCAATCCTATTGATTTTGGTCTCATCTGACCATATAACATGCTTCCAGTCCTCTACAGTCCAGTGTTGATGAGCTAAGGCAAAGGCTAGTCTTCTCTACCTATGTTTGATGGAGAAAAGAGGCTTTTTCTTCTTTGTTACTGCCTTGAGATGAGCTGCCTTGAGAACATTCCTCACAGTTTGTGAAGAGACAGGGGTAGTGATGGTGTAATTGATATAATGGGTGGCTTGGACAGCATTATCAGCCTTTCCTGTAGTGATATGTTGGATAATAGCCCTTTTGTCAGTAGAGGTAAGCTTGGATGGACGTCCTCCACAAGAGTTTTCCTTGTCTGGGTGGATTTCTTTGATAAACTTGGCCACAGTGGACTTGCATACTCCAGTTCTAGAGGAAATTTGGCGAGCAGAGAGGCCAGCATAAGACAGAGAGAGGATATTATCTCTTTGAGCAGAGGAGATGGCTTTCATGGTGATTATGACTATGATACATGAGATATTCTGGTTTATATAGTTAGATATAGTCATAAAATAACATAATGACACCACTTCATAATTTATATAATAGTGGCATGATTTTTGTGGTGTCATAAATAATGATTTATATAGTTTTAATATACACTCAAAAAACTGTCCACATGAGTCATCATTTTATAAGCCTTATGTCTCCACCATATCTCCACCGATTCCCACGGTGTAGGGCTCAAATGAAAGCCCTGAAGCCATACTACAATGTGGTATAACCATGTCCTTGAGGCATTTGTTCGTTTTCACACAATATCATAGATAGTGAACAATGTCAAAACATGTGGACAGTTTTTTGAGCCACTGTACAACTACCTACAAAACTCATACATTTTTATGACTTTTGAGTTTTGGGTTTTGGGTTTCAATGTTCAGGGTTTGATGTTTGGGCTTCAGGACTCAGTACTCAGTGATTCAAGTTTCAAAATTTGTTTTGATGTTTGAGTTTCAAGTTTCAGGTTTTGGGTGTCAGGTTTATGTTTATGTGTGATAACAACTACCTCACCCCACCCGTCAATATAATATATATCACTACCTCAGCCTATATGTCCATACGTCCATATAGTATACAAATACCTTGGCCCTTACATCTATGGACTGTCTTCCAAGGTATCGCTGGATTCCAAGTCAACAGGGTGCTTGGCTGTGTTGACTTTGATTGACATTGACAGAATCCAAGTCTGAATGTCATTGATGACTTGGATCGAAACTAGTGCAACAGCATTGCTCATATGTCCATATAGTATACCAATACCTCAGCCCATACATCTAAATGATATATATCTGGGCCCACCTGTCTATATGACATCCCCCTATGTTGGCCCACCCATCTATGTAATATACCCTATGTCAGCCCACCCATATATATAATAAATATTTCACTGCCCCATCGGCCCACCCATCTATATAATAATATCTGCCATACATTTCTCTTCAGCCCAGCTATCTATAATATATGTCTATCCTTCTCTACATATTGCCCAGATGGGCCCACCCATCTCCATTGGTAATAATATTTCTCCCAGCCCATCCACCATCATCAAGGATATTTATAACATCAGCATAGATGGGCCCACCTGTCCCCATCAGAAATAATATCCCTCCTGGCCCACCCATCAACATTGAGGATATACATAACATCAGCCCATAGTCCACTGGCCTGTATAATATGGAGTTTGTCACTGAAGGGGCTCCTATCAAAGCTGACCAAGTTGACTGTATTCTGGGCAGAACTATTTTCCCCATTCACTGATGCAATGTCCTTCATCAATGGTGATATTAAATAAGTATGGGGTGAACTTCTTCAATTTTCACAATGACCTCTCAACACGCTTGTCAGATATGTGTTAAGAACCATGTTGCTCAAAGGAGAGAGAGACTGACTCAGAGGGGCTTGGCCTCAGCTCATATGCTGTGCCCCTTACCCAAGTATGTGCCCTTCATTTCAGAGGGAGTCCAATGATGGTCTGATGAAGTCCGGAGGACTTCTGGAGGCTGGCTACTCTGGTGGAGTGCTAGAGGACTTCCAGAGGAGCGCAGGAAACATCCGGAGGAGCACAGGAGAGTTCCAGAGGAATGCAGGAAGTGCTCAGGAGAGTTCCCACTACAAGGTAGTACTTCTACAGGAAATGGGATGGAAGGGTAGGAGGTCCAGAGGACAGGAGGACAGGAGGACAGGAGGACAGGATGTCTGGAGGTACACAGAACAGGACATGGAGGTATGGAAGACAGGATGTCCGAGGGTTAGGAGGACAGAACATCTGAAGGACAGGACATCCGGAGGTCCAGAAGGAATAGGGGCTATATCAGACAAAGTCCGATGTAGAAACAAACAGAGGTAGACTACCCTTAGGTAGAGTTGGAGAGACAGGAAGTAGACCAAAGTCTGGAGAGAGGGTAAGTGCCAGAAAGGCAAGACTCCAATCTAGGGAAGCAATCCCTAGACTTGGGACAGAGACATAGGGGACAAATCTGAAGGTCTGGAATTCTGGCCTAGGGAATCCATCCCTAGGCCTTATGGAAAAGGACAAGACTCAGATGGACTGAAGTCCAGAAGAAGATTGGGCAAATAGAACAGGATCTAAGATGATATTCAAACTAAGGAAACTACAGGAGTATCTACAGGGGTTATATACTGGACAATATCTGAGGGGATCAGTAAGCAAAGGAGCAAGGCTATGTATGAGCATGTGGAAACACATTAGTAAGTAAGACGGAACATAAGTAAATGAACTTGGAGATGAAGACTCATACAAGGATCAATAAGCAAGACGGAACAAGAGGTAACTGAAAGCTGGAAAGGCAGAGATGCCTAAATGGGGATAGGCACAGGATATCAGACAGAGGGTGGGAATAGGTCCGGAGATCTGGGGATCCAGAAGACAAGGTGGATACAGGACTGGGATATGAGAAGGTGGATATAGTCCTGAATCCAAGACAAGGTGAAGTCTGGATGTCTTGCTTAGATGGAGTGTGCATAGGGTGGATGGGACAGAGGGGTATGGATCAGGCTAGCAGTGGAGATCCAATGGTCCAGAGCTCAGGGGTAAATCCGGAGCATAGTCAATCCTGCTGAGGTGTGGAGCACACAGCAGAAGGGGATCTGGGAATGAGTTGGATATGAAGTGGGGTCCGGACATAGGCTTGGAGGAGTGGGAATATGATGGAATGTGGGTCTGGATTGTGGGATATGACAATATGACAAGCTCTAGACTGATTATAACCACTCTGTAATGTAAGTCCTCAATTTCCTAAAATCCAATGAGACAGAGTGCTAATGTTGCAATAAACTTGCACTTACTTTGAATAATTCATCACTCATGTTCTGTCCAGTGACATTAATGCAGGTAAGACCAAGCATATTCAACTCCTTGACATTCTGGTCTCCAAGGCTATTCAAAGCTGTAATAACAGTCATGACCACATTGCCAGTGAATAGAAGAGGGACCCAGAACATCAATGTCTTTCCCACTCCAGTGGGTGCAACAGTAATGACATCCTGCACTTAAGCTGCTCAACTGCAGATTGAATCTGAAAGTTGCATGGTCTGATGTTGTATCTTCTCCTGACCATGGCTTTGATTGTTGTGTTGTCTGGGATATCATACTATAGAGTAGACATAATGAATGACAGAACTGATTTACCAAAATGGGATCCTGCCATTTCATGCACTCAAAGGTTTGCTTAGGGTCTTGTGTATGTTTTGTGCACCCTTCAGGCAGGGGACAAACAAGGTCAACAACTGACACCACAACAAGTTATGCCAGTTGCTATGGGGAGGTAGTCTCAAAAATTGTTGCTTAAAATAATTATATAATTGTGTGGTTCTGTTGACAAAGTGGCTGCCTCAGGATGTAGACTGACCTCCCCACATGATGGGTAGGAGTCTGATATATGCCAGGTATCTTGGTTCAGATTCTTGCAACCAGTGTGACAATCATGTTCAGGCTAGCCTGCTATGACCCTATTCTGCAATCCCCATCCAGTCCACACATCTCCTACTCATCTCTGACACTTTCCCACCATCTCCATATCTCTGATGCATTGGACCTGCTTGGATATCCCATGCACTTGTCCCCACTGGTGCATAGTCAGTTATTCCTCATTACTGATCAAGTAGACAGCATTATTACATGGATTACCACTGGCTGCAGTACCTCATGGCCTTTTACCTACATATTATCAGACCCACATTTTTGCTACTACTTTCACCTATGGACTCCAGACTTTCATGTAGTTAGTTATCTAGGGTTGGGTGACCAGAATTACAATCACTACTGAGTAGGAGGGAGAAATCCCTGATACTGGCCACCCCATACCTGTCCTTAGAGTTACCCTTGACAATATACCTGTTTACCCACTCTCCTTGACCTGACACTATTGTCACTCATTCACTCAACATTCCTTAATATCTCCAAGCTAGTCCTAATGCTTTGCCTTTCTTTCCCTTACTCTCCTGCCATCTCTGCATCTCTGCACCTGCAGACCTGACTTCCCATGCATCAGACTTCACCCCATACCTTCAGACTTGATCTCTGACCTTCGGACTTTTGACCCTTTGCATAGTACTGATTATTGAACTTGACTAGACAGCAGATCCCTCAGGTTGAATGTTCTTGCTTGCAAGTGTAGCAGCTAGGCAGGACTAGTAGACATATATTGGCTAGGTATCCTAACAACTATCTAGCCAAGTTGTGTTATCCACACTGGGCTTCGTGACATGTTGATTTCCTATGGGTACACTGGTTCTGTTGAGACTCTAATCATAAATCTAGCTGGGTTGCACGTCAGCTGTACCAGATTGGCTTTTATGATGCCAATGAGGTCAGAGCAGATGCTTTTGGATTTGTCAACCCTGCACAAGTATTTGCAGTGTCCATGTGATCCCAGGATTCACACATGGGTCCACTGTGAACCTTCTTCCTCCATCAATTGCTCAACAGCCTTGTGAAGGTGACACAGATTATAACTGGTACTACATCAATCAGTTGGTGGTTTTTTTACTTGCAAAACAAATGGTTGACTTACATTTTTTTTAGATTTGTAGACCATGACATGTTCATGTGGTTCTGTGGTGGTGTTAGACACAAGACCACACAAGAGGCAACACAAAGTTTCTATGAGGACTGAGATGCACTTGACTCAGTGCCATTTATGAAGGAAAGCGAATGCACCAGTATGTTTGACATACAAGGTTCGCCAATGAATGAGGACATCAACTCAGAGTCTGGCAATGATTGTGAAGACACACTGGCAGATGCAGACATGTGCAGCATCAGCAGTTCCAGTGAGGAGCATATGGATTGTACAGGAAGCCGGTCTGAGTCGGATAATGAGCTTGAAGAAGCAGAGAACTTACAGAGTGCTACTCATGAGTTTGACACAGATTTGATTGATGGAGACAAGGAATTGGATGAAGAGGCTGATGATGACAAAGATGGTTCATGTTACAACCATGTATGCCCCTATTCACTTTCTCTCTTACTGTGTATTATGTCATGAGCCACATGATGCCACTGCTAGACTTATCTTTGACTCATACTTTGTATTACATCACTGATTGCCATTGCCATCGCTAGATGACCTATTCTTGCTATCACTTATGTATCCCTTATCTCTGACTCATATCATGTCTCATGTCTGCCCTAAAGCACTTGTAGTTCACTATAAATAGCCCTCTTGTACACTTTAGTCCCGCACTTTAATCTTACTAGGTTTTACCTGAAATCTCCTTCGCTTGAGACCTCCAATCTCTTGTCATCTGAACCATACTTTAAGATAGAAGCACTCCTTCTGTCTTAGCTTACACTGAACACTTGACTTATCATCTCGCATAGAATCTCAACAGAAGTCTTAACTCTTATTGAGTTGTCTGTTGTTAGAACTATCCTAGTTCATAACAGTTCAGTGTTGGATAACAAGCATAGTGAGTTTGGTTATGGTGACCTAGAGGAGCAGTTGTTATTGGATGACAGCCCAGACTCAGAGGAAGGCTCACAGGATGAACTAGATGATGCTGTTCTTGGTGCTGAGGATGGAGAGGGTGCTACAGATACTGAAGAGGATTATGGTGACTATGCTGAGCATTAGAATGCATTAGAAGGACTTGTCTTTCAGCCATGTGAGGGAAGAAATATATTACATTACTTGTATTGATGATTCTTGCATACATACATGTGTGAGTGATGTGGTTATAACATTACTTTGTCATCTGGGAGCCGCCTTACAATGCCTGGCACGATGCCCATAAGGCCTGTAACCATGTTTGGAACCCTATGCCAGGCTTACAGCATTTGCCAAGGCCTTGTCAGCTTGCACCACTTTTCACATCGGGGATCTGAATATTTAAGACTGGTTTGAATGTCATGCGAAATGTCAAGATAATACTTAATATTTAGGTTGTCATCTTAGCGGATGTAAAATTTCAAATGTTAAAGAGGTCTTGCATGACAAGAGAAATATAAAGTATCAGTGAACATTTTCTTACTGTCTGAATGTCAATGACAGTAAGAAATATAAATATCTCTTTAATGCTGGCATAAACTTCAAAATGAAACTTCACATTTAAGACTCGAAAAAACTTCAATTTTAGCATGTGACTGAACATCTGCTCATGTATGAAGTTTAGACCATCGTTTAGATGGGCGTTAAAATTCAAAATACACCCTGACAATAAAATGTGAAAATAAATCATCAAGTTTTATCTCTAGATAAAACCGATCGCCCAATGATCGCCCACTCACGGCTGAATCCTATTGCCCACTTGAGTTTGAGATGCTAAATATTAGGGGACTAGACGATAAGTTATAGACACAAGCAATGCCTTTCGGTTAGAAACATGCGTTAACGATCAGGGGACTAGACAATGACTTATATATACAAGCACATTAATGCACTCTTATTCAAATGGTATAGTAGATGTATGTGAATCTATGTAGTGGAGTGAAATAGAAAATCAATCCTGTATGACATAGTCAGATACCAGTGATTTCTCAAGGTGAATGAATGTACTTACAAAATCATTTCAACTTGTATACAGGCTAGTGCTAATTCTCTGTAAAAGCTGAGCAGGAGATTAGAGATGCACAAGTAACAACCAATTTATTCTTACTGCTTGCTTTGGTGGCAAGAAAACTGCAAGATGCCATGTTGATGTTTTTCATCATTTTGCTGGTGCCCACATTGAATTTGAGTGAGCCTTTCCACTGCAAGCCAGTCATTGGACCGTTAGCATCATTAGTGAATTTATGTCGCTCTCGTGAAATGCCCTGTCAAATGTTGCCCAGGCATAACTGGAACCAGGATTCACATCAACTGGACCAGAACCCCACATTTAGTCCTGAGGCAGCCCAGGCCTGGGGCCTGGGCCACCAGGAGACAATTTCAACATTCCTGTCATCTAGATTATTCAAACATAAGTGCCTCTGTCATCGATGTAAATGAGAGAAACTTACTGGTATGCAGATAATACATCCCGCACATGAAATCTATCTCCTCTGCTGACAGCTCATCATTGAAATAAGTCTGGCCATTAATGTCCAGCATGAGGCCAAATGGTACTGCTTCCCATGAAATGCCATTGAGAATGGAGGGGAGAACATCAAACCCAAGACTATGTAAAGCCAGCCACCATATGAGGCCACCATGAAGAAGTGCCACTCTTGTGCAAGGCTGGTTCAGGAACTTGTGACGGTGCTGCTCATACATGATGTAGTCAGCAAAAACTGGCCTAAAATGGGTAGGCCTGTGATCCTTGGGGGGGAAGATGTGTCCAAGTGAGTATGTGTGGAGTTCTGTAAGTGGGCATTGAGTGTGAGGTGGAACTGAGATTGGCTGCAACATCTTTATAGTGATTCCTTTTTCCATGAGGTTACACACAATCTTGGTGATATCCGAGCCCCAGTCACACCAGAGGCACATCACAGCTGTAATAGTGTCAGGAACTGCCAGTTTCCAGGGCACCAGATTTGACGACAGTGACTCGATGATGTAGAGCCACTGATTGGGTTGTTGCACAAAGGAAACTTGAATGTGTGTGTTCAAGACTGACAGGGACGAGTCAGGTCCTAGATCCAAGAGATCAGGCAGGATGTCTGACAACTGAGATTGAGGGAGGGTGACAAGGTAACCTATAAAATATGTGATGACATCCTTCTGTGCATCTGGAATTGACATGATATCCATGGGGTTGTTGCCAATGAGTCTGCATAAGTGAGTCCACTGTGTCTTGCAAGCCCAATCATCGAATGTAGTCAATCTGCCTCAGGGTGTAGTGGTGGATGCTGCAAGGTGAAATCCAAGATGAAAATGCAAATTGAGACAAATCACTCAACACTACAAGTGTATTGCATTGAGGGTGCAACCTCATAATGACTGAAGTAGGCTTCAATGTCTTTCAAGAAACTGGACAAGGGTGGTGGAGGGGCAGGAGGAGCAGGGGTGGGTTCAGAAGGAGCAGGCGCAGGTGGGAAATCATCTTCCTCCCAATTGCCATCAGGAACACTGGTAAGATCCAATGCATCACACAAATCCCACTCATTACAGAATGAGTCATATACCCTGGTAGATTTGCTATATGACATCCAAGTCATTGGTATCTCAGCCTTTGTGAGACGGATGCATTGATGAAAACCACCAAAGTCATCATTAGGTTGCCATTCAAACACCACAACTGTGCTGGATTTGCCAGGGATGCTGTGGTTCATGGCTGCCCGCTCATGGCTCTGATGCAACTGCCATTGAGCTGGCATTTCCGTCTCCTCTTTCCTCTGGTTCTCCTGATGGCACCATGCAAAGAATGCCTTGAAGTCTTCTCCTCACTTCTGTCTAGAGTGGGGTTGGGAGACTGGGAACAGAGAGTCTGCATGTGCCTCAGGAACATCAGACATGGGCTGTGCCCCACTGTTCTGACCCCATCCAAGGATACTATCATCCCAGTTAAGGACACTCTGAGTGTTGTCCTCTGGTCGACCCCACACACTATCATCCGGCTGACCCCATGCACTATCATCTGGTTGACCCCAAGTGTCAGGCGTCTGCTTGCATTGGACTGCCTCAGTCGCACAGGTGATAGCTGCTGGAGACAGGATATAATGATGCAAGGTAAAATCAACAGCGGCAGAAGTATCCCCAGAAACATGGACCCAAATTGGAAGTGAGAATTTCTCAAACATGGGCAATAGAACTTGCCAAGGACAGTGAATGGAAGAGATCAAGGCTCCCATATGTGGCACATTTGTTGTCAGATCTCCAACAAATGAGCGCGACAACTCAAGAACCCATTCAGTGGGTATGGGATGTTGGGGGTCACTCATTAAGATAGCTGTCCACTGATTGGCACCTTGGTATCAACAAGTCATGATGTACCATGAGCAGGTGGCAGCAATTACTAGAAATCTATCAGGCAATCATGAACGATGAATAAACTGGTTGACTTACATAGAAATGCATCACGCAACCTTATTGCAATCTTTTTGGCAAGGTTAACATCTGTATGCCACCATTGGTACCCATAGGTAGTCGGAGGGCATGGAAGTTTAGTCCCCCATGGAATCAATAGCCCAGCACCCAAATGTTCCTGGCACCAGAGCAGTTTCTGCTCTAAGTTGACCCATTTTGCCCAAATATCGCAGTGGAGAATGTGCCTTCCCAATGTATCTACCTCTGTGAGGAGGGAAAACCTGGAGTGGTTGGGGCATCCAAAGATCAGCCCATTGAAGCTAGGGTTCAAAGGTACAAGGGGAAACCACAGACGAGCTCCATATGCCCAGCAAGTAGTGAGTGGCATATTACTATCATTGGAAGAACTATCATAGTCTTCATGAGGATCCCAAGGAGGCTTGTGAGGTATGATGTCGGGAAGGGAGTGTGTGATGAGAGAGGTATAAACCTGCCCATCATGGACAATGACATGGAGATTGTTATTCATGGAGGCAAGGAGACACAAAGAGTACAGTCAAGACTACTACTGCAACAGTACAAACCATTACATTAGAGATCAGAGAGGTTGAGAAGATCGCAGTCAAGACTACTGCAACAGTACAAACCATTACATTAGATAAGGAAGAAGGTAACAAAATGCGAGAAGTTGGGTGCATCTAATATAGACATAGCAGAGTTTCAACAAACAATTACCATATCAGTGGCAGTGGCAGCAATACTAGGGGGTGTGGTCTGTGGATTGAGACAAGTGGAGTGTGGATTGAGATGGTGGTCTGTGTGGATTGAGACAAGCGGAGGAAAACAGAACAATGCCAGGACTGTGACTTGGGATGAGTGGAGAAAATTAAAAATTAAAATTAACAACAGAATTTTGACTATGTGGCTTGAGATGTGGTAAAGAACTTGAAGAGAAGTGGAGTTGGTCTCCAACCAGCTAATATTAGGGAGTGATGGATGGTATGTTGATGATGGTGATGGAGGCAGAGAACGCCAGGCAGCACAATGAGGAAGGATGTCAAACCCATGGAAGACCAGGGAAAAGATGTTAAACCTATGATCAATAAGAGGAGAATAATGTCATGACAACTCACTTCATAGATCTGCAGCTTCTGCCCAAGTTGTTTCTGTGATAGGGGTGTCAAACCCATGATCAATATTGCGAAGGGCTGCCACGGATGTCGAACCAGGAAGCAATGGATGTTGACTTAGAGTTATTATTAATAATAGGACGTTGGCGGTGGCAATGAAAGTAGAGAACACCAGGCACAACCATACATACAGTCATGCCCTGGAAGAAGGTGAGGAAGGGTCATTGTTGACAAGGAGAATGGGAGGCTCAACAGTACAAACCATCAAACCTCCTAGAGTAATAGTTACTAAGTTCCATAGGACTTAGAACTTTGGTGATGAAAGCACCCAACAATCACAAACACCCATATTAGGGAATTGTTACATAACATTGACTCCTCAACAGTACAGTTTGAACTTTGTACTGTCGACTCTCTCGAGCTACTTCATCATCCCCATCCTCGAAGCATGACAGTATGTACTGTTGTGCTCATCGAGTTCATTGTTCATCATTCCTATCTTTGGAGCATGATAATATGTACTGTCGTGTCTCCTATTCCATTACCACCACCTCGCCAACTCTATCCTTTTTTGTGGAATGATCAAGCCATCAACTCCAGGTCATCCCCCTCACTTACTGATCCTTTAGCTCACACTGGCCCATAGTCAGGTAAGGCCCATTTGTGACCAGATCCACCATTATAACAACATGTCCGCTGTTCATCACCATCATCCCTCACACATACATACAGTGAGTGGGCAAGCTAACTCACTTCACAACGATTCAGCCAGCCCTCACACCTGTGTCACACCCTCACCATACATACAGTGAGTGGGCAATGGCTAACTCATTTCGCCTTATTGCAACCTTAGATCACGTTGGCCTGTCTTCTACACTCAGGGTAACCACGTCTGTTTGTTAAAATTCCAACCCCATTGACAACATGTTAACTGATCCGCCATTAAGATCTGTCATTCCCCTCCACATACATAAGTGGAGGGGTAATTGGACTCAGTCCACTCTACCAATGCAGTGGAGGGCATAATGCAAACCTTATGTCCTATGTTCATGTGCTTGCACCTACATGTACTGGACAGGAGATAGGTCACTTTGAATCTCTCACTCTCCTTTTGCTAGCTGTGCAGGTAATCCGTATCACACTTGCCCCTATGGTATCTTGTTGATCTCTCCATCTGCTTCTTGAGCTAGCTCCAGGATCTTTGCCACTAATTCCTGGAGCATCATGATGTCATTTTTGACATATCCTTTGGTTGGCCCTTCCTTGTCCTTCTGGATATCTACATACTCATCAAATATCATGGCAGCTTGGACACGCTGTGAAAAGTCATTGGCCACATTAATCATTGTTGCTGAAGTTATGTACCCATGTACACAGTTCAGTGTGCTATCCTGAAGGTGCATTAGTTAGATCCCTGCTGACCAACTGGCCCACTTACCAAAAAGCTGTCTCTATAATTTATCAGCAGGAAGATGCTCATAGATAGCAGTGCCAGTAGTCATGTCAACATCACCAGTATGTGTAACAGGGACCAGTAATTGCCTGAGGGCACCTTGGATACCTTTGGCACAGCATAGTCATATGCCCATATCTTGATTGTAGTTTTCCCACGCCCTAGCATGGGCAAAGTGCTGGCAATTGTGCAGCAGCCATTGAGATCATGTGCCTAAACCAGTTCAGTGACATTCTTTCTGACTAGTTTTAATACTTATGGATATTGTTTGCACAAGGCCAGTGTCCGCATGGTGGAGGGTTTCAAGTGTCTCCCCTGTCTTCTGATCAAATATGTATACTAGCCCATGGTCACTTCCTCCCACAACTACCTTGCCTTCTTCCCTGAATGCCACTTGCTTCAGGACCAATACACTTGGCAAACCAGTTGCAAACATTTGAAGAGGCTCACTATCACCTTCAAGGCGATATAATGTAAAGCCATCTGTTGCATTATCTACAATGAAAATGCCCCACTTTGAGTACACCACAGCATGACCACTATATAATATGTCAGTAACACGCCTGGGTTGAGAGCAGTAGTTCCTCACATCACTGATTTGCAGCTAATTTCTTGCACTATGTTGCCATCTTCATCCTTCAGTTTCATGCTGTTCAGCTCTCAGCATCAGGCAATGAAAGTATGCAGTGGAAGGACTGACAAGTTGCCATCATAGAGCCCAAACACATAGATGCTCCAGTTGTCTGCGAATGCTATTGACTTGGGCACCATATTTTCAAGTCACGCTGTGAAGACAGGCTGGAGCTGTGAGCTTGTGTTGAGCATCAGAACCTGAACCATTTTGTCTCTAGTTCCAACTACAATTCGCAGGTTGCCTTCAGAGGAAGTTGAACACCATGACAAGCATGTGATCTCAAATCCTGATCCCAGTCTCCTGGCACATATTTCTTGGAATTTTTCCTGTTGGTGTCAATGGACAGTCGAACAGCAAACCTAGGCACTTACATCTGTGAGACTGTGTCATAAACATACAATATAACCCAGGCCTGTTCCATAACAGAGGGTTTCTGCCACAGTTTTCATAGTTGTGGCCCAGATTGCACAACTGACTGTTCCCCTTGATTCATGATGATTGGATGAAGATGTGAGTTCTTTCCGAGATTTGATATCCCAGATTTTGATTCCCTCAGTACCTGTTTGTTTGTTAGCCCTGTATATGACCAAGTTTCTGCTTTCTTACCACCGCATGCAAGCAGGTGTCCATCATTAGAAATTGCAAGTGCATGGATAGAGCCATTATAGGCAGTTAAATGAGCAAGCAGCTTGTAATGCAGTGGCTGTGCTGACTTGTTGAACAATGCAAGGAAAGACATTATGATATAATCCACTGTAGTCGCCTGCTCACAACATATTTATCTGTACTTCTCATTTGTTTTCAAATACTTTTGTATCGTTACCATATTTGTTTCTGTATTTGTTTTATTCCATGGTAACTTCATCGTTGATGCTATTTGTGTAGTGCTATTCTTTTTATTCTTCTCTTGAGATATGCTGATGCAGCCCCATTATTCTTATTCTTTACAAGCACTATTCTTGGTTACCATTTTCGAAGCCCCTTATTGTTTTCGCTCAATATGGTAATCTGTTGAATACTTTACCTCTCATGAACCATCCTTAAGTTCCAGGTAGCTACTCAGTTCTTTCTCTATCATGTGCAGTACTACAGTTGTTCCACCTTTCTATGACTCAGAGCCTGGGGCTCCACCACCTCTTCCCCCAATGCTCACGGACCAGCTAGAGCTGTTTGGCAATGCCAATCATCACCTGACTACACTTGTTGCTGATGAAATCCTAGTTCCTAAAGCTAGTATCATTCCCACTGCAAAGGCTTCATCATCTACACCTGCCCCTGAATTCAAGCTTGCAGTGCAGATGCGCAAGCATTCTGATTGCTCTTCCTCTCCATACACCAAGAAAGCCACTTCCAATTCCATGCACCCCCATTCTCAAATGCCTTCACCCTCAGATTCCTCAGGCTCTTTGGATTCTTTCTCAGATAGCAACTCCTCAACTTTGAGTGTGAGTTTATCAGAAGACTCAAAGATTCCTAAACCTGCTGGTGAACCTGGGCATCTGGGGCATGGGGGTTACACACTTTGTGAAGCTTTAGATTGGAATCCAAAGTCATACACAAAATTCAAGGTTTGCAAGTTGTCATTGTACCCTTGGTATTGCAAATTAACTGATAAATTCCTAAGAGGTCTATGCATAGTCTCATTGACAACCACCTTGACATGACAAAATGCACGTCTGCCCAAAGTCCCATGCTATTGGAAGTCATGCATGGCAAGGTGAACAGTTTCTCTGAGTCTTGATATTGTCAATAAACTTATCATCTCATCAGGTGCTCAACAACTTCCCAGACCTTGACAATTATACCAACTTGTGGCCAGTCAATAATTTGATCATGACACGCCTGAAATACACGTCTGGACACACAAGACAAAAGGAGGGAGAAATGGCTGTAGGCAAGAGCAAGAGCAAGGCCAGGAAGTGATACCCCAACTGCATTATATGTCTCCATCATTATTACGTGCTGTATGTGTTCTATATTAAGCTGGCATTCCAAGAATCAAGCATGTTCATTCACATATCAGACAGGATGGAATACCAGAAATGCCCAAGCAACAGAGATGTTTTGTGCATCCTTGGCTTAAAAATAACAGGTGTAGAAAGATTAGTAACTGTGAGTTTTATGTGCATCAGGAAGAGCAAAACTACATCATGCAAGTTGGCTGCGAAGCTACCCAGAACCCGTCAGTATCAGTTCAAGCCAGTGCTTTCAAATGTTTAATCAAGATCAGAATGGATCTTGTTTGTATATCTGCAGTCCAGCTGAGAAATTTGGTATGTAACAGTGCAAATTATACTACTACTCTACACCTTGCAGCTGACCGACAATTGGCATGAGTCCCCAAGGGTTTCACAAGAGTAAGATTGCATGGGAGCCTAGCTCTTGGACAACTACTTATGCTTTGTGCAAAGCTGAAAAGATAGTTATGGTAGGCTCAATAGATCATTGAGTTTACTCACTGGTGAATTAAAAAATCAGCAAGCGCATTATCTCTGCCTTGCATGTTCACAACAGAGGATAGTTGACTCCAACCCTCATAACAACTGCATCGCCTCAGAACTTATGACCACCCATACTAAGAAGCATGTTGGCTTGGAGACGAAGATGTCACTTGAAGAAGATGCAGAATTGATGGATGTGTCTCCCTTCACACACATTCACAAAACAGTTGTGAACATAAGGCTGCACTGCAGCCTCCTTGAGAAGGCTTTCCAGAACAGGAAAATGCTGAGCAGTGCGTGAGCAGCCAGAGCAACGCGTCAACATAGTGACCTGACAGGGTCTGATCTATGATGCTGAATATAGCCTGCACCGCAGGTGAAGCTCTGGGGTCTGATTTGAAGGTAAATAAAGGGTGTGAGGTAGTTAGCGATAACTCACAGCAGATGTTAGAAGGATAAATGTGTGAGTGTTTACCATCTGATGATTATAATTCAATCAAGCAATAATCTAAGAGGTGGGTGATGAAAGTGGGTGATGGAAGTAGGCTATAGCAGCGATCTGTCTTTTAATAACTTCACATGCTGAGTCAAAAGACAATAACCATAATTGTTTCAGATGTAGTTGACAAAAAAAATAGTGGGGAGCCAAAAAAAATATAGCGGGGAGCCAAACCGAAGCATGACAATACTGCAATGATAATCCTAGTTGTCAAGGATAATTGTGTGAGGTAATTGTAAGAGCAAATAGAGCAAAAGATAATTGAAAGCGATGGAGATGGGCCTGGACCTGTTGGAACTGTTGTTCATTCATACAACAAGACATCTAAAAGAATCAAGACAAAAATGCATGCACAAAACTTAAAAAGACCCAGGAATGATGTTTGCAAACTGATGATGAATTATTCCCCCGCTATGAGTGCCAATAACATTGACGTCGACATGCAGCATCCTGAGTTTCAGCAAGAAGATATACAAACATCTCATGATGCGGATTTATTTGGTGATGATGAAGATGATGAAGACGATGATAAGGGTCCTGGCAACTTCATGGATGTTCTCAGTCAGCCTCCCACCAGTGTACTGTGACTTGAAAAGAGGGCCAGAGAGGAAGTGGTATGTAGATAGTATGAATCAGCTTCCATGACTCATGATACCCATCCAGATATCTGGGAAGCATCACATTCAGGAAGTTGACTATTCACAGGTACTTCGCCAGACTGTGTATGAACAACAAGAACATATTAGCAACATTATAGAGGAAACTGAAGTGGTATGCATGAGAAGCTCATTGGGAATACACTGCTGATCATACCAGCAGATATGCCGAGAAGCTCAAGACCACATTGAGGAGCAACAATGTCTTGCAGAAGAAGAGCATGAGCACCACATGCACGATTTCAACAAGCGATGGGAAAAGGCCCTGAGAGAGCAAGAGCAGGAAAAGCAAGTAAGTGCAACAGATGCATTCAGTCAGATGCATGCTTACAAGTTAATAGGAAATTCACACATGGCAAGAGCAGCAGCAAGCACTGCTGAGGAAGAATGTTGCTGAAGAACTAGCATGGCACAAAGCAAAAATAAGTGCAAAAAAAGACCAAGAGGTGAGAAAGAATGACTGACCAAGGAATTACTAATGATGGCAAGTAGTTGGCTGAAGAACTGGCATGACACAATGCAGATTTAGATACAAGAAAAAATCAAGAGGTGGGACAGAACAACTGAGCACAGGAATTGCTAATGATGTCAAGCAGCTAGAGAACACAAGAGAGCCATTTTTGCTGAAATGGAGCAAAGGCTACAACTAGAAATAGAAAAAATGAGGGTAGAAAAAGAGAACGAGCTCACTAACACAGAGCAGCACTTTGCAAGACATGGTAGGCAACAGCATGTGGCCACAGAAATCAGCACAGACCCCACCCAAAGGAATGCTCAACAACCACCCCACATGCCCCAGAAACCACAGCTCAAGACTCTGTGCCTCAAGATGACCAAAAAGATCAGGAAGGCACGTGGAACAACACGCAAGATGCATCTGGTATCTGTAGTAGAGGTAAGTACTAAGCAGTCAGAACTCGTTTTAAACTCATGTCATAGCAGGATGCTGACGAGCCTATGGAAATACATCAAGAACGATCATCAACAATTGAGCAAGAGCCACAGTGATTTCAGCCTGACGACGTCTACCCTATGTCTGTGATGGAAAATGTGATCTCCAAAGGCATAGAGGCGGCACTCAGATGCATCCTTGTCAATAAGGATATTTTGACATCCACAAAGTGTAGTCCTCGAAGGAAAAAGAAGCAGGATGATGAAATTAGGATAGAAAGGGCCACAGATTTGAGCCACGAAAGAGACTTCCTTCTTGTGAGAGTTGAATTTTTGATGTATATGCTGATGCTAAGCATGAAGTAGGGTGAAATCCAGCATCTCCTCAAAGATACCTTCAGTATATCTCAAGATGCAGATTTTATTGTGCACCAGCCAGCAGATTGTGAAGATGTGTACTCATACAAGTACAAAGATGGCCCAGGCCCCAACACCCAGAATCTGGCCTTTGATCTCAAACACAGATTTAACACCCCCTGGAATGTGAAAATTCTCGATATTCTCCTTGAAGAATTGAAAAAGAGGAGTGTAGAAGAGGAGTGGCCATTCCAGAGGTTGGATGCCTATTATAAGGCGATACTCAAAGATCACTACAAGCGGATGCGGATGGTCTGGAGAGCAGCCCAACCAAAGGTTACAGCAAAGGGCTGCTTGGAGATTGCGGAAGCAGTGGAGGAGAGGTTGATTGCAAAAAGAGGTGAAAATCTGAAGTCGGTTCATCAAACAACTTGTTGGTGAAATGTATGTCTGCAGCATGATCTCAAGGCTCTTCGGATACTAATGTGTCTATAGAAATATCTCCACAGAGCAAAAGCCCTGGAGCAAGTTATTAAGCTGAAGAAAGATGGTGAGGATGACAACCTACCAGCTTGGCAGTGGCTTCAAAAACTAGTCAAGATGCTGGGAGACAGGGGTATGAGTTCAGAAGAAAGTGATATTGAAAATGACATTGAATGTGTGCTCTGGGTCAAGAACATGGCATGGTGTCGTGGGATAGAGTGAGAACTGAATATCATCAATAATCAGAGAGTCTTGGATGATGAAATTTTCACGCCCCAGGGTTCCAAACCAATGAAGAGGATATGCGCATCAGGAAATTCGACGACTGTACGGAACCCAGTCACTGGATTACCCAAGGCCCTATACAATGGCAGATGGTTTGATGGTCTTACTGGAGGTCAGGTAGAAAGGTTGAATGTGTTAGATGAGATGTTCTGATGGATGAAAGTTGGTGTAGCATAGTAGCATGTTGAATAGACAGTGTAAGTGAACTGCAGGGAATGGAAGATAAGTTAATTCCCCCTCCACTGTATGTACAGTGGAGGGGATGACATGTGTTGATGGCTGGCTGGATCATTGCGAGAGCAAGTTAGCCATTGCCCACTCCACTGTATGTACGGTGGAGTGGATGATGTGTGTTGACAGCTGGACATGTTGGTTGATTAATGGTTGGATCTGTCAACAAATGGGCTTACTGACTAACAGGCCAGCATGATCTAAAGGATTGCAGTAAGCGAAGGTGGATGACCTGGAGTTGATGGCTTGATCATTCCACAAAAAAGGATGGAGTTGGCGAGGTGGTGGTAATGGAATAGGAGACACGACAGTACATATCGTTGTGCTCCGAAGATAGGAATGATGAACAATGAACTCAATGAGCACAACAGTACATACTGTCATGCTTCAAGGATGGGGATGATGAAGTAGCTCGAGAGAGTCGACAGTACAAAGTTCAAACTGTACTGTTGAGGAGTCAATGTTATGTAACAATTCCCTAATATGGGTGTTTGTGATTGTTGGGTGCTTTCATTGCCAAAGTTCTTAAGTCCTGTGTTTGTGATTGTTGGGCACTTTCATTGCCAAAGTTCTTAAGTCCTGTGTTTGTGATTGTTGGGCACTTTCATTGCCAAAGTTCTTAAGTCCTGTGTTTGTGATTGTTGGGTGCTTTCGTCACCAAAGTTCTAAGTCCTATGGAACTTAGTAACTATTACTCTAGGAGGTTTGATGGTTTGTACTGTTGAGCCTCCCATTCTCCTTGTCAACAATGACCCTTCCTCACCTTCTTCCAGGGCATGACTGTATGTATGGTCATGCCTGGTGTTCTCTACTTTCATCATCACCAGATGTCTCATTGCAGCGACCTTTCACAACCTTCTCCAAGGCATGACTGTATGTACAGTCGTGCCCATTCATCACCACTGCCAACATCCTAATTCTAAGTCAACATCCATTGCTTCCTGGTTCAACATCCATGGCAGCCCTTCCTGCCCGGTGTTCTTTGCCAATGATCAGTCCACACCAAGCTCAGGTCACCACCAGCTCTCCCTGACAACAGAGTTATATCCTTGTTTGGTAGTTCTTGTAATGAACATCATATTTTCGTACAAGGCTTACTGCTGTCTTGTTATTTCATTACTGGAAATTGTGAGTTGTTTCTTTTATCGTTGTTGTTCATCTGACTCAAAAGCTTGCCTATGCAGTCGTTTCTTGCTCTCCAATTCACTCCCATCAATTCATAGAAATGACAGTACATACTGTCATTGCTATTCACCCCGCTCTTCATGCCTGTGTCTCGCTCACTGTTCAAATGGTGCTTCTGTGAGGAATGCATCGAAACCAGTGATCGTGCTGAGGATGGCACGCCTAAGGGGGTACTCATTGCAGAACGTCTTATGGCTGCACATTTACAACACACCAAATGTACCCAAGCAGAACGTGCTGCCACTGGCTCTCCCTGCACGAACACCATCACGGATTTGTTAGTCTCACAGCTGGATGCACTTGCTCTTATTGACAACAAACCGCCTGTTTCTCACCCCAACCCCACTCCACCATTATCTATTATGGCTCTCACGGATGATCTAGAGCAACTCACTTTGCTAGATCATTTTGTTGCCCATGAACCCAGAGTCGCTATTCCTGGCGATGTCTCCCAAAAGAACATACATCGGCCAACTGTGAAGGCCTTGATGGTCCTCGATAACATAGAGTTCTGCATTCAGCAGTGCTTTCGGTTGTTACCTGCAGGTAATTCCAATGATGTTGGTCACGAGCTACTATTGCTTCACACAGCTGTGGAGTCCATCAAATGAAAAGCAGACCTTGTGGTCACACAGAAGAGGGCAATTATGTTGGAGATAGATGGCTTAGAAGCTCAGTTCAACAGTCAAAAGCCTCCTGAAATGGACTTACATGCAGCAGTCGAATTTGATACCAGTAAGAGTTAATTATCTTCATCGTGATTGTGTTCTGAATAGTCAATAGATGTTCACCATGATTTTCCGCTGGATCAGTGTGATGAAATCGCACAGGTCACCTTATTCATCACTGTGATGTGTAAAGTCATCATGGGGGTCAGCAAGTGAGCCTGCGATTTCCTCTTGGGACTTATTTCAATCATGTTATTCCTCACTTTCCGGAGATCAGATGGTAGCCTCAGCTCTTCCCATCAAAATGTGCTCAGGCAAATTCCAAAGAGTTTTGACACTGCGCTCTCAAGATTCCATCTCACTGAGAAAACTGTCATCTATGCAGTCTGCCCCAGTTGTCACTGCACTTACAGCCCACATCATGCAGATGGCTCAACTGTTCCTACATATCCTGAACGTTGCACACACCACCCCACACCAGAGGCCAAATGTGGCAAGTCATTGCTCAGCCCTGGCCCTGATGGAGTAGTGTGATCGAAGAAGACATTCACTTACCACAATTTTAAAGACTACCTCGCCAGTCTCCTCTCCCATGCAGATATTGAGGGGGCGATGGATCAAGCCTGTGATGATTTGCAAGACTCGATCAATTCCCCCCATCCACCTTTGATGAAACATGCATTCAAGGCTCAGTTTCTCCATCAATTTTGTGGCCCAGACCCAGCTTCACTTTTTATTGATAGAGGAGATGAAGGGTGCTATGCTTTCGCCCTTTTCATGGACTTCTTCAATCCAGAGGGCATGAATTTGTGTGGTGCCAACAAATCCTCTGGCATCATCTCTATGGCATGCTTGAATCTACCATTGGATATCAGGTATAAGCCCAAAAACATGTATCTTGCAGGAATCATCCCAGGTCCGAAACAGCCACCCCTCAAGCATCTCAATCACTACATCCGGCCACTTATTGATGACATGGTAGACTCATGGGAGCATGGCATCAATTTTTCCAAGACTGCTTGTTTTCCCACTGGCCAGCTTGCTCACAGTGCTATTGTTTTGGCAGTTTGTGATCTTCCTGCCACTCATCATCTTGCTTCTTTAGCTGGAACCAGTAGCCATTTTTATTGTAGTGCGTGCAATTGCTACCATAAGACCACATATGGTAGAGTGGACTTCGAAAGCTGGAAACCTTGTGATAAAGATGAACTCCAGAAGTTCACTGAGCAGTGGAGGGACACTGTGACAACCTCTGAATGAGAGAAACTATTCAAAGCTCACAGTGTGCACTATTCAGAGATGTGGCATTTGCCATACTGGGATCCCTCATGCCAGCTTGTTGTTGACCCGATGCATTGTATATTGGAAGGTTTAGTCCAGCATCACTCTCATACCCTTCTCAGTTTGACTACAGCAACCACTTCATCTTCATTGACTTTACCCCCTCCAGCCTTTTCATGCGACTTAGGCGATATGCCTCCGGGGATGACTTCGAAGGAAATGACTCAGGTCACTGCTATATGCACCCTTCTTGTTTCCCAGTTGTCATCCAATGATGAAAATCTGGATAACCTAAAAAATTTGCTGTTTCACAAGAATATGGGACCTCTCAAGTTTGTTTGCGAGGCCTTGCAATGCGCTCCCCAGAAATCTAGTAGATTGTTCAAAATCAACTATGTCAAAGCTCTCATGGAATGGGTAAGTTTTTAATATGTCTACTTTGTTGCGACTTTTTTATGTTTGTTCTCAGTGCTGTGGAAAACCTTTTGCTGCTCCTGAGAAGGAGCTTCAGCTTGGTTCTCTAGATGCCCTTCATCATGTCCAAGATGTCATCCAACAAATAACCATTCCATCTTGGTTTACTTCAGTCCCAAGCGATTTCAGAAGTGCATCTGCTGGGACAATGAAAGCAGATGAATGGCGCTCTCTAATCACCATCTACATTCCTATTGCCCTCGTGAGCTTGTGGGGGGCCAGTACCTCGCATCCTTCCAATGAAGTCAGCACTCACCTTAGAGCTGTTCTTGACCATACTATGGAACTTGTTTGCATGGTGTATCTCACGTGCACCCGAACAATGACTGTAGAGAGAGCACACATGTATCGCTCTCACATTGCGCTTTATGTTGGAAATTTGAAGAAGATATACCCTAACATCGCTCTGCGTCCAAATCACCATGCTGCCTTCCACATATACAACTTTCTACTCCTATTTGGCCCGGCCCACTCTTGGTGGTGCTTTCCTTTCAAACGTTTGATTGGAATACTTCAGCGTCTTCCAGTAAATCATAAGACTGGTGAGTTTTTATGGAACACCAGTGTAATAGCGGGACTGACTTTTCAAGGTGAGTCAGAAACTACCATGTTATACTCATTCATCAAAACTTCAAAACTTCACCATTGGCTCAGTCAACCTGACTGTTTGCCAGCTATTCAAGAGTGCAAATTTCTGTTTGACAGCACATATGCTCCCAAGAGTGCTGGAACTCTTGGTGAAGAACTTGCTGAAGATCCTTTGGATGACAGTTTACAGGCTCCTTCCTCTGCTGTAGCTGTGGCTGTTCCTGAAACCTTGTTTGTGCTTATCAAATGATACACAGCAATATTACGCGCATGACTAAAATTCAATGGGATTGTCTATAGCAGAGCCTCTACTCACATCGGGAATAGTTAAGTTTTTTATTATTCTCAGGGTGACTGGTTATCATCTCCTGTCCCCAGCAGTATCCAACATATCTATGCTACACCCACAGGTGAACTAGTGTTTGCTGTCCACAAGCTCCTCCCACATCACAATCAGTCCATTGATCCATTTGCTATGTATCCTCATTTTCCCACCAAAATGTACTTGTCAAGCTCAAGTAGTCATTTGGAAAATGTCAAGGTATCCTGGGTTGTTAGTCACTTTGCTCGATGGGCAGTTTCGAGTGATACTGTAGTCATACTATCTCTATCTCGTGTAAGTACAATTCACCTCGAGAAATCACTGGTGTCTAACTACTGTCAAACAGGATTGATTTTCAATTTCACTCTACTACATAGTTTTGCATACATTTACAATATATAAGCTGTCCACCCTGTCATTTGAATAAGAGTGCGTTAATGCGTGTTTCTAACTGAAAGGCATCACTTGTGTCTATAACTTATTGTCTAGTCCCCTAATATTTAGCATCTCAAACTCAAGTGGGCAATGATTCAGCCGTGAGTGGGCGATCATTGGGCGATCGGTTTTATCTAGAGATAAAACTTGATGATTTATTTTCACATTTTATTGTCAGGGGGTATTTTGAATTTTAACGCCCGTCTAAACGACGGTCTAAACTTCATACATGAGCAGATGTTCAGTCACGTGCTAAAATTGAAGTTTTTTCGAGTCTTAAATGTGAAGTTTCATTTCGAAGTTTATGCCAGCATTAAAGAGATATTTATATTTCTTACTGTCATTGACATTCAGACAGTAAGAAAATGTTCACTGATACTTTATATTTCTCTTGTCGTGCAAGACCTCTTTAACATTTGAAATTTTACATCCGCTAAGACGACAACCTAAATATTAAGTATTATCTTGACATTTTGCACGACATTCAAACCAGTCTTAAATATTCGGATCCCCGATGTGTTTGCTGATGCAGACATGATGCATCGAAGCATCAACGCACGCCTACTGGAGCTGCCTCAGAATATTGGTTCTCTTGCCCGCGCCGGGACCGCCGTCAGCGAGCGACATACTACTTATGGCTGTGACATCCATCATCCTGATATTGGGCGCTCAGTTGAATTTATTCACCAATTGAATAACCCCTGCGGAATCGGTAACAAAAGACGAGCCCAATCATTCGCTTTATCCGACTTTCTCCCGCGTTTCTCCAGGACTTCGGACATGCCGTGGCTAGACGTAGCTTGCACCCAGCATTCAAGTTGGGGTGAATTGCCACTGTAGCACGAACTTGACGGTAATTATCGAGCCCGCAGTGACAAGGTTGCGCGAGCATTCAGTTAGACATATCTTGTCCAAGCTTGAATGGGCTGCCACTCAATATATACACTGGTATCCCCTTAAGCTTCACTCTCGCAGACTGACTAGTTCGTCCACTGAGGTCCAAGTAGCGTTCAACAATTTCAATCCAGACACTATGACAGGTATGTATCAATTTCTATGAATAATCCTTGCTGACGAAAAAAAACGGCACCGGACACTCCCACAGTCGACAGTCCTGTGCCTGCACAAAGCCGTTAAATGTCGTAGCTATCTCGCTGTCACAGAAACGGCTGTCAATCTGCAATAGATCCTCGAATCAAACACAACCATGAAGGTCATCTCCGTACCCCCTCCATTGGGTCTCTGGACAACCGTACGTTCGGTTGGCGTATTCAATGTCGCTTGTTCATTTGGTGCATTATGGGCCTTCGTCAAAGTCCTAAGGGTCCTTCGCTGGCGATTGAAGACAACTCAACTGCAGGGTCCGCCTCGCACTAGTTTCATATATGGTGTTTCGCACGACCTAACGTCATCTAAAGATAGTGGTGGAATGTATGAATGTTGGGCGACAGAATATGGGGTAGCGTATATGATTCCAAGCGTCCTCGGACAGACTAGAATTGTGCTGTGCGACCCGAGAGCTACAGCACATTTCTATGCCCGAGAGACATGAACATATGTACAGACGCCCCTTTCGTTGGCGTTTCTGGAGATATCAGTATGTTAACATCGTCATCTTACCTTGTCTGTCTGACACCTCTTGTTAGATCGGCAGAGGGCTACTATGGTCTGAGCGTGAAGACCACAGGAGGTACTGTTTAGCTCTTGTCCTCGCGCTAGCGACTTATCTACTACATGCGAATTAGGCAGCGGAAGTCTCTCACACCAGCTTTCAGCAATGCAGCGATTCGGAAACTCACATCAGTGTTTTACGACACAGCTTACAAGGTAAGGTTTTGCAACGTGGGTAATGTAGCATATCTGATCTTGATACTTTACAGGCCAAATGTGCATGGGATAATGCTATAGAATCGGGCAATGGTGGTGACGCTATCATCGAAGTTCAGAGCTGGTGCGCAGCTATTTTGGCTTGTCAAGTGTCATTTCTAATCGAAACGACTCAAAAGGATGAATCATATATCGTACGCGATCATATTTTGCCATCGACGCCTCTAATTGATGCATTATCAGTCTGGATACGATTGGCATTGCTGGTTTCTCCCATGATTTTGGCTCGCTCGATGGAAAGCGAGCCAGCGTGACCGAAGTGTTTGATACTTTCGGAACCAGCCAACAGGCTTCAGCAGTGAACAAAATCTTTACCTTGCTTGCGTCAGCGTTTCCTATCATTATCAAGATGCCCACTAAGCGGACAAATTTGTTCAAGAAACTTAGTATAACCATGGGGAAAATATCCAGCGACTTATTGATTCGCAGCCGCAGGGAGAGCCATATAAATATGAGCGAGAGAGACGAAGAGAAGTCAATCATTGGATTGTTGAGTGCGCTGTCCGAGAAATCTATCGTAGTCTCTTGATTGACGCAACAATCAGTTAAATCCGAAGGCCTGGATGTCGAACTTCGTATGTCGGAGGAGGAAGTAATGGCTCGGGTCTGTGAAGACTATGTATCACAGCCATCATTTGTGAGCTGACATCCTGCAGATGAAGGTCTTGCTTATTGCTGGTTATGAAACGACATCTAGTGAGTTGATTTCTTGTCTGCTACTGTCATATTAGCTGACTTTTCATCATCAGTCAGTCTCACGGTGAGCCTACTGTGCGATCATGTCTGTGCACGCTATTAATGTGATGATCAGTGGGCGCTGATCGAGCTATCGCGACACCTCGATGTCCAAACCAGCCTCAGGGAGGAACTGCTTGCGTTTGGCGCCGATCCGACATATGACCAATTAAAAGCCAATCTCCCATACTTGGATGCGATTATTCATGAAATTCTACGACTCCACCCTCCTGTAGGCGAGTTCACTCGTGTTGTGAGTGTGCCTATCTACATGTGAATACGCACTCACAATAAATCTACAGGCAGCGGAAGACGACGTTATTCCCTTGAGCGAACCTGTGCGCACGGAGTCCGGGGAAATGGCGGACAGTATATCAATAGCGAAAGAGACATTGATCACGATATCAAGCGCAGCGATCAATCGCTCTTCGACCATCTGGGGACCTGACGCGAAGGAATTCAAGCCTGATCGTTGGCTGACTGAAGACGGCATCAGTGGGAAGTCCAAGGAAGTCCAAGGTCATAGGCATCTCCTGACATTCGTCGACGGCCCTAGGACGTGTCTTGGAAAAGATTTTGCAATCACAGAATTTAAGGTGAGCAATTTGAATCAGCCAGTCTGGACATTATTTACTGCGATACAGACGGTTTTATTGGTTCTGGTAAAGAACTTCGTGTTTGAGATGCGTGATGGACCTGATACTCCAATCGAAGTTGTGAGGGGGATTTTACCCCGTCCACGTTGTTGGAGAGGACGGTATCGGGGTACCTTTGAGAGTCCGTCGGTATGATTGATTGATTGCGCTTGCACTAGCAATTTTACTATACTTTCTCCCACCTATTCGCGGCTGAAACCCTTGGGTTGTATTCAGACCAGAAGAAGACTGATATCGTTTGTTCAATCTGACGTTGAAGCTGCAGGTTATCCACTTGCTTCACTGTTTCCTTGTAAGCTGGTCAGGATCCAGCACAAATGGCCCTGACATCATCCTCCGATGTTTGTGTTACCACAATGAGGCCAAAGTGGCCGCGGTTGTCAGGCGTAAACAGTGTCTGAGCCTGACAACTGCGGCTACCTCCCCTCCAAAATGGTTTTGCAAGCTCTTGCAACCTAAACCAGTAGCACTGGATATGGAGATGATGATAATACAGCCCACAACTAGTACTGCACCCAATCAGACGATGCCAGAAGAGGAGTTCCATCCAGCATTAATGTTGACAGAAGTAATTTATCAGCTTTCACACACTACTTATCACTTCAACACCATGCCATGAGTCTGGCAATACGAATCCGCTGAGCAGCAGAAAGAATAGCAAGAATAGCATATATGGAGCTATATAGTGCTCATATTACGATGTCAGTCCTCTTCTGATCTGAATACAATCTAAGGGTTTCAGCCGCAAATAAGTAGGGAGAAAATAATTGTAAAATTGCTAGTGCAGCGCAATCAATCATTCATACCGACGAACTCTCAAGGTACCCCAATACCATCCTCTCCAACAACCCGCGGACGGAATAAAAGTCCCCTCACAACTTCGACTTGGAGTATCAGATCCATCCCGCATCTCAAACACAAAGTTCTTTACCAGAACCAATAAAACCGTCTGTATCGCAGTGAGCAATGTCCAGACTGGCTGATTCGAATCACCCACCTTGAATTCGGCGATCGCAAAATCTTTTCCAAGACACGTCCTCGGGCCGTCGATAAATGTCAGCAAATGCCTATGACCATGGACTTCCTTGGCCTTCCCACTGATCCCGCCTTCAGTCAGCCAACGACCAGGCTTGAATTCCTTTGCGTCAGGTCCCCAGATGGTCGAAGAGCGATTGATCGCTGCGACCGGTATCGTGATCAATGTCCCTTTCGCTATAGATATACTGTCCGTCATTCCCCCAGATTCCGTGCGCACAGGTTCGCTCAAGGGAATAACATCGTCTTCCGCTGCCTGTAGACTTATTGTGAGTGTGTATTCACATGTAGACAGACACACTCACAACACGAGTGAACTCGCGCAGCGGAGGATGGAGTCGTAGAGTTTCGTGGACAACCGCATCCAAGTATGGGAGATTGGCCTTCAATTGATCATATGTCGGATCGGGGCCAAATGCAAGCAGTTCCTCTCTGAGGCTGGTTTGGGCATCGAGGTGTCGTGATAGCTCGATCAGCGCCCACTGATCATCACATTAATAGTGTGCATAAACACTCTCGCATAGTAGGCTTACCGTAAGAGCGGCTGTCGATGGAAAGTCAGCTAATATAATGGCAGCGAACAGAAATGAACTCACTTGACGTCGTTTCGTAACCCGCGAGAAGCAAGACCTTCATCTGCAGAATATCAGCTTGCAAGTTATGGCTGTGATACATGGTCTCCCACAGACCTGAGCCACTACTTCCTCCTTCGACATTTGAAGCGGGGCATCTTGGCCTTCGGAATTAACTTAATGCCGCGTTAATCGAGAATATGATAAATCTCTTGGAGGACTTACTTAGCAATCCGATGATGGACTTCTCCTCGTCTCTCCCGCTCGTATTCGCATCCTTCTCCCGGCGGCTGCGAATGAATAACTCGTTGGATATTTCTTCCATGGCTACGCCAAGTTTTTTGACCAGATTCATCCGCTTGTTGGGAATCTTAATAATGACGGGAAACGCCAATGCAAGCAGAAGACCTGGATTCAATACTGAAGCTTTTTGGTTGTTTCCAAAAGTATCAAACACTTCGGTCACGCTAGCGCGCTTTCCATCGAGCGAACCAAAATCATGGGAGAAACCAGCAATGCCAATCGTATCCAGACTGATAATGCATCAATTAGAGGCTTCAATGGTAAAATATCTTCGCCTACGATATATGATTCATCCTTTGAGTTGTTTCCATTAGGAATGACACTTGACAAGCCAAAATAGCTACGCACCAGTTCTGAACTTCGATGATAGCGTCGCCATCTTTACTCGATTCCATAGCAATATCCCATGCACATTTAGCCTGCAAAATATCAGGATCAGGGATACTACATTCCCCACATCGCAATCCCTCACCTTGTAAGCTGAGTCATAAAACACTGATGTGAGTTTCCGAATCGCTGTATTACTGAATGCTGGAGTGAGGGCCTTCCGCTGCCTAATTCGCATGTAGCAGATAAGTCGCCAGCGCGAGGACAAGAGCTGAACAGTACCTCCTGTGGTCTTCACCCTGAGCCCATAAGAGCCCTCTGCCAACCTGACAGGAGATGTCAGACAAACAAGGTAAGATGACGACGTTAACATACAACGCTCTCCTGAAGCACCAACGAGAGGGGCGTCAGTACATATGTCCATGTCTCTCGGGCCCAGAAATGTGCTATGGCTCTTGGGTCACAGAGCACGATTCTTGTCTGTCCGAGGACGCTTGGAATCATATATGCTACCCCATGTTCTGTCGCCCAACGTTCATACATTTCACCACCATCTTTAGATGAGGCGAGTTCCTGCAAAACACCATATACGAAACTGGTACGAGGCGGACCCCGCAGTTGAGTCGTCTTCAATCGCCAGCGAAGGGCCCTTAGGACTTTGACGAAGGCCCACAATGCAATGAATGAACAACCAATATTGAATACGCCAACCGAACGTATGGTCGTCCAGAGACTGGATGGAGAGGATACAGAGATGACCTTCATGGTTGTGTTTGATTCGAGGATCTATTGCAGATTGACAGCTGTTTCTGTGCAACGACATAGCTCATTTATAGACGTTTCGATATGGCTATGAAATTGAGCGGCTTCATGCAGGCACATGAGTCAACTGCGGGGGTGTCCCGGTGCCGTGGTTTTTCGTCGGAGTCAGCGAGGTTTATTTACATAAATGAAAGCCGATGACTTGTCTTGCATTCCCCATAAGGTGAGATCCTATCAAAGGACGCAACTTCCCTAACCCCCAGAGACTGGGTCCATATTCATGTGCATTAACTTGCGCTCGTGAATTTTTTCTTGGATCCATTGAAGTGAAGAAGCAAACACGGTTACGAAGCCAGTGCGCTTGCAAATTGGTCACTCCTCGACAATCTATTAATCCATGTGAAAGCGGTCAACAAATTTACGCTGATTGTTGCACATGTACTTTAAATATCATTCTCATCTGTTCACCGGTTTCCTGATGACTCCACAGTTCCTGTCAGTGGAGGTGATTTCCTTCTATCTGAATCCCCCATCAAATAGGAACTTCAATAATTAATACATTACCCACAGTTCTGGTAGTCAAATGTACTTGCTCCACCAATCACGAGCCTATAGCACCGCAATATGGCTCCGATCTTGCTGCGCGAGACGATGGTAACAACGAACGTAATTCCAGATTATCAACATTAATACAACGGGATGAACGATAGACCGTCCAACAAAATCAGATACCCACCACACTGCGTACTTGTTCCGCAAGTAATCTAACCCTCCAAGATTCCCACTTCCCTCCACTTCTCCCAAAGCATGCCAATGCCAACAGGTGAGTTAGCTGCGCCCTTCACGTCTTTGATGTCCAACAGTTCATATTCTCGCCCAAACGCGAGAAAATGGGCAAAGAGGGAGTTGAAATGGGGCTCTGAGCGGAGATGGAGGATTTGAGGGTAATGCGTGTGATACATGTGTGCAAATACGCGAAGGAGCTGACGGTAAACGTGTTTGACGGTCGAGGGGAATGATTGAGGAAAGTCGTGCCCTATACGAACAATTATAGAGGGAGGCGAAGTGAAGTAAGAAGGCACTCACCAGACTTTGTGGGGAAAACATTTTCATCGTCGAGAAGGTTTTGAATCCATGTCATGACGTAGTCGATGTAGGTGGGCGCAGCAAGGTGGACGCTCTTGCGATCTTGATTGATCCATGTATAGTTAAGACTACAGAACATTATGAATGAGCGTGCTCGGAATAGGGAGACACGTACTTTTGTCCAGCCGACATGGTGGGACATGATTGCTGCGTGCAGCACTCCGATATGACACCATAAAACTCGTTGAGATTGGTATAAAAGTCGAAGACTAACACGCCATTTGAGACAGTTCGGCGAAGTGAAAACGATAGACATACCATTGACGGCTACCCACTCCATGATGTCGACATACTTTGGAAGAACGACGATGGTCTTGAAGTTGCCTTTGACGAGTGCTGCCTCTACAAACGGGCTGCACAAATAAAGAGGTTTTTGAATGTTAGGTGTGACTGGAGACGAAGGTACGGGTGGGGGTGGCATGTCAGACGAGAACGTCGAAGAGGTTGGTGTAGGCGAACGCTTTGGTCCGCGCGGTGTACGCGACATGGAGCGACTAGAATGGATTGTTAGATGGTTTTACGACTCTGACCATGAACTCACCCTATTGAATTGAAGAAAGACATGATAAACGAAAGTTTAAAGAAGGACGATCAGTACTTGACGATCACGGTAGTGGGTAAAGACTCAAGAGCAGAACTATCATATCCCAAAAAGGAAGTTAAGTATGTTACAGTGGCGTGGGAGTCTATAGCAGGCCTTACATTGTCTGCAATTTCATTCAAGGTCTTGCAAGGCTCCGGTCATCGTCTCTCTCCATATTACATGGTGGGCACAAGACGAAAAAGCAGGGCTGCCGCAGCCGCAGCCACTCAGAACGACTACGATGGTGCATCAACTCAAGGAACAGATGAGTTCAGCCATCCGCAACCATTCAGCGTCTCACTACCTATCGACATGGATGTTGAAGCACTTTCAAGTTTGATACCAGAAGCCTCATTTGCTACCCCAACCCCTGAAACGATAGTATCTGTGTACAGATTGCTCCTTGCACAAATCACCGAAACCAATGCCACTCAGAGAGACCTAGAGGAGGCGAGAGCAGAGGTCGAACGGAGGGAAGTGGAACTAGACCAGGCTTATCAAGATGCGGAGAACAAGACAAACAGTCTTGAAACTTCTCTCGAAAATGTTCAGAGCCAACTAACAGCCACGAGGCAAGAAAAGGAGCAGCTTGGTAGGTATAGTTTTACTGTCAGTGCGTTCAAAGTTTATATTCCCTGCAGCTGCATCGAAAAGTAGCCTAGAAGCACAGTTATCAAACCTCAGCAGCTCGCAGTCTACTTCATCGACCGAACTCGATCAATTGAAACATCGCGTCGAGGACGCTGAACGCGAAAAACGTGACCTTATGGGTGTGGTAAATAGGCTGAAGGAAGATGCAACGCAACGCGACGGTGCGTCATTTACATTTCTTTCATGAGTCCATAGTTCATGTTTCGTAGATGAGGTGCAAAACTTGCGCAACAGCCTCCGACAGGCACGTCAAGAACACCAAACACAGGAGACTCAAGTGCGCGAGCTTCGCTCATCAGAAACTTCCAACAAGGCATGTATACATCTCTACCTGAAACCTAGTGCTCCTTCATCTAAAGCACCTTTAGTTCAAGATCGACTCCCTCACGCAGCAACTCCAACTCGCACAGTCAGAAGTCGAGCGAACAACCGCCGAATTATCGTCCAAAGTCGAAGAACACGCCAAGTACCGACGCACGAAACATGCCGAGTTTGCGACTCTGCAAGCTGCACACGACTCACTCACCCAGCAACACTCAGCATCGGAGAGCGCGTTCAAAGCTTTCCAAAGCGCGCATTCGTCTCAAGCACACCAGCTTACGCAGGCTCTTGCACGCGTGCAGGATCTGACTGGACAGCTCGCAGAACAGGAAGCAGCGTTCACTAGTGAAGCATCCGGGCTCCGACGACTCGTAAACATTATGGAAGAGCGCGAGAAGCAGGCGAAGGAGATTGTCGAAGGCATTGAACGCGAATGGGCAGGTGTCGGAGAACGCGCCGAGCGACGCGAGGCAGCTCTGCATGCTGAGGTTGAGAAGGAGAAGCGGGCCCGGGAGGAAGCGGAACGAAAGGTTGACCAACTTGAAACAGTCCTTGAGCGCATGAATCGTGGTGAATTGCCTGTCGCCTCCCGCGGAACACCCGTCCCAGGAACTCCAGTCACCCCTGCTCGCAATTCTGCTCAAACAGCTGGAATGGAGGGTATGCTTGGTTTGAGCCCGACAGTCGCAATGGTCAGCAGGGCACAGAAGACCGGCAAGACCTTTACCGAGGTCTATGCCGACTATGTTCGCTTGCAGGATGAATTTGCGAAGAAGTCATCCGAGTATGATCACATGGACAGAACTCTTTCTGCAGTGTTGGCTCAAATTGAGGAACGGGTAAGTTGCATTTCCATATCATCAAAATGGTAGTCTAATCCGTCTGTCCAGGCTCCCATTCTATCACAGCAACGGGAAGAGTACGACCGTCTGCAATCCGAAGCCGCACAACTAGCCTCACAGCTCTCGACTGCGCTCGCCGAACGGGAAGCTAACTCAAACGCATTCCAAGAAGCCTCGCAGAAGTTGAAGAAGTCTCACTCAGAGAATGAACTTCTGCAACGACAGCTTGATGACCTCGGTCGGCAAGTTCAGACTCTGCTCAAGGAACTAGGGAGGCGCACAGATCCGTCTTTACCCACGGATGCTGAGATGGAAGGAATGGAGCCCCTACCAGCTGAAAACATTGATGCGGTCATCACGAACAACCTCGTACTCTTCCGCAGTATTGGTGGGCTGCAAGAGCAGAACCAGAAGCTACTCAAGATCGTACGTGAGCTCGGCTCCAAAATGGAGGCGGAGGAACGTGAGTACCGCGAAGCGCTTGAACAAGAGCAGAGTGAAGCCGTGAGGGAGGCGCATGAGGCGATTCAAGATCTGGCCGCACAGCTCGAGAGACAGAAGAAGAGCAGCGATATGACAATTCAGGCGTACATGAAGGAGCGGGATGCGTTGAAAGCCATGCTTGCGCGGGCTGAGCGCTCGGGACTACATACGAACGTCAACGGCGACATCAACGGTGTCGCTGGTCCTATCAAGAACAATCTAGCTGCGGAACTTGAAGACGTGCAGGCTCAGTTCGAGGCTTATAAAACTGAGATGGGCACGGATTCTGTGAAGCTTCGAGAGGAGTTACAGCAAGCGCATCGCGATCTCGGTCAGGTTAACGTTACGCTTGCCAAGGCTAATGCTAAGATCGAATATCTCACTGGTAAGCACTTTCACAGGTTGTTCGTGCTTTCGGTCGTTTAATTTTTTATTCAAGACCGTCATCGCATGAGCCAAGACGAAACAGCGCTACATACGCGCGATCTCGACAACTTGACGAAGCGCAATCAACAACTCTACGACCAGTATATCCGAATTGATATTGAGTGTAACCGAGCCCAGCAGGAGTTATCCGAGGCTAATAGTCGTGTTGAGCAGTTGCGCAATGAGAATGCCAATCTGCGTGCAGAGAAGAAAATATGGGAGGCATGTCTTTTTCGCCGTGTTTACGAGAAACGTGATATTGAGTACTGTCATTTCCAGTCTGTCCAAGTTCGCTTGGTGCAGGAGAACAAGACCCTTTCAGTGGAACGGTCTCACCTAGCTGACCTTATGGCCAATGTGCAGAGGATGCATGGTGACCTTGAACGATCGGGAGAAAATGACCGCCGACGTCTGGAAAACCAGATCCAGGCAATGGATGACCAGATGTGCGTTATCTGAATGTACCCTCTCGATGTTACGAAAGGCTAATTGACTGCCACAGGAAAGACATGAAGGTTCAGCTCTCGCAGGAGCGCGACGCAGTCCGCCACGTCACGCTTCAGAAGGATATCGACTTGAAGGACCTGCAAACCCGCCTGGACAAGACGGTATGCTTCACCTTCTTCATGGAGATACGCCGGTTCTTATATTTTGCAGACCGAACAGCTATCTCAAGTTCGGGAGTCTCTCGTCGGTGCAGAAACCAGCAAAGTCCACCTCCAAGAGCGCGTTGATCAGCTTACACGCCAGCTACAAGGTAACGAGGAGAAACTTGCCGTGTACGAACGTCGCCCATCGGTTGCCAATGGCGCTGCTCCTGCTACTGAGCAAGACCTTCCACGCGAACAGCAACTCGAGCAGGAAGTTGCGGAATTGCGGTTGGTGTGCAAGCACTATGTTTGTGGCATCATGCTGAACAAATCTATTCTAGGTCTGCTTTGAAGGTTGCTCAAGTTGATCTTGCAGCTGCCCGTAGTCACATGCAGCAATTCCAAGAGATCTCCCAAGCAAACGAAGCTGCTCTGTCTGCACTGAATGCTACGCATGATCATTACAAGACTGAAACTGAAGCGCAGATTTCGAAGAACGAGGTGGGTCCACTCCAATTACCGGAACTTTGGTTCTCAAACCGCTTTTCACAGCTGGAGTACAAGGCCCTGCAAGATAAACTGCGCAGCGTTGAGGATGATGTGCGACAGTCTGCCGACAAGTTCTCTGAACTTCAACGTACATTCGAGTCGGAGCGACTAGTCTGGACTAATGACAAGAAGACCTTGGAGGATACTATTGTCGACTTGAGCACCTCTGAGAAGACTTCTGAGACTGACCGCACCACTCGCGAGAGTGAAGTTCGCCAACAGGAGGAAAGAGCCCTTGTAAGTTGTTATTATTCTGTTGTTATCCTCGTTCTTAATCTTTCCAGGCCGCTGAAGATAGATACTCGCGTGAAGTGATCGTTCATGCTGAGTCAATCAAGACCATCGAGACCCTCAAACAACAACTATCTGTCGCCCAAGCTGCCTCCAGGGAGAACATGTCGGAAGCTGCTAATGCCCAAGCTAAGCTTGCAGCATCCGAGGGCAGCTGGAAGCAGCAAAAAGAGGCTTTGGACAAGGAAATTGCTGATCTCAACGCACGGTGGGTCCCTGATTTGATGCCAATCGGTTCTTAAATCTGATTCAAATACAGGTCCAAGGATCTGTCCGCACAGAATGCCCTTCTTCATCAGCATCTCGAGACTGTCAGCACCCAAGCTACTCGTATTCGTCAGGCTGCGGACTCCTCCACTACGGAGGGCACTTCTGGTGATGCAGATGTTGGTGGCGATGTGGATACCAAGGTTTCAGAGCTCAGATCTGTTGTGGCTTACCTGCGCAAGGAGAAAGAGATAGTTGATCTCCAGCTTGAGCTCAGTAAACAGGAGAACGTTCGCTTGAAGGCTCAGATCGAGCATCTGACTCAGAGTTTGCAAGAGACCAGAACAACCCTTGCTGAGGTACGTCTGTCAGTATCCGATATTGTTGATCATGAATGATGCTGGCATCAGGAACGGGAACGGGCTATGGAAGCGGCAACTTCGGATGCTCAGCACGCTGAGATGTTGGAGAGGATCAACCAGTTTAACATTCTTCGGGAAAGCAACGCGACCCTCCGCGCTGACTGCGAGACTTATGCTAAACGCTCTCGCGAGCTCGATGCGAAACTGCAGGCATTATCCACAGAGCTTGAACCTGTCAAAGAAAAGGCTCGTGTGGCAC